CCACTCTGAACTCTTGTTCGGGTCCTGTTCCCTTGACTGTGTGTGATTTTCATTCATAGCTGGCTTTCATGCACCATGGATCGAATGTTGATTGCTACAAAGAGTAGCTGAGATGAAAGGAGCGAATTTCAAGTGCCTGGGCCTTTTATCTCACGAGAGGGTTTCCAAGCTTTGAGGTTACGGCCTAGGTGTGGAGTATCGTTAGATGTGGACAGTTTTGCAATTTTATGTTATAGCGTGAGACGGCAGGGTCAGCGCGGGAGATAGGTTGCGATAACAGAAACTTGGCTTTGGGAAATCTTCACAAGAATCTGCATAATAGCACCCCGAATGTGACGGCTCAGAATCGACGTGGCGGAGCTTGACTTGCCCACACGTGCATGTATCGTGCATCGTGCATGATTGGACACCCCCGCCCAAGTGATCCCCCCTTTCGCTACTTAAGTAGACATTTTTGCTTCTCTTTCGCTTGGTTTTTAATGACTTTGTAATACCATCAACGGCTCAAAATATCGCAAGTAAAAGTCGAGTCGCTCTCATTCAATTCAAATGTAATAATGTAGATCAAGGAAATTCACCCATTATCTCCGCTGCCTGCCGTGCGACTTCCCGAGCATCCTGGCTAATCCCAACGTAAATTGCCATGAAAGAGAAACGATCCTTCCACAAGTGCCATCGCCCCTCTGTCAATCCGGGACTCCCTTCCCAAAGGTCTGATTTGCCGGGTAGAACTCTCTGGATAAACTCAGGATCATCGGGTCGATCATCCTTCCACATCCACCCTCCGGCATGAATAATCCACTGTGCAGCAGCGCATATGTCGGCTGCCAGTAATTCTGACACATCCATTTTGTACCATGGGTCCTCTCTCTGAACACCCAGTTGTGCGTGAAGACTATCTTCCATGGACTTCGTTGGGTCCGCCTCTAAACACTTTTTCAACAAGGCCAAGCCCAAGGGGCGAAGCTTGGCGCCTCGACTGAAAGAAGTAGTGGCTAGCAACTTTGCGGAGAAGGCGTTCATGTTGATCCATCGGCTGCTTGACTTGGAGGCGGACATTGTCCACCCGGAGAATGCGTGGGGTGAGAAAATATCCCACTTGTCGCGCCACATGCTCCCGAAACAACCTAACAATTCGTGTGGTATGTCTTTGGACTCTGTGTCGGAAATTTGTGAGTCGAGTCTTTCGAGTTCGACCAAGAGACCCAGCAATGAGGCATGGCTTGAAGGAATTTCGGCAGCGGCCTCATAGATGAGTCCCCAGAGGGCCCATGGTGTATCGTCATTAATGAAGTCGAGGGAACTCAGCTCTTTGGCTGCAGTTTCTGGGTCAAGGCGATCGGAGAGTAGTTGTCGGAGGACCTCTGCATGATCGCCTGCAGTGCGGTACTCAGGGTCTTGAGTTGACTTGAGCCAGGATTGGTAACCACTTGACATGATGGAGTTGATGCAGGTCCGACTATCACGTACTGTGAATGGGACTTAAATATAGACAGCCCGGGTGCCTGAAAGTGGGTGAGAAAACAGGGTGTTTGTCTCGTGACATCATAACTAGACTAGCCAGGGTGGTCTTTACTTAAGTATTATTTTGTAATGGCGAAATGCTTTTAACTACTTTGGTGATAGTTCTGGAGTGTTAGACCCAAAACAGAAGTACTGCATATTTTTATATGGCAGAACGGGACTGGGCTCCAACTTTTATCGGTGTCCACTCTCAAAAGAGCCTCCCAATACACTTTACCCTAAGGTACCCGGGTTCAGCCCATGATCTCATGCATATATTCCCCTCGCCCCCAGGTTCTGTACGTATTGAGCCCTGCCCCTCTCTGAATATGCATGTTTAGCCTGGCCCCCGTGTTGTATCTCTTCGAGTCGAATCATCGGGCTCTAACATGCATACACAGACTAACAAGTATCACCATTGGCTATTGGACTCATCTTTGCCCCGCTCTTCAACTACCATGCCTTGGTTATCACAGTTGAACCACCCGCATTCCGGCATCAAATCATCTTGGCACTAAGAGTGTACTCTGTCTATGACGCACCGAATCCTTCGAGGCTCACTTGAGCAAATTCATAGCTCGGCACAAGGCGTCATGTCTTGATCGATATGAATAGCACTTCAGCAGGGGGCCGCTGCATGTGAGTAGGAGGGAAATTCTATAAAGGACCCCGACAGACCGGTGGTTTGGAGTTATTCACAGCCCAAGGAAGCCATCAATCCAGAACAAACCAAGCCAAAACAATCATCTATACAAGTCTTTCAAACATGAGATTTTTCGCCTTTTCCACTATTTCTCTGCTCCTGGCTGGGGTGACTTCTGCTATTCCCACTCTCCAGGTCTTCAAACGGGATATCTCAAGCCTTCCCCAGGGAGCCAAGTGTGGTAAGTTACGCTTTATTCCCATAAGCCCCACAAGCAACACCACTATGAACATAAAGAATGGCATATCCCATGCATATTCCACGAAAGATTCCACTTTCCCTTTGTGCAGCTCATATTATTCATACTACTAACATATATCTCTCAATCCCAGGTGGCACAGATTTCAACGACTTCCAAATCGAAGACGCTGCTCAGCGTGGTGTAGCCAACCGCAACGGCCCTCACCCTGGAGGCTATCCCAAGGACTTTCATAACACGGAGGGCTTCAAATTCAGCAACTGCGATGGCCAGCTACAAGAGTTTCCGATCCTGGAGGGTGGGAATGTTTACGGTGGCGGCCGCCCTCATGGATTCCGTGTGATTTATCAACTCACCGACGGCAACAATGGAAAGTACTGTGGCGTCTTGTATCATCCGGTGGGTCCTTCACTTATTGAACAATACTTTTGAAGACAATTGCTGATTGAGCTTGATTTATGCACAGACCGAGGACGATCCGAGCTTCAAACACTGCGAGGATGTTACAGAGTAAGTTGGCGAATGTTGTGCGCCACCAACCTTATCGAGGGGTGCCTAAAGGGAGACGGAGCACGTTTGAGCGAGTTCATATCACGATATACTACTTCCTTGACCCCACTCCCTGGCTTCATTTTCTTACGTATCTCAAATTAAAGAAACTGATTCCGTCGGGCTGTTCCCGCTTCAAGACATCCGTTCCGCAATCCGATATATGAAAACTTTTGGAAAACTTCTGCAAGATGATAGATGGGTAGCTTGGACTTCTTTAAATGAATGGATCTTTCGAGTTAATCTTTGATTCCTGATCGTTGATTGATCAAAAGAGGTTTACCAAGCTAAATACATTCAATCCCGTGAGAGCCCAATGGTTATTTGATAGTGAACTTCTCGCTATATCCAATAGGCCCAGTTCCATGGCTGGTCCAAGCAACTAACCAGACATCACTGCATAAAACAAGTTAGCATAAGTCTAATAAAAATTGAATGAATAGTTAGGCTCGGCCTTACCCTGGTGCAAGGTGCACATCTCGCGGGATTCTGACACTAGCCTTCTCTGGCTCAGCATCGACAAGATCGATCCAGTCGAAAGTTTTGAAGTCTCGCGTAAGAGTAAGGCCGATTTTGGGTGTATCTAGTCTCCATGTCACATCCCAGTTCCGACGGGATTTGATCTTGGGTGTATCGACCACTACTGCAATTACGGCAGGTGCAAGAGCGAGGATAGAGAATAGTGGGAAATGCATGTTCCAAGGTTCTTGTAGTAAGGCTCAGGGGATTTGTTTGAAAGGAAGAGTGATACTAAATATCCATTGGAGGGGGATAAGAGGCAGTCTTTATAGTATTTCTTCCTACGTGGAAAAGTAGTATAGACTTCCTTCTACCTAATCAGTATGTAATGCATCTAATTAGCCATTGCGGGGTAAATAATCGTACAATGGTCTCGCCTTGGTTGAATCCGAGTTCCAAGGTCCAAAACAATCAATCTTAGCGAGTCTGCATATTTAGTGTGTACTGCCATATGCACTGACGCCGTCTTAATATCATGATGACAATTGAGCATAATAGGAAGCACGATGCTGACCTATCATGAGATCAAGAAACTCCGGCCCGTAGCATGACCCTCAGAGCTGGTGCCAGGTGATACATGGCCTATTCTACCATCAAAGTTTGGAATACGCATTGCATGATAGTGGCGGCAAAATCATTTTCGACACGAATATTCCTCCAGGGCTCTTGTGAAATGGAAATGTTTTCTCTTTCTCTTCTTCACTGGACGTGATCTACTCCCAAAGTTCTTCCCCTGTCAACACAATATATGTGGATACATTTTCTGCAGGGACTAAGCCACTGCGGCGCCACCGGAGCGTGACGTGATGAGAAAACATCTTACTGCTTACCATTGTAGTTGGTGGAAGTATAACCGATAGGGTAGTACATCTCAGGTCTTACCTATACGAGGCCAAGACCAGATGGCGCTCGAGAAATATGAAGTCTCGAACTCGTGAGTCCGTGGATACTATGTCACTGGTGTTTTTGATTTAATTTCTGAATTAGCTGACCATTTCGTACTACTAGGTGCGAATAATGGACCCGCTTTGCGCGTCGAACGCCCGGAATCAGCATGAAATCAGACCTTCCAAGTTCGGATATCTATATTGACAGGTTGCCAGGCCAACCGTACTGGTTCATGCAAAAGCCAAAGATGCAATCAGACACCAAGCAGGCCAAAATCTCGACACCTGTTGAAACCAGTGTAATCAGAACCAAGATTATCCGCCAGTATACAAAACGGGGGAAATAACTCTGAAACCAGGCTACATTTTCTCCATTCATGTGTTATGATAGATGTTCCAATCTTGGTGGTTTATTATTTCTTTCCAAGTTTCGAGATATTCAATTTCATAAGACTCTCTGTAGTACTATGTGGACTGAGATCAATACGGGTGATATTGTCACACAGAGACTTCAGGAGAAAACTTTGAACCGAGCTAAGCGAATTGAGCGAGAAGCTTTGGACTAACCAGCGCGGCGGTTGTAGCTGTGACCGGAGATCATCCCAACTCAGGAAATAGGGAAAACAAGTATGATACCAGACTACGAAGAGCCATTCGTAATAATGTGAGGCATGGTCACCACAACCTTCAGGGTACCATGCTTGGAAGGCGCTTCAAAGGCTTCATAAGCGCCGTGAATATCATCAAATGAGAAACCTGCAGAAAAATCAGTATAGAAACCACAAAAAGACTTCCCTCACGTACTGTGCGAGATCAGGAACCGAGGATCCATAGAGTCAGTGTCCACCATCTTCAGTATATCTGGAGTACTGATAGCATCGACAAGTCGCGTGCGTAAACCTGCAAAGCAAAATTAGCAATGAGCAGACATGAGGAGGAAATATGAGGGACTGACAGATATTGCGATTCCACAGCTTTTCCAAGTGCAGCTCGCATGACTCGCCAAAGACACCTAAACTGGCGATGGTCCCCCCAGGTCCTACCAGTGTCTGCGCAATGCCGAAAGACTCAGGTGTTCCCACTGCTTCAATGACCACATCAAATCCTCGCTCACTGGTCGCAGATAAAGCTGAAGCTGTCGCAACCTCCTGCCCATCAAGAACACTGAATGTATGATCGGCACCCATAGACATGGCTGTCTTGAGTCTGGCGTGGCCCCTGCCTACCACTGCCGTCATAGACGGACTGAATAACTTCTTGGCCATCTGCAGGATCATCAAGCCAATAGGACCTGTTCCTATGATTGCCACAGTAGAGCCAGGCTTGATGTCACCATTTAGAATTCCACACTCATATGATGTTGGAACAGTGTCAGACAAAGTCACGGCCACTTTCTGGTCGATGGTCTCCGGTAGCAAATGCAGTGAAAATGCAGCGTGAGGAATGCGAACATACTCGGCTTGAGTCCCATCAATCTTGTTTCCAAGTATCCAGCCGCCAGATTCACATTGTGATGACATCTTCCTGTGGCAGTAATGACAGGTCCCGCAACTAGTGATGCAAGAGATAACCACCACCTGACCAACAGTAAAGTTTGTAACATCAGAACCAAGGGATTCGATGACGCCGACTCCTTCATGGCCCAGAATCCGACCCGGACTACATGAAGGTACGTGGCCTTGGAGAATGTGCAAGTCTGTTCCACATATCGTAGTATGAAGGACCTTGACGACGGCATCGGTTGGTTCCAGAATGAGTGGCTTCGGTCGATCCTCCACTGCAATCTTGCTTTCGCCGTTATAGATAACGGCCTTCATACTTGTGGCTTTTGATCGATTCTCAAGTTGACCAGGCAATATAAAACCAACTGTGGGCGATCGGGATTCAGGCAAGATGGAGAAAGAATCATTTTGCTGGGGCCCGTTTTATACGCAACGGAGGATTCTGATATCAATTCGATCAACGCAAGCGAGGGAGCGGGTACCAACTAGCTTGGAGGCTTTGCCCCGTGGTGACTATGAAATCAGAAGTGACTGAAACGCCGGCTAACCCCGAGGATGCTGTGACCGACCAATAGAGGAGCTGAAACAGTAATCTAAGAAGAGCGAAGAAAGCAGCTAAGAGCAAGAGAGATAATTAATGCAGAGTAGAGCGTACTTTTGCATGCAGCTGGCTTGATTTGGAAGAGACATTTTTGCCGATGAACTCATGTGGACTAGATTTCACCTGGGAATGTATTGTTTGCTCTTTGCCACCTCACTGATAATTTCCCCTCTGATATCCAAAAATATCAGCCCAACAGGAACGCTCCAGGAATGATGGTTCAAGCAAATCATATCTTGTCTGACGAAGGTTGAAACTAGCCAAGCATTTAGGAACCTATTGTTCCGCTCCTGCATCTCGATTGACAGTTCACACCTGCGCCAAGATCGGCCATCGACATCTTTCTTCATCACCCAATGGTGTTGCTTCAACGGACTAAAGGGTGCAGGGCAGAAGCCGTCACAGATCTGGCATGTTTGCACTGTTTGCACATCTTCCCCCTTGGGAACAGAGGCATCTGTACCCGGGGCTGCGCGAACCGACCCCCACAACAATAATCTTCTTGCTTCATCTCTTCAAGTACGTCCTCCGACCTCGGTATCAGATACTGCCATGGGAAAACCTATCCTGAGAGGCGCTCGGACTTTCCAAGTCTTGAAACTACTGGATGACACACTGTTTGTGTTTATGTGAAGAACCAGCAAAGTATCGCACTCAACACAATGGTTGCCAAGATGAAAACTATGACCAAGAAAAGAATTATACAAAAAACACGCTCAAGACTCCACCCGAATTAAACAGAGACCAGCTCTATCAATGACACAAAACAATCCACTGCGCAACAATTTCCTCCATATCATGCGCAATGCCCCACTGCGAGGACAAGCACCGGAAAAGCTTCTGCATGGAATTCAGCTCATACAACAAATTCCTTAAAGCCCCGCTCCGCAGTGGAATGGGACCAAGATCTTTGCCCTCGACGAACCTCCCCGTCTCGGATCCTAGAGACGGGTGCGGATCATCATGTCCCAAATTCAGGTCTGAGTATGACAGCAGCGCCTCCTGCCAGGTAATGTTTCTCGGCAGACTTACGGTCGCCACTCCAGCTAGTGAGAAGACCACGTAGATGGTCGCTGCAGCGAATAGAGAGCTGGGCATGTGCACTACATGTGCACGACCACGCGGTAGTTGCTCAACGATATCTTGGATCGCGACAGCATGCAAGACAGCTCGACGCGCATCCTCTGAGCTTGCCCATTTGAGCAGATCGAAGCTTGGGGAGACGGTTCGACAGCCACCTGAAACGTGCTGGGGGATATTATAACGGGAGCAGATGTGGCGTGAAAGAACGGTGGAATTGACCATCGTGTCGAGACAAATTGTGTGCCATCGGAGGAGGATCTCAAGTCTTTCTGCCGCGGTGAAGTGGATGCTCATTGTGATTGTCTCGTGGACTTGGGCTAGGGCTCGACGGACGTCGGATTGACCGGGCACGCCAACGGCGAGGTCGTTATCGTCGCAGTCGGAAATGAGAGATTGAAGGCCTTCGAGAACGACGCGAAGCCCAAAGGCGGAGAATTGATGGTCCAGGGGGCGGAAGTTGCCGACTGGCGGGAATAAGGATCGGAATATGATGCGGAAAGAGGTCTGGTCGGGCTCGTGAGGGTGCATGTAAGTCAACCATTCGTCGGCAGTGGCAGCGTCGAAGGCCTCTTCGCTGCTTGGAAGGAAAAGTGGATTTGCTACATGTCTCGCAGAGGCGGCATCTCCAGACATTTGGGCCACAAGGCCATCCAACACGTAGTATGCTAGTAGGGCGCGTTGTTGAATTTCGCGAGCTGACCAGACACGCCATTGGTGCTCCTTCTCTGCAACGGGTGCATTTATAGATGGGAGATTATCCATGGAGTATGGCTCGCTGTCGTACATGCCACAATGCCGAGCCCAGAAAAAACCAAGCGGCCGAAAGACTTGGCTAGTGGTTCGCACTGCTCGATTTTTGGATAATGCTCCATATATCTGGCCCAAAAGTGCTGTTAGCATCAACTGAACACCCTTACAGGCATCGTATGGACCGCTATGAGTGATGAGAGACTGCCAAGAGGTGGCGACCGCTGTGTGAGCCAAGCGCCATAATGCCTCGCCTTTCGCAACCGAGTCCTTGGGTCCTAGGTACAAAGAGCCGATTGCAATTGCATTCAGAAGAAGAGCATGCGTGCACTCTTTGAACACGAATGTTGCGCGGTGCAAAATCGGGAATGTGGGTATGAAGCGGACGAAGAACATATGCAGACATTCGTCGAGAAACACCGATGTGATCGATGTGGCCTTGACAGCAGCAGTGACGCTCGAAGACTGAAAAGATCTGGTGTCAGCCCCAAAGAATTTCCATGTACCCTTGAATGTTGAGTTTGGCCCATCCAATGGGTGCCTTGAGGGTTATAGGTGTCAATGATTTGACTTACCGAGCTCGTCACCATCTCTGTGACATCTTGCACCGCTTGATGCCCGCCGCCCATAGGCAAAGCACCGATTGAAGAGCTTCGATCATCGAAGGAAATTGGTGAATCGAATGACATGCCATTCACATCCTGCACAACAGGCGGAAAAGGCAAAGTCCCAAGGGGCATCTGCCACTGATCTGTTGTATCCGACGACATCAAGCTCTGGAACAAGTTCTCCGAGTCCGGCCATATCAAAGCAAAGTCTAACTCCGAGGCAACATGCATGCCAGGATCACCAGGAGCCTCATCCCAGGACTGACTCGTTGCCGAGGTGGATTGATCAAACGGCGAGGTACTATTGGTATCCCATGACGCTGTCGAATCTACTGCTACTGAATTCTGCGGCAGGATGTTCTGGTCCTGCTTTGCGTTCATGGCCCGAACATGCAGCTTCTCATGGCGAGTAAGCGCATCTTGCCGTGCGAAGGGGCGTCGGCACTCTTGACAGACGAAAGGTTTAGATCCCGTGTCTGGATTTTTTGGTTAGCTTGGGGCTCTTTGGACAAGCCCGAAATAGTCGAGAGGAATCAGAGCATGCTGGAACATACGGCATCGCTCATGTCTCTACAAAGCATTAGTACGAGTCGTAGGGATCCATGTCTCTTGGAATTCTTTGTGGAGAAGCCGAGTAGTACTGGGAAGAACGGGATAAGACAAGTATGGTTACTGACCCTCAGGTGTTCGGCCTTGGAGAATCCCTTCTGGCATGCTCGACATATCAATTTCCTTTCTGGTGCTGTAGTCTCCATTCTCAAAATATGTGAAGGTGAAGAAGTAGAAACGTATGCAATTGTGGGGAAGGAGTTGTGGGGTGTGGGACTGCTTATGCGAGCACGGATTTATATTTTGCAACGTCCGAATTGGGGAATCTGGGCCATCTGGGCAGGGCTGAACTACAGAAGTTGACCGTGTTTCTTCAGAACAAATAGTTCATTGTACGTAAAAAATGTTCTCGTTCTTTTTATTCTTACCTGCTCAACTTGAAAGGCGTGCACAACGATAATAAAATAGAAAACTTAGGGGCAAAACGGCAGCGGAGAAGCCGAGCCGTGGAAATAGAGCGTGGTAATACCGCGGCGGCGTGGCGATAATTTGCCCCCGGTTCCGTGCTCACAAATCATTCTGCTTGGGCCCAATCAATTCCAGATATTGCACGGCTTGCAGATGTAGAACAAATACCGCGGTGAGCAATTCCAGCTTCCCCAGAGGAAAATCGAGAGGAACGGTGGGCAAGATATGGAGACGTGAACCCCAGAGAAATTGCGCCAAGACGTCAAAACGGAGTGAGTTTCGGTACTTGGCTCGGGCTGGAAGCCGTTGCCCATAGTAAACCAGGACATCGGCTAGCCGTCCTCAAGTGCCAGACCCCAACCAACTCCATAACATTTCATTAGCGGGGATCTGACTCGCTCTTCTCGGTGTCTGTTCAAGCGAGACTCCGCAATGTGATTCCCCACGAAATGGTCCACGGAGCCGAGAATCCCGGAGAATACCCCAGGCGAAGTATGTCCGAGTGCCGTGGGCTTAGCGGCTTGGCTATGCACACTCACTTCGGGATTTTCGCTACCTCGTTCTGTTCGGGTTGTATTATCCCCAAGCCCATTCTCCTCTCTCAGCCTGTTCATCACTTTGGATTCTTGATTTTGTGATCCCCCATCAGAATACTCGTTCTTGTATCCGGAGTATATTCACATTTCCCGAGTCTTGTTTCAACTTTGTTTCAGAAAGGGGAACTAAAGCCCGCAAGTGCTGTCAATCATTCTCCCTTTGGACTGGTTAGCATGGCATCCCTAGAGTTGCAACGGACTTCATCTCCACGAGGTGAAGCCGAGGCGTCAGACGCCAAAGCCGACATTGATCTCATCGAGAGTGCCGGACATGGACGAGCAGCCACCTACGAGGAGTCGGTGGCTGCTCGCCTGTCAAAAGACCATCGCGACTATCTGATAGAGCGACATGGGACATTGGAGCTCGATCCCATCCCTGGAATGGGCCCGGCTGATCCTTACAACTGGCCTGAGTGGAAAGTAAGTCTAATTCACAAACCTCAGTCTTGCCAATTCAATGCAAAGCAAGAAAAACAAAAATCATCGACGGGATACTGATGCATCAGCTGTGTAGAAAATGTCGAATCTCATCCTTGTGGCGTTCCACGCTTGCATGGGAACATTTACCGCCGCCGCTATCATCCCTGCCTATTCAGACATTGCTAAAGATCTTGGTGTCAGTATCCAAGATGCCAGTTATTTGACTTCTTTGCAAATTGCCATCCTGGGAGGTGCTCCTCTGTTCTGGAAGCCCCTTTCCAACCGGTATGGACGCCGGCCAATCTTCCTCCTTTCTCTCATCTGCAGTCTGGTCTGTAACATTGGCTGTGCCAAGAGCACTGACTATGCCTCTCTTGCTGCTTGTCGTGCTCTTGTTGCGTTCTTCATCTCCCCTGCCTCTGCCATCGGTAGCGCTGTCGTGATGGAAACGACTTTCAAGAAAGACCGCGCCCGTTACATGGGTGTCTGGACCCTGATGATCACTCTGGGCGTTCCGATCGGACCTTTCATCTTCGGTTTCGTGTGTTACCGCGCGGGCTATAACTGGATCTACTGGATCCTTGCAATCGTAAGTGATGACCACATATCACTCTCCTGCGCATCAACTAACAAAAACGCAGATCAACGGTGTCCAGTTCATCCTGTATCTGTTCCTTGGTCCCGAAACACGCTATCTGGGTAGCGGCGTGGACAGCAAGTCCCCTCGTAAGATTGAGTACATGTCACTGCGACGAATTGACCCAACACCATTCTCATGGTATGAGTTCATCCGTCCACTGACCATGGCCCGCCACCCTTCGATTCTGATTCCCACCTGCGCGTACGCAATGGTCTTCTTGTTCGGAAGCATCCTCGCAACAGTGGAGGTGCCCCAACTGCTGGAGAAGAAGTTCAATCTGAACGCCGAGCAGCTCGGCCTCCAATTCCTGGGTGTGATCATCGGCTCTGTGATCGGTGAGCAGATGGGGGGCGTACTCTCCGATTTCTGGATGAGTCGTCGATCCCGTCGTATCGACCGCAAGGCCGAGCCTGAGTTCCGTCTCTGGCTCAGCTATTTCGGCTTCGCGCTGACCATCATTGGTATGATTGTGTTCCTGGTGTGCACGGAGACATCGCCTAGTGGATACTGGAATGTCACACCCATCATCGGTACTGCGATTGGTGCCGTTGGAAACCAGCTTGTCACCACCGTCATGATCACATATGCCATTGACTGCTTCCCACATGAGGCGGCCAGCATCGGTGTATTCGTCACTTTTGTGCGACAAATCTGGGGTTTCCTTGGTCCCTTCTGGTATGTGACTTCTTCGAAATGTTCCGGTATCGTTGCTAACAGGTCAGGTTCTCGGCGATGTTTGAGAATGTCGGTATCGCTCCCAGCGCGGGTATTGGCTCGGCGCTGGTTGTCGCCGTCAGTGTCATTCCCACCATATTCCTGCACTGGAAGGGTCGTGGTTGGCGTAAGGAGGAGTAGGTATGGCTTATTGGAAGAGATTGAGATCAGCTTGCATGTAAGACATTTCGTGAATTTTCGATTCGGCTTTTAGAACGTAGGTAGATCGATCGGGTTCGGACTCGGGTTCGGGTCCAGAGGGGCTCGGCATCGGGCACGGCATGGTGTCTCGGGATTGTATATAGACTGTTGAATGAGACATTAGACTTCCATTGAATCAAACCTGTAGGCTCTGGTAAAAAGAAAAGCAAGTAGTATCCTGCTCATCGAGATGTCAGACCACTTGGCCAAAGCTTGTGTGGTTGTGTAGGGAGAGTTTGAGGCCCGCAGAGTGCGCGGTATGAAAAAAGAGCAGGCAAGGACAGCGACAAACAATCGAAGAGCAAAGCCGCAAGATCAATCAAATAGCTCTAGCAAAGAAAAGAAAACAGCAGACTCGGTTTTCTTTTACCAAAAAAAAAATCCCGAGCGGGAGATAGCTCGGTTCCCGACCCGATATTATCCCGTAGCGCTCAAATCGAACCACCGCGGGCTAAGAAAGGCCCAAAAAGTGCCTAGTAAGAATCCTCCGGGTTGTCAGATCGGCTTGGCCTGGGTAAACGTTTCAATAACCAAACTGCCCATGCTATGTTCGTTGCTAGTTACTATCGCTCTAGATACGGAGTAAGGAGTGAACACATTTGCTGCGGACTACATCGAAAATTAGATTTTTTTTTACTCAGAAATGCCGATTGAATATGATCCAGGAGCTATTTACACCACGTACCCTTTACTGAAAAACCATTCCGATCATGCCATCTCGCTGCGAATTTGACGTGCCAAGAGATATCAGCAGAGGGAGGCGGAACAGACTTACTCCGCCGAGGGAAAAAGTCATATCCCCCAAAGCTCTCCCATTGGTCAAAGCTTTGTAGAACCTCAATAAGACCGAACTGAGCAGTAGAGATCTCGGAGATATCACTTTCGCTTGTCGCTTAGATACACGCTGGAATACACAGTCCGATGACGGAGGAGCTCTTTTCCCAAGTCATGACAATTGGCACCGGCGCTTCTCCACAAGACCGCTAAGAGTTAGTGATCCAGCTTGATCTAGCGTATGTACTCGACTGACAGCCTTGGAGGTTCATTTGCGATATACAACCAAAAATTTACTACTGAAGTAGCTAATAAATTGCCTGAGAAGAATGATATGGAGTTGCGGGAATAGCAGTCTATTTTATTGTGTTGACGATGCAACCCTGCATCAAAAATCGTGTATATCATTCCAAGGCTTATAATATGTCTACTGGTGCTCGATCTTGTTGATCAGAGTACCGATGTGAGGGAGCAGCTCAACAGCAAACTCATCACCGACCTTGATAAACTCCTTGGGGTTCTTGGCTGCGCCAACACCAGGAGGAGTACCGGTCAAGATGATAGTACCAGCGGGCAGAGTGGTGCCCTGGGAAAGGAAGCTGATCAGCTGAGGAACACTGAAGATCAAGTCACTAGAAATGATGTTCAGTTTCTTCTGCTGGGTATCAAGAAAATTGTGGTGGTTGGAACTTACGTGAGGGGGCAGTCCTGCATCACGCGGCCGCTCTTGAGACCGCGGATCTGTAGCTTGCTGACATCGGGGATGAGAGCAGCGGAGGCGAGAACCGGGCCTGCAGATGTGTGGTCAGTAAGATACTCTTAGAATGATACATCAAATAGAGTGACGTACCGATTGGGCAGGCGCCATCAAAGCCCTTCGAGAAAGACCACTGGCTCTGATTCATCTGCGAAGTACGACTTGATACATCGTTGGCAGCAGTGTAACCGAGAACATAATCAAGAGCCTCGGATTCAGGGACATCCTTAGCATCGCGGCCGATGACAATGACCATCTCGGACTCATAATCGCCGGTGTTATCCTGCTGTGTAATCTTAGGTAGAACGGTTGGCGCGGGCCAAGGGTCCGCTAGAGAACTGGACGGCTTCATGAATAGCGTGGGCACATCAGGGATTGGGAGGGACATCTCCTTGGCATGAGAGGCATACTAGTGTAGTTCAGCATAGTTCTTCAAGATTGTAGTTCCATGTCACTCACGTTCAATCCGATACAGCGAATAGTTCCAACTTCAGATTGCGCCAGAGGGGAGAGAATGCGGGAAATGGTCTCAGTCGCGTCGGTCACTTGACCAGGGTTCAGAACGGAAGTTCCTGAGAAAGGGCGCACAGCAACCTCCTGGCCTTGGTAAAGTGCGAGTCCTACATCCAGCTTGGGGTCGACCGGCTCTCCAATCAAAACCTTTGCGGGGTTGGACTTGGGGACGAAGCGCACCAGGCCTATTCTCTTCAATTAGCTTCCAGGCGGGTATATTCAACTTCGGAATCCTTACGCGAAAAGGTAGATGCGATTTTAGACATGTCGATTGTGTTTGGAGAGAGAGAAAGAGCGCGCGGTTGGATATTTAGACCGATAGCGGAGTAAATCTACCCCGAGGGATAAGCCGGAGGGGCACCTCCCACAATTGTGGGGAAGTCTGGTGGCGACGCGATAAAGACGCCAGAATCCCCCCCTTCACGGTTTTGGCAATTCTCAAATTCCTCAAATCATTCAAAATGTCTGCCAAGGGTCCTTTCCACCTCGTCACTGTCAACACCGCACCAGAGCGCGCCAAGCGCCTCATCGGTCGCGTCGCCGAGGCCCTGAAGGATCAGTACACTATCATTCACGTTGACAACTGCGAGAGTAAGCATGTTGTGCTCGAATGGGATAACGACCGACTAACAATAGCAGAGATCGACGATGTTGAGGCAAAGGTCAAGCAGCACAACCCTGAGGTTCTGGTAAGTCCGACTCGGCAATTCCGAGTACCGCCGAGACTGACGTTCATATAGTTCAGCGCATCCATGTGGAGCGCCGAGGAGGCCCAGCAGATCCATGCTATTGCTCGCTCTGTCCGTCCGGATATCAAGCTCCATGCTATCCCCGAGGGTTTGCAGGTTGAGCGAGGCCCAGATGCTATTGTTGAATACTTGTGTGAGAAGGTTCCCGTGCTGCTGGACAGCTAGACTGTAATTTCACAAGCTCTATATTCAATTAAAAACGCAGTCAATGAATGATAGCTTCTTTTACTTCATAACCCTCTCGAGTCTATATGCAAATGATAATCTTGTCTTTCAAGGACCATTTCTAGTCGATGGCGTCATAACAAGCCCAGACCTCACCACTCAAACTCCTAGACACAATCAATTGTTAGTCCTTGTACCATTCAATGCTATACCAAAGCAAACTCACTTCTGTATGGAAGGTAATTGATGGCCCATTGTCATAGTTGCTGTGAGACAGTGCTTTTCTCGTTATGCCCAGCATATTTGCAGGTCCACACGCACCCACGCCGACACGCGATTCCGGCGCACAAGCATCAATGAAGCTCGCAAGATGTGCTTCAATATCTGGACGTCCTTTGCGGGTCAGCATAGGGGGAAGTGATGCCGAAGGCTCGTTTGCGTTAAACCCTTTTTCGGGGTCCTGGACACTTGACGCGGATGACGAATCCCCTGCTGCATGCAGACTTTCAACTTCGATGGATTTTTCGAGATCCCCTTGAGTCACATAGATGTGCAAGTTGATCTTTTTACTTTCACGAAGCTCTTGAAGCTCTTTTCCGAACCACTCTAGTGATTCTTCGAGGACGTCAGCTGTGCTCAGATAACCACGATAGGATACCTAGGTACTGAACTAACCTTCACTTTTCACTGCCCACATGAAGTCAATCCGTTTGTTGCTCCCGGTCTTTTTCAATTGCTTGACTAGATCAAGAGCAATAGCAAAGGTGAAGCTAGCGCCACTTCCACCGGCTACGAGAACAACGCTGTCGAAATCCATGAAGCTTGGAACCTGCCCATACGCACCATCCAAAGAGCACCGCAACCTTTGGCCAGGTTGTTTCTGGGCTACTTTGAACAGATCTGATGTGAACCCGTCGTAAGGACGAATCAAGAATTCAACCGGCTCGTTAGAAATCAACGTAAATGGGTGACTCTCAAAGAGTCGGAGGGATGGGATCCACAAGAACGCATGAGACCCAGGCTTGCAATTCAGATTGCGGTTGAGCTTGACTCTAACTGCTCCATCTGGCACTGTGGTGATAACAGCATGGTTTCCATATAGGTTCCAGCAGATCTTTGCAAGCCGAACTAATCGATCCAGACCCCACATGCATGCGGTGAATATTATGATGACGACAGATTGCTTTGAGATCTTAGGACGATGAAGTCCGATCATGATGATAATCAAGAGGAACAAGGCCAGGTGAATGAAGTAAAACGCTTAGTGGTCATGGATTAGCTACTAGACAGGATCGAAAAGACTTCGACATACCTTCATATGATCGGCGAACAACCCAAGTGATGGTTGAGAGTCCAATGACTATCATAGCTAGTCCAGCTATTGCTCCAGCGAAGTATTCAAGCTCATTGAACTTGTATAGGTTTCCGGTTTGTGCCCATGATGCCACATAGGTAATGCCATGGATTACACTGGTAACAATGCATGTGTAGCCGGCCGTTTTGTGTAGTGGTCGAAGCTTTTCATAGGAATTTCCAGACAACGGGGCTAATGGAGTGTTTCGAAGAGCGAGGAAGACTAAGAGAACGAAATTCGCAACAGAGATCCTAGAAAGGTTGATCAGAATATAGACCCAAGACAAAAGCTGAGATAGAAATACCATCCAAGACGTTTGGCAGCCTTTTCTCCGGTTAGAAGTTGTGCATATCAGTCTCGACCTCGGGATAAACTCACATATTTTAGTTCATATTCCATATTTGTTAGTGTCAAGATCAAGTTTACAGCCCAGTAAATGATATATAGACCCCAACGACCAACACACAGACTAAAAATGGTGCCTGTCAAGTACCGTTTCGTTGCCCTTTGTGCTGTTAGTGTATTCACTCGACCCCAAAAATCATTTGTGCAATCTTACCTATGACTCCGTGTGAATGCTGCTGTCCACTTGCCATGGCTTCTAGAGCCATATTTCAAATGGAGCAGATTCACCCAGTGGTATATAATAAAAAGACACATGATGGATCCAGTGGCAATCGCAAAATATTTCACACTCCAGGCATTGTGAGCCTGACGAACGAGTTTGGAAACCATAACCAGTGCACACAATTAGAAAGACCCTTGATAATTCCAAAGAGCACGGAATCGCGTTTCAGCAACGAAGATCAAGCGAGGATATAATTCAGGCTATCAATCTCTTGGGAGAAGTGTGGAAATCCTCCGGCGGGACGCTGCCCTGATCAATCCATCTCTTGGCTGTGCTAGAGGCTGTGCTAGAAGGGGGAAACCAAGCATTCAAAATGGACCGTTTTCAATCTTCACCGGAGATCCGGACCAGTAAACTATGGTTTGGCTGCCACAATGGGAAGATAGCGTGGAAAAAAAGAGGGACTGTAACAACCGCTTCTGATCTGATAACAAGCAAAATTGGCTAGCCTGAACTTTGACGGCCTGGTTCCTCGGATTGGGTAAAACAAAGGCATGGCATCCAATCTCCGTCAAAATCTCTGCAGTATGAATGGCACGATGCTTCATGTCTTACATTCGAGCAGCCGAATTCCTGCAGGGTCCCCATTTCTGCACACTCTATCCCATCATTTCTGATTACGACTGTGACGTCGGAAATCTTGACAAATCTGGAATAGCGATTGGAGTTAGCGTCACCGGAAGGAAGTGGGGATACACAGTGAAAAATTCGTTCCTTCAATCACAGCGCAGCAATGTCCAATTGGTTAACCTTGATCTCGAAACTTCCACCTGCGGGTCAATGGCCATTTCGACACACTCATCACTGTCGAATACGAACTTCAGGTATCGTAGCCAGCCGAGCTTTCAATTAAGCTCCGGGCCAAGCCATCTAGCAAAGGCTTCTTTTTTGCTACAGCCCAACATAAGAATCAATACAAGTAGCTATCCTGAAAACTGTAGCTCAATTCCTGTTATGCACGCAATAATTACTATGGAGTCGGCACCATAAGTACGTCTCGTTCTCGTATGCAATTCGGATGTTTCATGGAGACGTTCTTTTTCCCCGGAGGGGCAAGATCGTCCATCAGATAAAATATTTGCACAGCCCCTGACCCACTTAACAAACGCGGACCCTTATCTGATGATCTCCTAGACTTGACGCTTCATGCCAATGGTACTTTCTTCATCCTATACCGAATATGGCATATGTTCTAATTTACTTCTCGGTGGGTTTTCCTTTTTATAGGCAAGATATATGGTCATGAGCTGTTTACGAAGCATTAAGTCATCAAAGTAGGATTTAATTACCAGCCTCCATGCGATACCTGGGTTGATTTCAAATCATCCAGTTCAACCAAAACCAGATGAATGGTTGGGGTTCTGAGGCCGGTAAATTCACGGATAATACTCTCGTGGTTTAACATCAATTTACCCGTACTTAGTAGAGACGCTTAAGGAGATGTGGGGGACTCTCACTTGAAAAAGCTCATATTACTGCAACTCCAGCAAAATGTAAGCTAAGCGTCAACATATGCACCAAGGAGACGATCCCGAAATTCTTGATAAATAAAGCAGCAACTTCAAATACCGACCCAATTCAATTTCGGCACCTACCCCATCAAGCTGATTTAAACGGTGAACAAGTTCGCAATTCCTCAATCCTAATACCCTTCTTTGCCCTCAATTATCCCATGGCAAGGTCCACCTTTTTTGAACATGGCATGCAAATCCTCAACAATAATCTTGGGAACCTCCCAGGCGGCAAAGTGACCACCATGAGCATGCTCACTTTCTCTCACAAGAGGACCCAGCACAGCAGCCCAAGAGCTAGGCACGATACATATTTCACGTGGGAGGTGTGTGATTCCAAGCTTGACTGGAATATATCCCAGCAAGTCCTCGAGTGTCTTCCCCTTGATGGGACCTGCGTGCATGCATTCGTAGTAAATTCGAACGCTAGCCGCTGGTCCCGCAGTGGAAAACCAGTAGATTGAGACCCAGGTCAGGATCTCGTCATCTGTCCAGGGATAAGAGTCTGTCCAATCGTGGAGCTTTTCGTAGATCCACGAAAACAGGGCAACAGGACTGTCTTGCAGTGCAATGCCAATGGTTTGTGGCTTGGTACTTTGCAGCTTATTGTACCCGAAGCCTTCGTTGTTGAACCAGTCGGACCGTTCAAGGCCCTTCTTCTCCCGATCGCTGTATGGCAGCATAGTGTGTTGAAGTGCTAACAGGGGGTTGCTGGCGAATTGAGGGGGTCTACCTAGTACCGAGTTGATATGAGATGCTTGGCAATGCTCTGGATACAAGTGTCCAATGACTCTTGTTATCCAGAAGCCCCAGTCGCCTCCTTGGGTCACTGTAATAAGACGTTTAGCTCTGGTGCCCTGAGGAAAGTGATGCTTGACTCACCATATTGGTTATAGCCAAGCTTGATCATGAGGTTGTTGAGAACTTCGGCGTATTGTGCAAGGCCGAATCCACGACGAGTCACACCTGAGGAGAAGCCAAAGTTTGGAAGCGATGGTGCCACAATATGAAACCCAGGGTGGTTGTCGTCTCCCTTCAACAGCGGGAGAAGCTTCGAGACTTCGATGAAAGATCCAGGCCCTATCGGAGAATGAGAAACTGTGCTTTGAAAACAAACAGAGCATTTAGGGACAGTGTTGGCTCACATCCATGGATGAACAGTAGAGGAATTGCAGCTTTGTTCGTGTTGATTTGATGGATATCTGGATTACTCTATGAGTATGAACTCGAAGTTCTCGATCAGTGATCAATGCTCACAGTGAATGTCCAAGTTGCCAAACCCATCAACTTGGACTTGCGTTTGATACTGGGGCAGCTCGTTCAACTTGGCTTCTGCTTTCCGCCAATCAAATCCATTTTTCCAATATTCCACCAGACGCTGCACATCCTTGACGGGAGTTCCACAATTCCAAAGGTCTTCCTCATCAGACTCAAGCTGAGTGGGTAGCCTGGCTAGCGCCAAACGTTGTTGGACATCTTTGAGACTCTCGTCCGGAATGGAGATTTTATATGGCTGGATTTGATCTGTCATGATGAGTCTTTGATCTGTGGTCTCTTGGTGCTAGCTGGGCCTTTAAGTAAGGCCCCTTGGATGGCTGTTGCAACATTGGCAAGCACGATGAAGTCATGGCGAAGTGAGTATAAGCGTTTTCCCCCGCATTTTGTACGATATAAATCCTTGCATTTGTAATCCTCACGTTCTCGACCCAAAGCACGGACTGTCAGACTGCATTGTCAAACCTGGAGAAGATCAGCAGAAGTAGATAATTCTATTCATACATCACTCACTGCGTGCAATGTGAAGACTCCAGTGTTGCAACTTCAAGATGGCGGGTCTGGCCCGGGCGCGGCTCCCTTAGTCATCGGACTGTTTTCCCGACGGGCGTCCTTCTTGGCATATTGCGAGTCCAACTTTGTCCATCTTCAGCTTCATCTCAATGTTCTCGTTCCGGGCAGCTACTAGTGCAAGGAGAGGCCTGCGGGCTTTCTCAACCACTCGCAACATGCAAGCCGAGCTGGCATATCAAGTATTCGGACCCGAAAATGGCGAAGCTATCCGGAAGCCCATTTTGATCCTGCACGGCCTGTTTGGATCCAAACAAAACAACAGAAGTATTGGAAAGTACGTGTAATATAGACTGATGCTTTCCGGTCCCGGATACTAACATCCGCAGGGCGTTGGCACGGGATCTTAAGTGTCAGATCTTCGCTCTGGTGAGTTTCCCGGACCGTGAGGAATGAGAGGACGTCAACGGCTAATGGTGAATCAGGATTTGCGGAATCACGGCCAGTCATTCCATGCACCAGAGCACAACTATAGTGTCATGGCCGAGGATGTGCAGCAGTTCATTGATCAGCAGAAGCTTGACAAATGCGTCTTGATTGGCCACTCCATGTACGTGTCTCTCGGGAGCCCGCAGCTACCCATGGGAAACGGTCTGCGTTGTCCAAGCATACTAACCAAAGCGAAGGGGTGCCAAAGCCGCAATGGCAGTAGCTCTCCGTTCACCAGAGCGTGTCTCAGCACTCATCCCCGTTGACAATGCGCCTGTCAACGCTGCGCTGAAAAGCGACTTCCCCAAATACGTCAGGGGTATGCAGAAAGTGGAGGCTGAGAAAGTCTCCAAGCAATCTGATGCTAGCAAGATTCTTGAAGATTACGAAGAGGTACGCCCCTTTTCGACGTCTGATTGTGTCACAATCCTAACAACCAACAGTCCCTTCCTATTCGCCAATTCCTCCTTACGAACCTGATCAGGTCGGAGGAGGACAACACTCTCAAATTCCGTGTCCCACTTTCGGTGATTGGCCGCTCGTTGGATAACATGGCCGACTTCCCCTTCCAGGAGTCGGATAATCTCCAATACACTGGGCCCACGCTGTTTGTTCGCGGTACCAAGTCCGGATACGTGTCCGATGATACTGTACCGGCCATAAAGAAATTCTTCCCTAATGCGAAGATTGCCGATGTCGAAGCTGGTCACTGGCTAATCTCTGAGAACCCCGAAGCGTTCCGCCAAGGTAAGACCTTTTGTTTGTAGCCGACAATGGAATCGCGTGCTAACGACATGACCAGCGGTGGTGAAGTTCTTGGAATGAGTGGGAACAAATCGCCGATTGGCCCATGCTGTGGCCACAGGCCAAATACACATACTGATAGATTCCTATATAGACAATACATGTCACTCAAGACACTCATCTGGCAGGTCGTGTAAAGGGCGGTGTCTTGTAGACGTCCTTTGGTCCCATGTATTGCCTGTCGGGCGACTTACGGACAACTCGGGTATGTCCATGTATAGGGAAATATGGTATGACTTGACAAGTGGGTAACAGCAAAGGCTGATGGTGAAGTAAATTATTTGGGAAGCTTCAATAGTCTTTAGAGACAGCCTGGTATATTTAAGAATGTTTTGTGCTGCGGAGCGTCATCAAATCTTTCGCTTCTTGGCCGTGGGTCCTGCAGCCTTTTTTTCAGCTTTTTTCTTCTTCTTTTCCGCCTTATCCCGCTCCTTTTGCCGCTCCTTCTCCTGGTGCTGCTTCTGCGCCTTTCGAGAAAGACCATCGGCACTACTTCCAGAAAGTGCTGGCGAGGTAGGAACGGGGGAGTAGTCTGAGACCGAAAGTGTGTCGGAGTTGTTGGCACCAAAATCAGACCCCATGGTCTCTCGACGGCGTTTCGGCTTTTTTAAACGCTGGATATGAGGATTTTCAGGGTTTTCGGTAACCGTACACTTATCCTTGTTGAGTGCAACCGTCTCCCGCAACGTCGGTGTTTTTCCCGAAGAAAGAAGGGAAAGGGTAGTGGGCGGTGCAGGACTTGCGCTATTCTCTGACCTCTTGGCTGATAGCTGGGGCCTGTGAGGGGAGGGGCTAGGTTTATGAGCGAGATGCCTAGAGCCCTCGAGCGCTTTGGGTCCATTCGCCAGAGGCTGCGGCTGCGGTTGCGGTTGCGGCGCCTCAACACGTTGCTCAATGGGCCTATTGGAGCCCCGAGGTAACACTGTGTCCTCGAGGGCTCTTAACCGCTTGAGGAAGCCCGTGAGCGTCTTGTCCCGTTCCCTCTGGGCGGATTCCATCTCACCGAACCGTGTGAGTAGTTCTGCAAGATCTTGCTCTGCTGTATCATCGCGGGAGACCATGTCTTTGGCTGAATGTTCTAGCGATTCCAATCGTGCATTGTATTGCGCGAAGAATTTGGTTTGGGCATCATTCTGAAATGTTCCAGCTTTCAAAAGACCTTCCACGTCGGCATTGACCATGTCCAAGAGTGAAGCGCGGGATGCAAGGTCCTTGACAGCATTCTGGAGTTCGGATGCCAGGTTGTCGACATCCTGCCGTACAGATCCAGCCTTGTCGACCAACACGAGAGCATCGTGGTGGTCCCCTTTCAGCTGATCGAGGCTCTCAGAAAGTTCCTCCAGGCTGTCGTTGAGAGTCTCGACTCTGTTTTCCAAAGCACTGGATTCTTCAAGTCTGGCATGTAGCTGAGAATCGTGTTGATTGATGGTCGTTTCCAGCAACTTCAGCGGCCCACTCTGTGCTTCATAGAGCTCGCGGACACTCTGCACTAGGGCAGGGACTTCATTCAAAGCCTGTAGCTGTTCTGGTGTCACGTTTGCCTCTTGCGCGTTGCTCGTGTCCTGCGTTCTGCTCCACAGTTCAAAGAGCTCGCGGACTTTCTGCGCTAGAGCAGGGACTTCATTCAAAGCCTGTAGCTGTTCTGGTGTCACCTTTTCCTCTTGCGCGTTGCTCGTGTCCAGTAGGGCTCTTTCTTGAGCATCCTTTAGGGCTTTGTCTTGGGCGTGTTTTTCCAGCTGAGATATTTCTTGAGCATGTTGCTTACTCAAGTCTGATTCTGCCTTCTGGAAATCTGCCATGCTGTCCATAGCCATTGCGATCTCCTTTTGGGCTTTAACAAGGCCTTCTTTGACTTGAAGGACCTCTTCTTTGGTTGCCCCCAGCTCTGTGTGAATGGAAACTTTGCGAGCGATCTCGGCGAGATTGGCCGCAAACTGTTGACTGAGTTGGTTAAAGTCGTGGGTGAATTTGTTGTTCAGTTGCCCAACAGAGGGGTACATTTTGTGCATCTCCTGGGCCATTAGATTGACAAGATCACCTGTGGTCAAATTCGTGTATCGGGACTCTAGTGATCGAATGGCTTGCATGAGGGTTTCAATCAGGCTCTCAGACTTCTTCACATCGCCGGGAATTCGAAGTAAAGGGTCGATCATCTGCTTCACTTTCTCGAAGGTTGTATCATGGGACAGAGAAAGAGCCTTCAATTGGCTTTGGAGATCCGCAAATTCCGCCTTGGTGACCTTGTTCTCATCCGAGTGGGTGGCCAGAGCATCGAGCCTTCGTGTGGTATCCCAGAACCTGTTGTTAGAGGCAGATTGACCTTCCGACTGCGTTTTCCAAAGCTTGTCGATTTCGAAGCGAACTTGGGTAACTTTATCCAACGCGTCTCTCATTTCTTTAGAAAATGATTCTTGGACGTTGGAATTGATGTCTAAAATTTTGTCCAGGATCTCATCATGTCTCGATATTGCCTTCTCGTGCATCTGAAGCCTTTCATCGAATTTGGTGAGGTTGTTTCCCACTAAACCTCGGTGGATTTCAGAGTCAGTCGTGGAGGCTTGTTCCTGTCCGTGATGTAGAGCTAGCAGACGTCCTAACCGTTCTTCCTCAGTGGCAATTTGCTCAGTGATTGCCTTTTTTCGAGCCTCCATCTCGTTGCTCAACTGGGAATCGTTGTTTTCGGTATTTTTCGCAAGGGCCCTTTGGTTGACGTTGAGACTCGAAGCATCTTGATTGACCCCGGCAAGACTATCTTCGCATTGCTGCGTGTAGACCCCATGGCTGTTTCCGACTGCGTTGGTTTCCCTCTCGGTACTCTCAGCACAGGTCGTGCTTGCACCCTCGGCAGTTTCTGTCGTCTGCTGGCACTGGGGCTCGAGCACTGGGGGTCGAGATCGCAATTGGGTCTGCTGAGAGGCAAATAGGTCGACCGAGTCCTCAAGTTTTGTGATTCTTTGCAATAATTCAGCCGTGATATCAGTGTGATGATGTGAAGTTGGAAGCTGGGAGTTCATCCGGGCTGGTCCAACTGGGGATTTTGTGGAAGCGTGAGACCCAGATCCCCCCGTCTCTCCAATGCCGCTTTTCTCGGCGCGCAATTTGAGCTCATTCTGCGCAGACTCCAGTTTGCTCACTTTCGCGAGTAGTATGGCGATTTGAGGGTCAGGCTTTGGTTCGGAAAATGCCTTATTGATATGAGTTTCAGCTTTAGCAACGATGGCTCGGTGTTGATCGATCGCTTTTGTATGTTTGGCCAGTTCGGTTTGAGCCCTTTCCAGTTGGGACTGGTAAGAGGCGATGGTGCTCATCGGAGACTGCTGGAATTGAGATGCATTTTGCACCCCTTTGGCGAGATGGGCGACCTCGTCCTCAAGTCTGGATTTCTCATCTTCGTGCTTGCTGATCTTGATGGATGAGTTGACCAGATCAATAAGGGAAGCAGGGTTCATAAAATTGGCCAAGTGCGGCTTTTCGCCAGAAGTGGAACTTGGGGGGGTTTCTGAAAGTGACGTTGAGACATTCAGGCCAGAAGGTTTTGGAGCTGAGGCCGAGACAGGCGATATTGGCGCGTCTCTGGGTCTTCGTCGAGGATCAGTTGTGGGAGTTCTTGAATGTGGCGTTGGACCGGTCGGCCCAGAAGCCTTTGGGGCTAAGGCCGAGACAGGCGATATTGGCGCATCTTCAGGTCTTCGTCGAGGATCACTGACCAGAGCTGAAGTCGTAGCAAGATGCAGTGGGTGATGACCACCAAGGCGCTTCGGCAAATCAACATTGATCGTGTGGGCCATCTTCCGTGGGCTGCACTGATCGCAAAATACTCATGATAGTTAGTATTCGTTGCCCCAGTGCAGATGGCGGTATCCCCAAGCGCATTGAACTAAGCTCCAAGTTTGTAGGTCCAACAGACCCAAATCGGATTTTGTTTGGCCGACTGTTGCGCAGAAGATCTCAATCGGCGCAAAAGTTGGAGTATTCAACATATGCAGGTCCGTAGATCTGCACGCAAACGGAGGTCGTGGAACGTGAAGTCGTGAAGAGAAGGAAAGTGGGAGGGCGCGATTGACAGGGAAGAAGGCAAACAAAGGCAAGTATCACACTATCACATTAAATAGAAGACCAGGGAAAATCCACTAGTTTTTTTTAAATAGCAGTCAAACCAGACCCGATCGAGGCCATCGCATTTTCCGTCTTTGTTGATTCTGCCGGGCGGGCAGGCCGCGCCCCTACAGACCTGTCTTTTGCGTTTTTAGAGCTCCGGCGAACCTCATCACACTTAATATCTCACAGATATTGCGCTGCATTATCCTCAATATGGCTGTCGTCAGTCAACCCAGTCTTTCCTTATGGAATCCGTTGCTAACTTTGAGCAGCCAATTTCGACCGTCGCAGAGAGCAAGGAGCTCCGGGGATTGAACCTCATCGCCGCTCATTCGCATATCAGAGGACTCGGTGTCGATGTAGACTCTTTACAGCCTCGGACATCATCTCAAGGCCTTGTGGGTCAGGAGAAGGCCCGGAAGGCCGCGGCGGTGATTTTGCAGATGGTCAAGGAAGGCAAGATTGCCGGTCGCGCGGTGCTCATTGCGGGACCCCCCAGCACGGGGAAGACAGCAATCGCGATGGGAATGGCACAGTCACTTGGTCCGGATGTACCCTTCACTATGCTCGCTGCTTCCGAAATCTTCTCCATGGAGATGTCCAAGACAGAGGCTTTGACCCAGGCATTCCGGAAGTCTATCGGTGTGCGCATTAAAGAAGAGAGCGAGATTATTGAGGGTGAAGTCGTGGAAATCCAAATCGACCGCAGCGTCACTGGCGTGAGTCTCACCAAAACTGATGGTCTCCACTGCATTGACAAACGCTAATTCCCCGCAGGGCAATAAACAAGGAAAGCTCACAATCAAGACCACCGATATGGAAACGATTTACGACATGGGAACCAAGATGATCGATTCGATGACCAAAGAACGTGTTATGGCGGGAGATGTTATCTCGATCGACAAGTCCTCCGGCAAAATCACCAAGCTCGGCCGATCATACGCGCGCTCTCGCGACTACGATGCCATGGGTGCCGATACCAAATTTGTCCAATGCCCCGAAGGCGAGCTCCAGGTTCGCAAGGAGATCGTCCACACTGTCAGCCTGCACGAAATCGATGTTATCAACTCTCGTTCACAAGGCTTCCTGGCCCTCTTCTCAGGCGACACGGGCGAGATCCGCAGCGAGGTTCGGGATCAAATCAACACCAAGGTCGCAGAGTGGAAGGAAGAAGGCAAGGCTGAGATTATCCCCGGTGTCCTCTTCATCGACGAGGTTCACATGCTCGACATTGAGTGCTTCTCCTACATCAACCGTGCTTTGGAGGCCGAGCTGGCTCCTATTGTCATCATGGCCAGCAACCGTGGCCAGGCACGCATCCGCGGCACCACATATACCTCTCCCCACGGTCTGCCGCTTGACTTCCTTGACCGTGTTGTTATCGTCAGCACTGCGCTGTACTCTGGTGATGAGATTCGCCAGATTCTTGCCATCAGGGCCCAGGAAGAAGAAATCGATCTCTCACCCGATGCTCTGGCTCTTCTCACTAAGATTGGCCAGGAGTCAAACCTGCGTTACGCCAGCAACATTATCACTACTTCTCATCTCTTGACTCAAAAACGCAAGGCCAAGGAGGTGAGTGTTGACGATGTCCAGCGCAGCTTCCGGCTCTTCTACGATCCTGCTCGGAGTGTGAAGTACATCAACCAATATGAACAGCGCTTCATTGGGGACCAGGGTCATGTTAGCTTTACTGTCGGAGCCAATGGCGATGCGATGGAGTTATCTTAATTACCCACTCCTGTTAAGTATTTGCAGGGATAAAACTACACCGGGGAACTTTCGATTTATTTTGCTTTTTTTTTTGTGACATCGAATGATGTATGATAGGATTGGCGCTTGTTGAGGTTGATTTGGGCCTTTGGAATTCAATTGCGGTCCTCTCTTTTCGAGGTCCTGATATTAATATTTCAATATATTGCTTGTGTATTTTTCATGTAGCCAATCAGTGTAGTGACTTTGAATTATTGTACAAAGTCCACGGTGCTGCTCCATGGCCCATCGTCACCAGCCCGGCGAAATTCGACACCCTCGCCGAAGTAACCAGCACTCTTCCACGAGTCCATCATCGCGCTGTCGTATGGACCGTTGATATTCCCACCATCCCGAGCATCAGACCATCTGTATTCCCACATCGCAGGTCCTTGCTCTTTTTCTTCTTCCCCAGATGGCGGGTCAACCCATGGTTCCCCTGTCTCGGAGCGATATTGTCGGGTGAGGATTTCGCGTTCGGTGTCGTAGATTTGTTCTTGGCCTCGGCTCATCAAAATGTCGGCGGCTCCAGTAACAGCATCAATTGCCTTCTTTCGGGCTACCTCATTAGGATCTTCGTCCACCATCTCGGCATCCTCGGGGACATTTTTCTTGTTTTTCTTGTTCTGCCATTTGGGCTTTCGGCGAAGACCCTTGCCCAGCCGAGCAAGCGCTTCAAGTATTGTCTCGCCTCGTTCCAGATTGATGATGAGGGTTTTCAAGATGTCGCTTGTCAAAACGCTGTCATTCTCGCGGTCTTTGGCTTTCCGTTCTTCGTCACGTTGCTCGGCAGCTTCTTTGGCTTTTCTGATGTCCTTCTTGGAAACACCGTCCAGCCACGAGTCATGAACAGCGTCCGGGTCGACGGCTTGGCGTACATAATTGCCTGCATCGTCGAACCTGCCCTCCTCTTGCTCAGTAGTCATATTAAAGGCATCAAGAAGAGGCGCATGCTTCTTTTTCGCGCCTGCGCCAAGCTCTTCGTCCACTTTATCGTCGGCGCGTGCGCGCTCTTCCTCCCCAACATCACTATCACTGTCATCCTCATCGTTGTCGACGCCGCTTGCGCCCTTGCTCAGATCAACGTGGAGACCGCCGCCGCTTTTCGAGGAAGCGACCTGGCCCTCAATCTCATCGTCTCGTAGAAAGCGCACGGACTTCTTGTTTTTGTGCAACACTTTGTCGCCGTCCACTTCTTCCTCGCCAAAATCCTCTTGTAGCTCGGCGAACATATCATCGTCGTCGGCATCTTGTTTGGCTTGCTTGCCCTTAGATTTCCCCTTTTCGTGCGCGCCGAATCCCTCATTGTCGCTGTCCGAATCGTATCCGTCAAGGTTGACAGCATTGCGCCGAATTTGCTGACCCCGGCGTCCAATCTCATCGGCGTCCAAAACTGCGTCGTCTTCTGGAGCATCTGCAGCAAGGGCTGAGGGGTTGCGCAGATCGAAGCGTGGCTTTTTTTGCTCTGAAGAATCCTGCGGGTTGGCATCGTAGTGACTGCCGGCGAATTCGTCGCCGGTGCGTTTAGGGTGAAGGGAGCTTGACATTTTGAGTTACTTCCAGGCTCTCGGTTGCCAAAAAAGTGATTCCTTGCAATGCGAGTGTAGAGTATGTTGCTCATCAAGAGCTTGTCTGGGGTCGGAGCGGAAAATCATGGCGGAACCAACTGCGTCACCGACGGCGATCTAGCGGCATTGTACCTTCAACTCGAGCTAACAATTCACTTTCTTTTCACCTTCCTTTTCAACACATATACAATATGGTAAGTTTACTCAAAATATCCCCATGGAAACCCTCACACTAAGCTCATCTTATAGTTCCGACCTGGTTACTGGTCAGACGACCCTATGGACGGTGTCTTGGGCGCTGGTATGGCCCGCCCCGGTGCTGGTGCTCGCCGCTTCGATGAATACTACCGCTGCTATCCTGTTGTGATGCTGCCTGGCCCAGAAAGAGAAAATGTGAACCACGGCGGAAAGGTCATAATGCCCCCGAGTGCGTTGGACAAGCTTACCCGGCTTCACATTACCTACCCAATGATGTTCGAGCTTCACAATGGCGCAAAAGACAGGAGTACCCACGCTGGTGTCCTAGAGTTCATCGCTGAAGAAGGAAAGATCTATTTGCCATTTTGGGTAAGCAAGCGAGACCACCCACTATGTGTGTCGCTTCTGTACTAACACTCGGCTCTTTTTAGTTGATGCAAACATTGTTCCTCGAGCCCGGTGACCTCCTCCAAATTAAATCGACAGACCTTCCTCCTGGTCAATTTATCAAGCTTCAAGCGCAGTCAACCTCCTTCCTCGACATCAGTGATCCAAAAGCAGTCCTCGAAAATGCGTTCCGCAACTTCTCGTGCCTTACCAAGGGCGACGTCTTCACATTCGGATACAATGATCAGGTCTACGAGATGGCTGTGCTCGAGACCAAGCCCTCGGGTTCCAAAAATGCAGTTTCGGTTCTAGAAACCGATTTGGAGGTGGATTTCGCTCCTCCGGTTGGCTACGAAGAGCCACAGCGCACAAGCGGCACCAGCACTCCTGGCAGCGCCATTGGCGGTGGCAAACTTCCTGTCGGTGGGTTGCTGCATCCCCATGGTAGCATGGCGCAATCAATCAACTACCCGGCTATTGCCCCCGAAGCTACCGACGCGGCGGCAGGTGCGCGCGCTGCATCCTCCAACTTCCTGACTGGAGGACAACGTCTGAATGCGAAGAAGGGTAGCAAGGCTCCAACTCCCAACCCTTCAACACCAACTCCGGGCGCCTCGGGCTCCCAAAACCCTCCTCTCCGGAGAACCAACGGTCCCCAGCCCCTCCGACTTCCCCACAATCAGCTTTTCTTCGGATATACCATCAAGCCAGCCAAGCCTCGCGATGAGAATGGACAAGTCATTCCAGACGATCAGCCCAAATTCCAAGGGATCGGGCAAACATTACGAGGAAAGAGAAAGGATCTGGCTGACTCCGCCACCGCCTCTGGCAGTGAGGCTGAGGGTCAGAAGGGCAAAGAGAGTTCCAACAAATCTGACGGTGGACGGACCCTAGGGAAACGCTAGTGTCTACCTTCTATCTACCTACCATCTTATGACATTCTCAGGATTAGATCGGAGTCCCCGGATCTCACGGCAGGAATTCTTCATTAGGGCATAGCAGATCTTGCGCCTGGCGTTCAGGGGCAGTGTTTTTGAATTCCATTTGACTATTAAAATGGACTTGCCAGCTATTACTGCTGTATCGTCTTGTAAATTAGTACTGACTTCTCTTCTAAGTAAAAGATCCTGACTTGCCCCCTTTCAAGGTTGTTTTTCGTTTGCGAGGGGTTCGGGCACTCGCAGCACTCTAAGGCCCCTTTCCTGAACCCGTCACGAGCTGTCACTGATCATGACAGCTATTTTCCAAGGTTGCCTGCATTTCTAGTGTCTAGTCGCCGGTTTATAGGGAACCTACAGAGTTGACCGCAAAATTGGATCTCGCTCACTTTTATAGATCTGCGAGTGGAACTGCTCTTGGCAGCCGAGGCATTGACCTAAAAAATAATTCCTTCACTTTCTTTGTTAAGCTCCCATCATGGCTTCAAACCCCGAAGATCCCCTGGCATCATTTGCCAGGCTAGGAAGCTCAGTTTATCTCCAAGACTCGGACTCCAGCGACAAAACCAAACCAGTCATCTTCATTGCATTCTGGATGAATGCCCCTGCTCGCGCCTTGGCCAAATATGTGCTCGAATACAGACGCCTCGTTCCATCTGCACGAATCATCTTCGTGAGAAGCTCCTCAAATGATTTCCTCTGGCCTTCCAAAAGCAAGACCCGTAGGGATCGCTTGGCCCCCGCCGTGACAGCCATGCAGGGGCTAGTGACCCCTGAAAACCCAGTCTTTTTACACCTTTTCTCAAACGGAGGCCTCTCTCATACAGGACATTTATTGCAAAGCTTGGAAGATGATAACGGGCACTCCGTTGCCAATCTCGGCTTTGGTATTGGATAGTGCCCCTGGAAGTCTGAGTCTGCGATCTGGACTTAGGGCTTTCTCTTTTGCGCTGCCGCAGATGTGGATCCTTCGCATACTTGGCAAAGGCTTTCTCTTTGTTTTCTTACTCTTTACTATGTTGATTCATGCCCCCAAGTCATTCCCGGATCCTATCACACTGGCGAGGAAACTCGTCAACGATACCTCTTTGGTCCAACCCGCTGGACGTGATGGGAAGCTCGCCCGCTGTTACTTGTATTCCGATACCGATCCTTTGGTTGATTGGAGAGATACCGAGTCTCATGCATTGGAGGCTGAGGCTAAGGGCTGGGCAGTGCGTCGCGAGTTATTCAAAGGATCCCCTCACGTTGGACACATGAGGTCTGAGCCGGATCGGTATTGGGGTGTTATCAAAGGGTATCTGGGGGCCTTGGTGTCGACATAATTTTTGATTTCTTCTAATTCTTTCCGGTCGTTTAAACCCACAATGCAACCCACGGAATCCACATCGTCCGCGATCATGAAACTATGTTCAAAAACTTACAAGGGCTGAATATAGACAATAGATTGATAATAATGCATTAAACACTTGGTGGGGGCCTAGGGCGAGTAATGATCACAAACATGCAGCCTCAAGATTTGAAGTCAATAACAGCGACTTCAATAGTTTCCCGATTCCATGGACCTAATTATTGAATCACCATGACTGATCCCCAGAGCTTCCGTCCCAAGTTGCGATGATCTACTATCAAAGTACAAACAATCGGAACAGATTTCCGCGGCTCCCGTATAAGGGAGACACTTACCACCTAGTTTATATGGGCCGAAGACGACACAGCTGCATCATTCGTCTTCATGTGATTATTTCGTTTCTCTGGTGGATTTCTCACCTCGTCACATATTTTCAATTTGGTGGTGTTTGTGTGTGCCTCAATCGCATCCACATATCAACCCGGATTCAATCAAAGGTGAGCTCATCGTGACTTGATGGATATATCTCACATTTTCTGACCGGGAATTCGAACAATTTTCAGGCAAATCAAGGATATCTCAAGACACTTTTCACTGAACACAACAATGTTTCAACATAAAGCCAACGAGGCAAGCTTTCTCAACACAAAGGCGTCGAAAGACTGCCGCTTTGCTCTCCCCGGGTTTGGCAGACCGTTGGACTGGGCTCCAACGGAGAAAAATATCTATGGCGTTGAGAGCCGTAGTATGTTTCCCTCCGCATTGGATGATAGAGATATCGAAGCAGGATATGTGGAGTGAGTTCATATACCTCAGGAAGTACTCAACGCTGAGAATGCATTTCAGTTTGCCTGTTCTCACTCTGCGTGAGATCGCGATGGTAGATTACATGGAGGACTTGACGGACATACCGGGGTGGTGGAAAAAGGTCAGCATGTCTCATTTCTATATTCTCGGGGGTATCTTGGTTGACGATATCGACAGGTTTTTGACCCTGCAGTCCAGGAGCAGTGGAAGAATGCTGCCATGAACGGGGACAGAGACATCACACTCAACATGGCAGAGTGGGTCATTGACGAGCTTCAATTCAAAGCCATGATATACGAGACCACCGACGTTGTGGCTTTATATAACGGAGATGTCACCAAGTCAGACACGAACCTGCCTGACTCGCTGATCAACAATCTCAAGACTCAGATCAAAGCCCTAGAGTTTGATCAAGAGATTTTGAAGTTCTTCCATCCAGGAGCTCTGGCAAAACAGCGAGACTTTATCGCCATGGCTCTGTACCCACTCGTATATGGCAAAAGTCGCATTCTCACCGACCGGGTCATCACTCTCGATGAAGCCCTTGACTATGCTGGCCAAGGCGAAGTGATTCCAGTTCCAAAAGAGACAGGTATCACACGAGAAGACATTGCCTGGCGCGTATTTTCCCGCGCAGATATCCAGGTTCGGCCTTACAGTCGAGAATACCAGTGCTTGCCGTCGGATTGGGAGTTCCGCGAAGACGGCCGATGGCACGTTGCGACATATATCAACAACCTGCACCCAGTCAAGCACCGAAACGTCTACAAGCTTGTCGAAGAGGCTTTCAATTGTATCATCCCGCAGTGGAATGCTACCCTGACTCCCCTCAAGGACATGCTTCATTCCCGTTCTCGTATTGAGTATCACAAGGCAGAGTATTATCCCGTGCCAAAGGAAGTTGCGGCTAAAGCACCCCAGATGAAGCCCAGAGAGTCGCAGAGCGAGTTTGATGAGCGCATGGAGGAATGGAAGATGAAGAATTATACCGCCATTCAGCCTGATGCGGGCAAGTTCTTGCCATGGGCAGTCCCTCCCTGGATGATGGACAAGCTGCCAGAAGATCTCCCGGCTGCAGTTAGAATCGAACGCGGCGTTGATCTCAACCGAGATTATAAAGAGCGCGGCCTGCAGGTCATAACCCGTATGCTAGGCATCGATCTTACCCCAGAAGACCCATCGTTTGAGGCAGACTGGCATGTCGAAGGCACGATGGTGAGCAGCACAATCTCCATTAATATAACACCACTGACACAGGTAGAATGAACACATTTGTGCCTCCGCATTTCTGACCTACGAGCATGACAACGTCGAAGACTCGTACATGGAATTCCGAAACATGGCCGAAACAGCCTCTCTGACTGAAGTCGATCACGAGCCCAACGACTTCATCTGGCTTCGTCAGGTCTTCGGCCTTGAAAACGGTGAACCGGCGATTCAAGCTCCCGGCTCCATTCGTGCCATGCCAGGCCGTTGCATTATGTACCCGAGTACAGTGCAGCACAAGTTCACTCGCTTTGCGCTGAAAGATAAAACGAGGCCTGGACATGCACGAGCTTTAGTTTTCCTCCTCGTTGATCCCAACATTCGGATCATTTCCACAGCCAATATCCCGCCTCAACGTCTTGATTGGACGATGGACATTCCTGAGACTGGCGAGGAACTGAAAGAGGCCATGGCGAAGCTGGCTTTAGACAATCGGAATTCGAAGGGTAATATGCCAATGACACTTGATGAGGCTCTGGAGATCCGGGTCAAGCTTTTGAATGGGTTTCTGGAGTTTACGCGCTACCAACATGTTGCTTTCGAGTCGAATGTTTTGATGCTTTGATTTTGTCTTTGGTCTGTGTATGTATCCTATTGTTTTCTTTCTAGAGTACCTTGAGGCCCAAAATTGATATTTCCCGTGGCATTTTGAAGAATTCAGATATCAAAATTGAATAGTGCATTCCCTTGGCAGAGACCAAACAAAGAGAATTGTCTTTGTCCAGCTACGGAGTACAGTCATACATACGAGACACCTGTTGACTTCAGTGTAAAGCCATCTACATTTATTGAAAAGATAAAAAGTAAAGATAACATTGAAAATCGCCGCGCTATGCCATTTATTCGTTCCGAGTATGCACATGACCCATTTTTGAATATTTCGCCACTGACTGAGCTCAACGACCCTTCATCTCAGGGAATTCGTCGTCGAGCTTCAAACGAGCCGTGACGTTCATACTCATCATTTCTTGAATGAGAAGCTTGGCTGCGTAAGGAATGACCATTTTGACAACAGAGCGCGAAGACTTGCATCCAGGACACCAGTTCAGGTACCCCATGAAACCGCACTGCTCGCAAACATCCACCTCGTGGCGATCAGAGGAAATCATCAGACGCTCAAGTAGCAACTGACTGGTACCGTACGCAATCAAACAATCACGCTCCATCTCTCCGAGACGCAAACCTCCGTTGCGAGAACGACCTTCCGTGGGTTGACGGGTTAAGGTAGCAGTTGGACCCTTTGCACGGGAGTGCATCTTATCTTGAACCATGTGCTTCAACTTTTGGTAGTAGATAGGTCCAGTGAAGACGTAGAAAGGGAGCGCCTCACCGGTGATACCGGAAGTGAGGTAGTCTTTTCCGCCGTAGCTGAAGCCCTTGTCAATGAGGATCTGAGACATCTCTTCGACGGGACTGCCACCGAAACAGGTACCATAGCCGTGCTGGCCAGAAAGAACACCCGCCTTTCCGGCGACAAGCTCCAACATTTTTCCGACTGTCATTCGAGAGGGGAAACCGTGGGGGTTCATGATAATATCAGGGTTGATTCCAGAGTCCGAGAATGGCATGTCGGCTTGATCCGCAATAATACCCACAACACCCTTCTGTCCGTGACGGGAGGAGAACTTGTCACCGACTTCTGGGCGACGTGTTTGTCGGGTCAGAACCTTAATCAGTTGAGTCTCACCCTCTGTGGCCGAGACAAGAACCTTGTCTACGTATGCAGGGTCGGGAAGCTTATATGTCATAGAGGCATCAATGGTTCCACCGCCGCCCATATCACCACCCGGGATGCCAGATGAGTTCTGAACTCTGGGGGAGGCCTTCCGAATGTAGGTTTCGCCGGAGCTCATCAACTCGCCGACCGCGGCCAGGCCATCAGACTCGAGAATTGCGTGCTTGCGGATGGGAGCATCGTTTTCGTATTCGGGGCCCTGCAGTACATCCTTTGCTCCGCTGGGATAAGACTTCAGGGTAGTGACGTACTTGCGGAAGACCTGGCAACGTCCGAAGCCACGGTCCACGGAGCCCTTATTCAAGACCAGAGCATCCTCAATATCATAACCGGAGTAACTCATGACTGCAACGGTTGCGTTCTGACCCGCAGGCAGTTGGTCGTACTTTGTCAATTCAATGGTTCGGGACTTGACCATTGGCTTCTGGGGGTAGACCATGAGATAGAGAATGGAATCAATTCTCTGGAACTGATTGGAAGCAATTGCGCCAATAGCTTGCTTACCCATAGCACATTGATATGTGTTACGGGGAGATTGGTTGTGGTGAGGGTAGGGAATGAGGCCTGCGACAGCACCAAGGACTGTGAAAGGCTCAATTTCAAGATGTGTGTGCGTGTTAGAGATGTCCTTCTCGTAAATTGCGATGTAGGAGTCGTTCTCTTCGTTTACATCAAGATATTCCACAAGACCTTGAGCCAGGAAGTCATCGAACTCCATCTTTCCATCACGCAGCTTCTCGAGGTGGGCGGCTGTGACAAGTGGCTTACTATTCTCAACGATGATCAACGGTCTGCAGATTCGGCCATCATCGGTCGCGACGTGAACGGCTCGCTGGTGGTGATTGATGTAGATACTGACGAACTCGGAGACTCGTCCCATACGACGCAGCCTTCGGAAAGCGTTGAGGAAAGACTTGGGACGTCTCGTCAATCCAGTCGGTGTACCGTTGATGGAGATAGTGTAGGCTCCACGAGTGTAAAGTTGTTTTCCACCAACACTGGAGATTTCTTCAATGCCCAGCATGAACATCAGGTTTCGCACTGGTCCTTCTTCATCGTTGGTTGTGATATGTGTCATGAGAGCCAAATTTTTGACCAGACCACAGGCTTCACCTTCGGGTGTATCGGCAGGGCACAGCATACCGAAATTAGATGGCTGCAAAGCACGAGGACCAGAAACTTTTCTTGTCTTTTCGAACTGCGAACTGATACGGGTCATCATACCAAGCGCTGCAATGTAACTCAAGCGACTCAACACGTGGGTGACACCTGCACGCTCCATACGGAAACGCTTCAAGCTCCAGTTTCCAGTGGAAATTGCTCGGTTCATACCCTGGGTAATATGATTTCCGTGCATAGACACAATAGTATAAGCATCGAACTTTTCAGCTCGATTGCGCTTGTTCAGAACTTTGTCGATGTTCATCTTAATGTCGAAGCAGAATTTCTTGAACAAATCCTCGAAGAGTAGAGCCAGCATCTGGCCTGCCAATTCCAAACGCTTGTTTCCCAGGTAATCACGGTCATCGACCAGGGCCGCATCGTTCTTGGCCATGAGAACACGGCGAGCCATATGAGCAACGTAAATAGCCTTAGGCCGGAAGTTCATATCCTTGACTTCAATGTGGGAGATGATAACGGACGCGATAGCTTCGACAGCTTCTTGGACGTGCGTCTTGCGGTAGGTTGCCTGCTTGCGGTTGATCTTGATTCGACAACCGATCCACTCCAGAGCCTGCTGCTGAGTGCAAACGCCAACATTGATAGCTTCTTCAAAGTTAATCGCGAAGTCATCCTGGTACTGCTGATCGTCACCGGTGACCATTTCCAGCATTTCCTTGTCGGTGTGGATTCCCATGGCCTTGAGCAAGACCGCGATGGGAATGTCTTCATTAAGCACGTTGTGCTTAACATATAAACGTTCTTTCTTCAAGACGATATAACTCTTGGATTTGCGCTCGTTAGAAGAACTGCAGATGTCAGCCATATGGTCCTTTCTGAAGAAATCGGTTCACCTTGTAATTACCTGGTAACTGATGCCTGAACAATCTCTTTCTTCGGATCGGTTTCAACGATAATTCTGTTCTTGCTCAACTGCTCTTGTACAAGAATGACCTTTTCCGTTCCGTTGACGACGAAGTAGCCACCGGGGTCAAGAGGGCACTCATTGAGTACGCTCATCTGAGCGGGTGTCTTGTTTGATAGCACACACTTGGAGCTGCGGAGCATGAGAGGAATTCTTCCGATGGCAACACCTCGTCGAATAACCCTCTGTCGGCCACGAACATATTCGAAGTCGACAAGAATAGGCGCAGCATATGTAGTGTCTCGCAGCCTGCATTCTTGGGGTGTGATCGTTGACTCAAAGTCAAATCCGCCATCGGCTTGCTCGTCGGCGCGTCGAGGTGAGGCGACATAAACGTCGGTGAATTTGATATAGAAGTTGTGGTCCACGTCACTGCGAATGGTAGAGCTCGACTCAACAATCTTCTTCATTTGCACTTCGACAAAGTAGTTGTATGAGTCGATGTGCTGCTTCACCAGTCCCTTGACCTTGAGGAAGGCCGGCAGCAGGTTCCATTTGTCCTTTGCGGTATCAATTGGGTCCGTCAGTCCCTTGTTGTAGTAGAAGGGCTCCAAAAGGGCATCAAAGGGATCGCGCGGCTTGAACTTCGGGGCATTGGGGTCATCTTGAGCGGACTGCTCAGGCGCAGTGTGCTGGTGAGTCTCAGGCACAGGGTTGGATTGAGAGGGACGCTTCCGCTTCGTAGGATCTGTGGAGGATTGGGCGCCAGCCTAGAAACATGGCAATAGGTCAGCACATGGTCAACGGCATAAAGCTTTTGCGACGGAGAAAAAAAAAGTTTTGTTACCTCTGAAGGACGTCGCTGACTAGCCGCAGAGGGCTGGGGCCTTCTGCGAGGAGGCATATTGGCAAGAGCGCTTATATGCAAAGATAGTTCACGAACTATCTCGGACTCCTCGTCTAAAAATGAGCTTGCGGCCTTTTCCGCATGGAGGGGAAAGATTTGATTAGAGCTATCAGCGCAACGGATTCTGACATAATCGGGAAAATTAATAATCCGGGCTGACAAATGTAACGGATGGCTTCAAATGTTCCAAGGTTCCAATGTTGTATATAGATCTCACAAAAATGCCCTAGTTGAACGTGCATTGCAGGTTTTACCTATGTCTTCATGTAAAGTTATCGACTACACCAAACAAATCTTGTGGTTGATGATCAATCGGTTTGAGCCAAATACTACACCGGCAGGATGTCCGAGCATGCTATTTTCGAATTTCATCTCTTGTTCTACTGTCAAATGACCTTGGAACTTGAATTAATGGAAGAAAGTCTACCAAATTGGCAAATTCAGCAAACACAGTCTTAGGATCGGAACCATTCAGCCAATCACATAGTCGTACGAGCCAGTCATCCCGATGGTATACTGAGATGGAGCACCATGCCAGCTACGAAGAAAGACCGAGGCGTGGAGTGCATGCACTGGTGCAAAGCTTGGGCAAGGTCGATGCCTACGAAGTTGTGGGGAGCCTTTCTCGAAATTCTCTTCACGGTCTATACTTGCGGACTTGAGTTTCGGTGTACCTGTAAAGTCGTGGAGCATGTTCCAGATGGTCTGGTTATCAAGCGAAGTTTCGAATGTGGGGTTGAATACTCAATAGAGAGATACTTAAAGTCCGTAATGAGATCGTTAAATAGGGAAATCATAGTAGCCATGGAACTAAGGCAGGACCAGAGGTGAATTGAGTACGAGGATCAGAGGCAGAGGGAACTCAGCCGCACCCAATCTGGACTTTGCTTATACTGCGCCCAACTACGTCAGTTTACATGTCCTTCTGGATTTTGCATGGAATTCTATCCTATAATCTCATGTCGAAATGAACACCTGGGCAGTGGCTTCCACACGAGCCTCGTTTGCAGAATCAGAACCTGTTTCCCAATAGAATGGGTATGGATCGTTTGCCACGTCTTTTAGATCCGATTGAATATTCGAAAGTTGATGGGGTTTTTATTGGCTTTCTCTGGGATTTTTGGACCCTGCTGCTAAAGTCCTGACCGATATATACATCGCACACAGTGGAAATTGCTTAGAGTACTCCATCCAGGCTAAATCATATTTAGGTACAACGTTGTGAGCCGACTTTGATTTGTTTTCTTTTGAATTTTGGCTCACTGGTTTAGTGAAATAATCATGCAAGGCTGTTGATGAGGCCATGTCTACGGGTATTGTCAAGGATCAGTGACATGCTAGAAGTGGGTCGTCGCGCATGCCAGCCCCGAACGTTTATCTCTGCACGGACGAATTGATCGAAAATCGGTCTAATTCTGCTGGAGAAAAGTGATCTATAAAGCCCAAAATCTTGGAAGAAGCGGTCACGTTTACTACGTATGGGTACTCCGGAATTAGAAAGGAGTTCCCTTAACTAGACGCGCAAGGGCTTGGATGTTCGGTACAATGATGGACATGGTCGCACCGCTTGGTATGATTCATCGAGAATCGGGACCAGTCGGTCATGTATCCGCGATTGACGAGGAACGTGATCTCTGTGGCAAGGACATGAGTTTGACCGCAAGATTGGAATTGCCACCGTCAAACCTAATAGGTGTAAGATACTCGGGTATGTTCTGCTAAACGACATTCCTTCAGAGGGCTGGTCCTTGAGCTGACCGGAAATATGCGCCCATCCGCAAAATGAGGGGTATGCGGTCATACCGGAGGTTAGTGAGGGTCTACTCCGTATAATCTCTAGAGTTGTAGACTGGATTTCAAGAGTTTCCAACGCTGTCCGCACGTGGACAGGATTTACATCTCGGCACACTGACGAAATTTGTTACCCGGGAATTATCAAAGCGACATATTGACCAGGATCCATCTGCTTTCGAGTCTAGAAGGTCCATTACAGGGCGATTGCAGGCTCGAGTTCACGGAAGCGACGGAGGACTTGTTTCAGATATTATTTGCCCGTACTTTTGGGAGTTGCACGTCTCGCAGGTCGACTCCAATGCATTCATGATTCGTTCCAGAATCGAGGCAGCCAGTCAATCGCGGCGTCACGCGTTGGGCATGAAAGAAAGCGGGTAATGTATTGGATTATTTGGGCGTCAATAAGTGGGTTTTTGAGTCCACCTCGAGAGGATTGTGGTATAATTGAGATTATCGGGTGCCGCGGCGATAGCTGGCACACTAGTTCGTTTCCGGAGTACTCGTACTGGGGTTGGATGTATCACTTGGAGATCATGGGGTTTGCATATTGGAGAATTCACCTAGGGTACGGAGTACTTCCAAGTTATATACTCCGTACTCACCCTGTGACTGGAGTTCCTCAGCACAGACCGGAGCGAGTACACTGCGTAACTACTACGCCTAAACATAGTCATAGAGGGGTAAAAGTGGTCCATCGGCGATCGCCTGAATAAATCCTTCTCCTAATAAGTAATAAGGATGACGGCGGGGGGGCATTGATCTCCACTAGTATGCTCGTCATTCGGTGGATCAGGGGCTCCGAGCGACACGATCAGCGTTGGCTGGCACGGTACACCGCTTGTCCTGAGAGAGCCCTTATCGTGCATATTGTGGAGTTGGAAGCCCTAGGAATTGGGGACGATAATGGTAGAGTATCATAAATACTTAATTATGGCAATGGAAGATCAGTAAATAATAAGATCGGAAATATAAAGCCCTGGAGTATAAGAAAAAGGGGGCAGCTGAGCCATGGAACCAGAACAAAGAAAAGCAACGAAATTGGCCCCTTTGATTGGCGTGATATTAAATACTTCATCTTCCTAGATCCAGGTACAGACGCCTAATCTTAATCTGCTGTCACATCTTCGGGCAGGGAGTTCTTTTCTCTTATGCAGCTGCCACGCTCTGGAGAACAGCGCATTGAGAGCCCTTGCGCGACCGTCTTGCACAGCCCAGGTTGTCTCTAGTCCACCATGGAATTGACCATTCCTGGACGTCTTGTACTTTGCGCCGTGTGCTCTTCCCGGGATTCATGCGCCCAAGTCATACAGGTATTGAAGGTATTCCAATCACCAGGTCCCGATTCAAGTCCGAGTGACAGCATTCACCTGTGGTGTACGAAGCGCTCTGTATAAAAAATACCTTTATATATCAGGTTCACGGGTACGGAGTACGAGTATCTATAGTTGTTTTGCCCCGAGATCCCATTTAATTTAGCGTCTTGCCACTGCGTTGAAAGAAAAAAAAACAAAAAAAAACTTAGTATGCAGATGAGAGTGTCTAGAATTATATTGGAGAAATAAATATGATATTATATACACCGTAGGGGCAAAGAAATAGAAGAAAAAAAGAAAACAAAATGCAATAAACTGGCAAAGGACACTCCCAAAAAAGGATCTCCCCGCTCTGCTCTGGACTCCCAGCCATTTTCTCCCCCCCCTCTCACTTCTTCCCTCTGCAACTCCCCTTTGTACAACAGTTTTGTATCGTTCATTTGGGTTATTGTTAGGTTGTGTTTCCTTTTTTGCGCGACACGCTCGTTTCGCCGCGCCCTCGATTCCTCGCTAAGAGCGGTAAGAGAGCTCCATCCCACTCTGCAACCTCCCTGCTGATCTCCGCATCGTCAGGTACACACGATATCCTCCAAAAAAAGAACCCTGACGCTACTGAATCTATTCCATCTAAAATCGCATAGCATCATCCCCCCGTCGCCCCCATTTTGACACCTCCCGAGGCGTTCATTGTGTGAGTTACGTCCCTGTGCGCGAAACGCAGATCACCGCCGGCCCCTCAGCCCCTCTCTCCGATTTCCCCTTACTTGAGACCGAACACACCGCCCATCACTCGGACATTTCCCTGCCACCGTAGGAGCGTGGTGTAATACCTGGGGCTGGTCGTGCTTGCGTTTCTCCAGAGCTCTAAAACCCTCGTTGCGGGCATCAACAACATTCAGACCTTAGCTGACCGGTCGACTCTTTCTTTTTCGGCGTAGCTGGACACTTCAGCTCTACCCACGATGGCTTTCAAGCACGGGCTGAGTGAACGCCTCGATGAGCTGCGATTTCCATCCCCTCGGTCCCCGCCTTCGGAATCGGCGTTCCCTGGGTACACCTCTCTGTCCCCAGGGCACTCGAACTTTGGATCGGGATTCTCCTCCCGGCCGGCGGGGGCGGGGGACGTTCGAGCAAATCTGCAGCGTCGGTTTACCACCGACTCTAGCAAATTCTCATCATGGGGACATCTAAATCAGGGTCCAGCGCTGGGCTCGGGCCCGGGGTCAACACAGGACCCATTAGATCTTTTGTCTTCGGTAAGATTGAAATTTCCATAAGCATGATCCTCGTTTTATATGCATTATACCCATTGAAGCAACCTACTTTGATTTCATTTGCGGGAGAAAGACTGCCGTATCCAAAGCAAGGTTTTGATGTTGGGATTCAGAGCAGCGAGAGAGTCTTGTTAGTGGGAGATATTTGCGATTACAAGTGAGGTGCACCCTCACTTTACTCGTAATCTCTCACCACTTGACTCGGACTCGTGCCCTACCCCATTTGGAAGTGCGGGCTCTCTCTCTCTCTCTTTTTTTTCTCCCATCCTATTTCTCCTCATTTTCCCCATTCATCCCTCTTCTTTCTATTCAACCTCTCCATTATCCCTATTGATGCATGCATTTTTCTTTATGAATTAAACCAAACCACCCGCACATGTGATTGTTTCCCATTGAGGGATCAACCGCATTCTGCTATTGGGGCATTCACTTGAGCTGGAGTCTATTCGGACTTCAATGAGAGTATCGCCGACTCAGCGAGTCTGGTTCCTATAAAGCGATCATTCGCGTTCTCCATTTTGACCTTTCCTCCTTCATACCTGCTATTACTGCGTTGGTACTACGTTTGAGCATTCATACCTCGTGTCACTGGAATCCTTCTACCCCTGTGATTGGGTAACATCGTTGCTTTTCTCATTCATACTGCGTGCGTTGGTTGAACATCTTTGCCTACACTTTTTCTTCTTGCCCTGCCTTCTTGCTTTCCTGCAAACTCTCCTTGCTGCACTGTTCTGTCTTGTATGCTGTGGATGTTGCCCTGGGGGCGTTAAATCTCACTTTCCCGTCACTACTGCCACACAGCCTTCACACATTGTCTCTATAAAATCCTTGCTTTGAAATGTTCGTTATTTATTCCTCTGAACTAAAGCTAACTTCTGCAGCAGTTTGAAAAGAAGAGGCAGCATATTGAGTACATGCGTGAACAGAAACGCCGCTTCGAGGAAGACATGAAGATACTTGATCTGCAACACGCACGGGAGAAACTTGAGATGGATCAGCTCTCCCGGGAGTTGGCTCAGGCTGGCCTCGCTGGTCCTCTCAGCGAGCCCACCACTCCCCCGGAGTATCGTGAAACCTCCGTCACTAGCGCTTTTGGTCGTCCCAGTCGGTTCTCTACGTCAAGCGTTACCTCATCGCCAAGTTTCTTCAATGCCTTTGCTCCATCAACCTTGACCTCCCCTCAAGCCCCCGCTCAGGCAAACCAGCCAACATTGGATCGCTTCGCTGGCCACTCGGTCCCTGGATCCCGTCGAAACTCCGAGAAGGATGATTTCCTGGCCGATCCTACCTCGCCTTTCCGACCTGCCCCCAAGTGAGTCAACCAATCCACACCTGTGCCATCTTCATTTTAAGTTCAACTAACGAGTGCTTCTTCTCTCCACAGTGGTCACCGTTACTCAATGCCCTCCGGAAACACCAATGGTCACAGTCGAAACAGCATCTCTGGATTGTCGGGTGTGAATTCTGCAATTGACAAGTGGTCTAACACCCAGTACCTCTTCCCTGGCGCTGAGGATAAGTCGCTGGGACATCTCCGCGATTTGGAGCGGCTCTCCACCCCTGACATCAAGAGTTACATCAAGTTGACGGAGCCCGATGACAAGTTCCCTACTCTGTCCCGCCGAGGTGATTCCAACGTTCTGTCGGCAAACCCTGATGCGCACGACCTTGCAAACCCTCGTGCCCATGGAGGTGAATCCTTTTCTCACCACAGCCGAAACCGATCGTCCCACCAGAGCCTGCCCCACAATATCATTAACTATGGACAACCCTCCAACGATGATCACGGAAATTATGTCCACGCGCGCCATGGGACCCGCCATTCACTGAGCAGCAACCTGTCATTCCACGATGATCGTCATGATGAGGTGGTGACCCCTGTCCCTTCCACCCGTCCCGCTGCTTTGCAGTCTTCGTATTCCACCAACGATCTTCCAACCGTGAAGGCTAACGGGAACACGAATGGACATGGCCATGCTATTACCCCGCCTAAGACTCAACACGAGCAGATGCACCAGCACAACACAAGCCTGGGGCGTATCCCTCAGGGTGCTGCAAACAACCGCCAGGCCAAGAATGAGGTGGATGAGTCTGATGTCAACGGCAGCCATCAGTCCCAAACAACCTTGCAGGCAAGCGCTGCGCCATTTGGACCGCAGCTCACCCCAGCTGCATCTGGCAACCATGTTCCCGGCGGCATTACCCAAATGACATTGCCATTCCAGGTTCCCTCAGCTCCTAACTATGGTTACCCAGTTCAGCCATATGTTAACCAGGTGGCGGCTCCCATCAACGGACACATGCAGAATTTCAATGCTGCTGCTGCTTACAACGGCTTCCCTGCCTATGGTCCTGGTTTCCGCTTTAGTGAGCCTGCTCCTCGGGGTAACATGGCTCAACGCCGCCAGGAAAATGATGCCAGCCAGCTGACTCGCTTTGGTAACTACCCCCTTGAGCACTACAAGGGTGAGCTTTACAGCCTATGCAAGGACCAGCATGGCTGTCGATACCTGCAGCGGAAGTTGGAAGAGCGTAACGAAGAGCATGTGCAGCTGATCTTCAATGAGACTTACATGCATGTGATTGAGCTGATGACAGGTATGCGGGTTTTCCTCCTTTCCTTCGCGGATATATGAATGCTAACATGTTTGTGCGAATAGATCCCTTTGGAAACTACCTGTGCCAGAAGTTGCTGGAGTATTCCAATGATGAACAGCGCACCGCTTTGATCGATAACGCATCATCCCAATTGGTCAAAATCGCTCTGAACCAGCATGGAACCCGCGCTTTGCAGAAGATGATTGAGTTCATTTCGACCCCTCGACAGACTCAAACTGTGATCAATTCTCTCCAGAACCATGTTGTTGAACTTGTGCAGGACTTGAATGGAAACCATGTCATTCAGAAGTGCCTTAACCGTCTTTCCCCGGAGGACGCCGAATTCATTTATGAAGCGGTTGGAGGTAACTGTGTGGTCGTTGGTACTCACCGTCATGGATGCTGTGTCCTTCAACGTTGCATTGACCATGCATCTGGTAACCAGAAGGCCCGTCTGATTGCCCAGATCACCTCCCACTCGTTTGCTCTTGTCCAAGATCCATTTGGAAACTATGTGGTGCAATACATTTTGGACCTCAACGAACCCAGCTTTACCAACCCGCTGTGTGCGACCTTTGGTGGAAATATCCCTCAGCTTTCTAAGCAGAAATTCAGCTCCAATGTCATTGAGAAGTGCCTCCGCACTGCCGACAACTACATGAAACGCGAGCTGATTGACGAGTTCCTTATGGGCGGTGAATTGGAGAAGATGCTGCGTGATTCCTTTGCCAATTATGTTGTGCAAACTGCTATGGACTTCTGTGATGCCGAAACTCGCAACCGCATTGTCGAGGCTGTTCGCCCTATTCTCCCTTCCATTCGCCAGACTCCCCACGGTCGTCGCATTGCTGGAAAGATCATGGCTGCCGATACCAATGGACGCAGCAACGGCAGCAGCACTGTGACGAGTGGTCAGGCAACCCCCAACGAAGCCAGCACCACTTCTCAGGTCCCCAAGGCTATGCTGCAGAAGCCTTTCATGTATCAGTCCGGTCAATCTTCCGGAGTCTCGTCCCCAACCCCAAATGGGTACAGCAACGGCAGCAATGGGTCCTACATCCCTCATTCCTCGCAGAGCTCCGTCTCCAACACCCCTTCCGGACAGAGTGACAGCTCGTCTATCTACCCCGCCCCGGCTTCTCAGCAATCCGTCAGCGTCGGAGCGCAGAGCCAGCCCTACACCTACTTCTGATCTGGGTCTGATCCCACATCAGTGGTCCCTTTTACAGCGACCAGTGTACCCATAGTGAGACGATGCGACGATACTTTGATTTTTCACTTCACGATTTAACGCTTTTCTACACACTGTCATCAATACAGGCCCGAATGCATATGCCGTGATCATTGACTCTGTGATTTACCACTTGCGTTTTTCTGCATACACCTTATGAAGCAATGTGCCATGATCATAGCTTTTGCACTACCTCTGCCCATGTTGCATACAGCATATCTTCCATGAAGCGAGCCATGCATGATGCAGATTTCACCTGAACTCTGTTCCCCCGTTTACCCCATGTACTTCATGTTTTCCTTACTTTTTCCCCCGTGTCCGGCTTTCCGATTTGGGATTGACCGACGATGGCTCTGGATCGTTCTTCGGTCTGGGTTCATCGTCGCACGGATTGGTATCTTTAGCTTTTGAGATCGTCTTTTTTACCTTTATCTTTTCATTTTTTCCCCTATCATTACTTCTTCGACTTTGTGATCTTTTTCACCATTATTATTATCAGCCAATGTACTTTGCGTCTTGCTTTTTACCAATGGCCTTTTGTGTTCTGCAGGGCATCCCGGCTTATCGTTGCAGCAAAGCACCTGGGCAGGCACAGTCAAGCAGGGGTTCTCAAGGATTCAACAGCTCTGATTCTTACCCTGATGCCACCCTTGGTCTTTGACTTGCGACGATAGCCATGATACTTATTCTTATGCCAGTTCCCTGCAGACACCTTTTGCTTGTATTTTAACAATGGAAGACGAATTCGGTTTCCACAACTCCTTTTCATTTCTACTATCATTCCAGTGCTCCGTAGTATAGAACAAACAGAAATTAACAAGCAGAATTAAGCCCTCCAAAATGTCTGCAGGGATTGTACAGTTGTGACGCCAAATTTGAGCCGCGACGTGTGATCACGTGCATCGGCGTAAGGAGCCGCCCTTGTCGATATCGCAACATCTGATCTTTATTACCAGCGTGGTCTACAAAGTCCGACACAAAAAGTGAGCCACCCATGCTACCTGCTCAGGTTGCCAGCTTGCTGAGCGCTCAATGGCCCTGTCGGGAGGTCCAGAGCCGGCAGCTAGCCAGTCTTCTAAGTGTTAGTCGGAAACCAACATGGCGCAATCAGGGAATCGAAAAACTGACCCAGAATCATCTTTGAACAGCCTTACACACCTAGCTCATCTGCATTGGTGATCAATGGCATCTCTGCAACCTGCAAATCCACTATTCTCCGCGCCGTCCTATCCGCCATCAAAGTGTCACATGCATTTGTCCGCAGCTCGGAATGCATTACCGGCCGGCATCTCCTCACAAAGATCCTGTGGAACACTCTTGAAGCACTTGGCTTGAAAGAAGAATGGGAAAAAGCTGGCAAAGGACGATGCGAACATGTCAGTGGCTTGTCTGTCCTCCTTGAGGAGTGCCTGCACCAGCCCCATGGAAAGGGTCCCAAATTCGTCTTGGTCTTGGATGAGATCGATAGGCAGAGGGAGGCATCACCTACACTTTTGTCGGCATTGGCACGACTAGGCGAGATTGTGAGTTTGTGTCATTGGTGATCGGATTTTGGAAATTTGGACTGACAATTGAATAGATTCCATCTCTCACTGTGGTGATGGTTCTAAGCTCAACTCCCCGTCCTCTGTTCCTCCAAAGCGCAGGAATTCCGCACATCAGTTTCCCTCCGTACACGCGAAAAGAGGCCATTGAGATCATCCTTAGTTCAAATCCTCCAGCTGTTGAAGGCTTATCTGATGAAACTGTGGCACATATTTACCCATACTTTGTGTCAACCGTTTATGACTCGCTGGTTGGACCAACTGCAGGATCAATCCCAAATTTCCGCTCAATAGTCGAGAGACTGTGGCCGCAGTTCATTGCACCCGTCTTGAATGGCGAGGCCGCGCCAGGAGATACAGGGGAATGGGACTTTTCTCGCCTCCTGGTCAAAAACAGATCCATTTTCAGGCACCAGGGTGAGTCTGCACTTGTGCACCGTATTGTTCCTGACGAGACAGTGTCTGGCATTACCAGGGCCCCTCTGGCAAAGACGGTCATGCCCTCCGCACTTCCCTCTCTGCCATACTTCTCGACATTGATTCTCACATCCGCATACCTGGCTTCACACACACCGCAGCGGCTTGATACGATCTTCTTCTCAAAGTTCTCTTCATCGTCTCTTTCAGCACGTAACAAGCGAGCCCACCACCGTCGTCGTTTGAAGGTTCTCTCCCAGGCACAGGCCGAAGAGAGACAAGCCGCAAATGATGATCTGGCAAAACCAAGGAGAGGCAAAGGCAAGCGAACCAAGACTCGCATTACAAAGTCAACCCTCTCCTCCGCTTTTGCAACATCCTCCGCCACAACATCAGCTGTTGGAGGCGGCGGAGGCATCACTGGTCCTTCAACCATTCTCACAGCCCGTTCGTTCCCACTCGAACGTCTACTGGCAATCTATCACGCCATTGATCCCAATCCACCTGCGACTGCAGTCCGTGTCGCGGCAGTTGCGGATCGAATTTACGCTGAACTAGCAACCCTGCGTCGCCTACGTCTGGTTGTCCCTGCTGCAAGCCATAATGGAATGGCGAGTAGTAGTGGAAACACCAGTGCAGATGCAGGAGACAAATGGTGTGTCAATGTCTCTGGTGATTGGGTCGGGGAATTGGCCAAGGGCATCGGGGTTGAGGTTGGTGAATGGTTAGCTGGTGGCCTGGATTAGTTATTGTGTAAGATTATGCATTTTTTTTCTCAGGGAGTAGTTTGGTTTTGCATGAGATCCTGATATTAAGATCGAATTATACCCAGGTTTACAATTTCATCTACAATCTACGTAGCACAGTTGGTTTTGACATTTTCCATTCCTAATCATACACCTCGTGAGGCCCCCGTGGGGAGACCTCACGAGTATTCGGCCACCTCACCCCACTGGGTGCTAACCAGCAGGGTGAGGTGACCGTTGCAGTGGTCGAATTTGACCCTGCTCGCACCCCCTGACTTGGAGATGCTGGATTGGACGGGGGTGCCGTCCTTCAGAGAGAGCAGGCGAGGCACTCTCTCTCTGTCCACTAAAAGGAGGGTCAGCAAAATCTGAATTCGAATTGAGCATTTTATGAAGTGAACGCACCCAGGGCCAATAGGCCCGTCTCCGGGTACACCTCGAAATGTGGAGGCGTGATAAAGAATGTGGACTCTCTCTTCCAGTACGGCACAGTCTGGCCGTTAACCTCCTTTCTGTATCGCAAATCGTACAGGCGGATGGTGTTCTTGATTCTCAATGTTAGTGAAGAATTCTTTGTAGCAGGATATTGTGCACTCACATTACCCCACGCTCTCTGTGAGCCAGGACCATTGGGTCCAGAAACAGCCAAGTAGTCACCGGTTGCTTTGATATCAGAGATTGGTCCCGTGTGGATGATGCCTTCTGAGAATGTGTCCGATTGTCGTTTATCGGTCAGAAGCACTTTCGCTCCCGCACCCCCAGAAGCGATCAGGTTTGGCGTGATGAAATCCACAGCCCACGTATCTTTTTCAGTCCAGCGAAGCCGACCCCGATGCCCGGAGCCAGATCCATTAGCCCCCCAACACGCATCAAACTCGTAGCCGGTGGGTGTAACTTTAAGGTAGTTCAGGCCCTCTCCGGAAGCGATGGCAAAGTCGGGAATGTACCCGGTGCGCTCAGAAGCAATAGCACGACACACTAAAGCTGGCTTGTCGATGTGAATATCTTCCGTTGCTTTGAAGTATTAGTATAAAACGCCACTCCTGGGAAGGTAGATCAGGGGAAGGAAAAAAACATACTGGTTGCTGCAATGCGGTCCGGCTCGGTGATTTTATGGACGTACAGCTTGAATCCGACTCTTTCCGAGGATGCAAGACTGATTTGTTAGTCTGAGTATGTCATGCTTCAAGATATGAGCCTTACAGTAAGTGTCCTGATCCGTTGAGACCCGCCGCAGTCATCTCCTACAGGTGTCAGTGTGGGTGGTTTTCTTTGAGGGGTTGAAAGAAAGCCGCCATGAGACTTACAAAGGTAGGGAGGCGGAGATTCCATTGTCGAACCGGGGAATCATATGTGAGCAGCTGGCTTTTGGTGGTCCCGGGGGAATTAGGGTAGGTGATCCTGCGCTCTTCGTCAGTATACACCAGCGCCCTATGGCGATGGAGACTCAACTTACCAAACGGCACTGGATCTTGGGTGGTTCGCGACTGTCTAGAGTTAAATATGCTCGAAGAAAGGCATTTGAGAGAGACCCACCTTGAATCAATGTGCCGTATCTGGGGTCACGAAAGAGGTTAAGCACGTGGAAATTTTCTTCTGGGAACTGGGGAGTTTGGAGTGGCTTGGCCTCCAAGTAGTGAACCGATTGCCTGGCTCGCCGGTCTTTGAGCTCCTCGGGGGAGATGTATCGGTATCCGATCTCTTCAATGACACGGTACAAAGGGTTTGTGAGAATTGGGGATCTCTTGACACGTTCCTTTGCCACTCGGCCCTCCATTTCGGTAGCTCGTTTGGTTTCCTTTTGTTGGTTAGCCGATAGGATCAGAGAGAATGGGGCTGATGCAATGAAGGGTCATGATACTCACGGCGGTTTTGTCTTTGCGTCGGCTCACGTCGTCTCGTGTGTAGCTTGCTCCCTCTGGTGCCTGGTGATTGCCCAGGATCTTGAAGTATTTCTTCTTCGTCTCGTCTGTTCGACCGAGTCAGAGTTGGTTGAGAGAGAAGCGAGTCGTGGATAGGCTCGCAGATGAGTGATGGTCGTGCGGATGGAACGATCAGGGAAGAAAGAATGGCCAGGGGATTGGAAACACGTAGAGACATGAGAGAGGAACACGGAATGGCAGAAGGAAAAGAAAGAATGCGTTGACCACACAGGATTGGGAAGAGCAAAAAACGAAAGGAATCAATAGGGGATTCTCAACACGCAAATGATGGAGTCACTCTCAACCCATTGAAGTGGTATCAACTTTGCAGCCGCCGCATAGAATTCGGGACCAGACTCACCATAATAGAAACCGGGGAGGCGAGGAGGCATTTTGAGATGCCAGAAATGATGTGAAATGAGAAAAGAAAGAATAGGAACAAATAGAAGCAGTTCAGGTAGGGGAATAGATAGATAATATCAGGTGTTCGGAGTGAATAAGACTTTTCTTTCCTGAGAACTCCGCGCAACACCACGCTGAAAATGACAAAATGAGAACGAATGAATTCGGGTTATTGAGTTGACAGGAAAAGAAATGCAACGCAATTAGAACTGTACTCTGGATATTGTACTGCAATGGCAAATGTCAAGTTCAAATGCGCAGTGACGTGAGGATTCTTATGTAATCTCTCAGGTGACCGTCGGCCCTAAGATCTATAGACGTCAATATTTGCACGATTGCTGTGTTTCAGGGTCAATATATGGGATTCTGATTCAAATACCTTCAAGTAAAGATCAGTTTGAGTTCAGAAGCTTCAAGTATGCATATGGCGTGAATAAGTGGCGATACGATTGTGTGTATGGCGATGTATCGTTGTGGTCTCAAGACTTACCTAGAATGGGTGAAATGGGTTTTCATTAGTCGCAGAAATCATAAATGAGTCGTAGGATTAGTCGTAGAATGAGCCCTCGCGCGCCATTGGCCGGATTGGTCTCCTTCCTCGCCAGATCCCACGACTCATAGTTCGGTTCACGACTAATAGCTTCAGGTTGCCCGGTCGATGCTGTAGAAGGATCCCTGAACTTGAATGGCATGAAGCTCATTATTTCATAGGCCTTCAATTGCAGTCCACTAGCGTGGTTGTATTGAGACTGGGTGTGGCTGTTTGGTGCGTGGTTTTTCCCTTCCTTGGGTATACTCGATCGCACCTTCGGTCTTTGGCTTCGCTTTTTCTTTTCTCTTTCCATCCCCCATCTCAATCTTTCGGGATAACCAACTCGTTCGAATCACTGAAACAAGACCCATCATCTCTTCTTTCAGGTAAGTTGACAGGATGCTTGAGTTTGTCTGTTTGCTTCATCGTGAGATTCACGGTCCGTTCAACTGTCGCCGCTGGATGCATCTCCGCCGCATCTTCTAAGACCAAGCTTGTAGCTGCATCATCACACATGCCATCACATCTGTCATCACATTTCTCATCCTGTCATCCTGTCATTCCTGTTTGATCTCATTGGAAATCGCATTGGCGATAGACTTCCGATCGGTCGCTGACTTCATCCAGCATGCCTCCACCCGGGTCTCCCTGGGAGAACCCCCGCAAGCAGGGCCCAGGAAGCGGAATCAATACCGCCGACCAGGCTTCCACTGAGAGTCCACGCTCAAGCAAGTATGCAGAGCTAGTAGGCACGAACCCTATCGCGAATTTCCCTCAAACCTGGCCGTTCCGATCGTTCACCCCTCCTGAGTGTATCGACCTGAAGGAAAACGCCAAGCCCAACAAAGGAGCCATATTGGACAACATGAATTCGGATGGTGTCTTGGAAGCAGGCACCTCCCTCAACAGCAATCTCTCCGCTTTGGATAAACCCACTGGGGCTATCACAGCGAAACAACCTGAGGTTGATGGTTCGAAGGGCAGTGGCGCCATTGAAGCCCACAACACTATGGCGTCGCTTTTTAGCCGCATCAAGAAGCCCATCCAACGTCTTCACAAGCCCTCGAAGCTCGATATTTCGTCTCCCGTGGCATTGGATTTCGCAAAGGCTTCGTCCGACTTCAAGGAAGTGTACACTGGAGCCCTCAAGTTGGATGAACTACAAGCGGAAGCTCTCGGTATTTTTGATAAAATCACTGGTTCAGATGCCCCTGGTCTCGATGAAGAGGTCACTGGCTTGGATCCTCATGTTCCTGAGGATAAGTTCCATGGTTTGGATGCTCATGGTCTTAATAAAACCACTGGTTCAGATACCCCTGGTCTCGACGAAGAGGTCACCGGCTTGGATCCTCATGTTCCCGAGGATAAGTTCCATGGTTTGGAGGCCCCTGATCGCGAGGACAAGGTAAGCTGCGATTCCAAGGTACTCCATCATATCAGCCCAGATCATATCCTGACTAAATTCCAGTTTCATGATGATTCTACCTCTGAGAAGACCCTGCTTCCAGTCTCTTCTCAAGAAGAAACCGAAGAGTCCTTGAGCAGTCTCGTTGAGGAGTTGGTCGCTGAAGAGGGCGAAGAATATGTCGTCCCTGATCTAGCTCGTCACTCCGATGCAGGCAAGAAGTACCCCGCCTACATGATCGAGACCGATTTCCACAAGGGCCTCACCGATGAAGAGGTGCTTGAGCGCCGCAAGAACCATGGAAGCAACGTCATGACACAGGACAAGGTCAATCACTGGCTTCAGTTTCTGATGTTCTTTGTCGGTCCAATTCAATTTGTGATGGAGGTAAGAATGCCCCTGAAAATATTTGGCGCTCCAAATTCAGCCTAGCATGAGCTAACAAACCGTTTGTTTCATCAGACTGCTATCGTTCTGGCTGCTGCTTTGCGGGACTGGATTAACTGCGGTGTCATTGGCTTCCTTCTTCTTTTGAATGCGATCGTTGGATTCGTTCAGGAGTTCCATGCCGGCAACATTGTTGCAAGTTTGAAGAAAACCCTCTCTCTCAAAGCCGTGGTTCTCCGCAACAGGATTCTCAAAGATATCGATGCAGAGGATGTCGTTATTGGGGATATCGTTTATCTTGAAGATGTGAGTTGGTGTTGGTTGAGCAGTACGTAGCTGGAAGCTAATGTTGTCTTCTTTCAGGGATCGATTGTTCCAGCTGATGGTAAAATTCTTGGCCTAGACGGTCAGCCAGGCGTTATGCAGGTGGACCAGTCCAGTATTACCGGAGAATCCCTTGCAGTGGATAAGCACAAAGGGGATCCTGTCTATGCATCCTCTGTTGTGAAACGTGGGGCTGGGTATATGGTTGTGACGGCAATCGGCGACGAAACCTTTGTTGGCACAGCTGCAGTCCTGGTCAAAAAGGCTGCGCATGTTCCTGGGCACTTCACTATTGTCCTCAACCGAATGGGCCGAGCTCTTCTGTACCTGGTCATCTTCACGATTCTTGCTGTTTGGGTTGCCGGTTTTTACCGCTCTTCTCTGATTGTTCAAATCTTGGAGCAAACCCTGGCAATCACTGTTGCTGGTGTCCCGGTCGGACTTCCTACAGTTGTCACCACAACCATGGCTGTTGGTGCATCGCGTCTGGCGGCGGATTGCAAAGCAATCGTACAGAAGCTTTCAGCCATTGAGTCTCTGGCGGGGGTCCAGATCATCTGCTCGGACAAAACAGGAACACTGACTCGAAATGTCTTGACCCTTGGGGAACCATGGCTCGTCGTTGGATTCACCCCATATGAACTGATGCTGACTGCCTGCCTTGCGGCTAATCGTAAGAAAGGAGGGATTGATGCCATTGACAAGGTTTTCTTGAAGGGCCTTTGTCAATACCCCACCGTCAAACCCGAGATCCTCTCGTACAAGACACTGGAGTTTACTTCGTTTGATCCGGTTTCGAAAAGAGTCACCGCGGTTGTTGAGTCAAAGTCGGGCGAGAAAATGCTCTGTATCAAAGGTGCCCCCACGGCTGTTTTGACCATGGTGCAGAAAGACACGGTCCTGAGTGATAAGTTGGTGGATCAGTACAAGGCCAAGGTTCTTGAGTTTGCCAATCGTGGGTTCCGCTCTCTGGGCATTGCTCGTAAGCGTGAAGGCGAGGATTGGCAGATTATGGGTATCATGCCGTGCTATGATCCTCCCCGCCACGATGCTGCTCAAACAATCGCCGATGCAAAATCTCTGGGTCTGTCTTTCAAAATGCTCACTGGCGACTCTGTAGCCATCGCCCGAGAGACATGTGCTTCCCTTGGACTTGGAACCAACATTTATAATGCTGAGCGTCTCGGGGTCACTGGTGCCGGCTCTATGCCTGGATCCGAAGTAGCTGACTTCGTTGAAGCTGCCGACGGATTCGCTGAAGTGTTTCCTCAGCACAAATACAACGTGGTTTCGATTCTGCAAGACCGCGGATATCTGGTTGCCATGACTGGTGATGGTGTGAACGATGCCCCTTCCCTGAAGAAAGCCGATACCGGTATTGCAGTCGAGGGTGCATCGGATGCGGCTCGGTCTGCTGCCGACATTGTCTTTCTGGAGTCCGGCCTGTCTTCCATAATCGAGTCCACCAAGACTTCTCGCATGATCTTCCAGCGCATTTATTCGTATGTGGTTTACCGTGTCGCCCTCTCAATCCATCTGACTTGCTTTTTCGCGATTCAAATCTTCGTTCTCAACACCACCTTGGATATTCGGATGATCGTCTTCTTCGCCATTTTTGCTGACATTGCAACTCTGGCAATTGCGTATGACAACGCCACTTACTCGCCGCACCCGGTCACATGGAACCTTCCGAGGCTCTGGGGTGAATCCGTTGTTCTGGGCGTCGCGTTGGCCATAGGCAGCTGGATCACCTATACCACAATGTTGATGAGCAACACACGCGGTGGAATTGTACAGGAAAATGGCCCTCTTTCTCGGGGACTTCGGGATGAGGTTATGTTTTTGCAAATTTCTCTTGCCGAAAGTTGGTTGATCCTTATCACTCGGGCATCTGGGGCAGGCTCCCGGGCTTTGTTTGTCAGAGCGCCGTCGGTCATTCTCTGTGCTTCAATCCTCGCTGTCAATCTGGCTGCCAGTTTGATGGCTGCATACGGCGTATTTGGTGAGAGTGTCTCACTGTGGACATGTCTTCGTGTTTGGGGGATTTCGGTCGGAGTAACTTGCGTCATCGCCATGGTGTACGTCTTGTTGCACAACTCCGAAGCATTTGACAATCTCATGCACGGCAGATTCTCGGGACGCAAGGCTAAAAAGCGCTCGTCTGAGGACTTCGGTAAGTTGAAAGCTCACTTGGGTCAGGAACAGGATGAGGGTCACTAACCGGTCGCAGGTCTCAACATGCAGCGCATGGCTAACGCGCACGAGGTCTCTTAAGATCTTGTCGCCTCCCTCGTTCATTGCATTTGTTTCCTTGGATGAGTCTGCTCTGGCAAGGCAGTGGTCGGCGTCGGGGTTCGGCGTCAGTTTGGCTTCATTGGATTGGCTCTGTGGTGAGGCAGCGGTCAGTATTGCGTGAGGTTCAGGGAATCTGAACGTCAATAACATTGAGCCATGTGTCCATTGGTTAAGTTGATTATTCTTATGCCGGCGATCGGTCATGTCACCATATTCCCATTATTCTTATCTCATCAACCGGTAGGGAATATGAAACTGGCAGTTTATTCCATCCTGTGCATTTTCAGTCTCGTACCGTGTTCCGCTTTGTTCATCACTCACATGTGTTGCTGGTTGGTATGGAAAGAGATTTCTGGGGAAGAGAATCCCCAGCCTGGAGGGCGGGTGGAAAGGTTGAGGAGCTGTGAGGGGCTCCAGGGTAAGAAGTACCGCATCAATCGAGTCAAGTTGAGTCGATTGATTGAGGATGAGTCGATTACTCGTCGAGTCGAGTCGATTCGATTGACACTCTGGGTGGAAAACCCGCGGGCTAAGATCTCAAATCGGCGAATGAGAACGCAGAACCGTGTACCATGAAAATGGGACATTACATGCTTCAATACTAACTACACTCCCATTGATCGAATGCAGAAGCCGTTGCGTTCTATGCAATAGACCAGCGACGGGCCAAAACCCTGGCTGGTGACTCTACAGAAGCAGGAATTTGAAAGAACCTGCCTGGCCAGCGTCAAAGGCACGAAGAATTGGGAGCAGTTGAATCGATCCCGATTTCTTATGATTGCGTGCTAGATGACTGTCAATGCAAGTATCCTGTACGGAATACAGAACGTGCAATTGACAGACAGAAATCAGTCGTTCGTCCGTTGCCATCAGGGAGCTTTTTCTGCTAACAGTACTCTAGATCCAATGAAAATGGTGCTTTACGGTGAGACGGCGAGGTTTGATCTGCCATTTGCCATTGGTCTGCTTTCAAATCCACCTTATCTGTGATGAACCAGCTCCAGCATCTTTTTCGGCAGTGAGACAGTAAGTCTGCGCGAGGAGCCGATAGGTATAACGAGAAATTGCATTGGCTGACATTCACGGCTGATGATGGGCAGGCACTCCAAAAATGACGGTATTAACGTCCATGTTCTGCATCCTCTACGATATACATCATTTCAGCAGTGATCCAGTGATCGGGGATCAATGGACGTATTTCGCTCCCACCACCCAAGCCGAGACCGCGGGGTCTTGATATCTCTCCCCAAATCAAGATCCAAAGCATCGATATAATCATATGCTACATCCTGCTCAATAGCAAGTCTCTCATAGGAGTTGACATCAGCCGACATTTTCCACTCCGGTATGACCTCATACGAAGACGTCTCCGAGTATCTCAGCCGATATTCATAGCTCTGACCATTCTTTCGTCGCTCATAGCTATCTCCAGCCAGCCAGATTGGACGATATTGCTCATTCTTTGGTTTTGTCTTTGTTTTCTCCACCCTAAACCCAACCACTGGGTGAATGCGCTCAAAGGTCTCGCCGAGCTTTTCTCCGTTCACAATAGCATATCGACCAGGAGTCCGTGGACGAGATCCATTTGCAAGATAGATGATTCCAAAGTTATCAGGCAAGTCACCCAGTCCCCATGTATAGATGCGCTCTTTCATATAAGCGGGTTTGTCGCTTGCGGTGAGAGGGTGTAAAATCGACGAAGCGACCCACTCGCCACTTCGCTGAATCCATTGAGCCCATGATTCACCCTGTCGCTGTTTAACACGCTCGTTGTATTGGTGCAGAGCGTTGTTGATCTTTGCTAGTCTGGCCCGGCGCAAAAGCTGATCTTTTTGTAGTACGTCGTCGCTTAAAGAAACGAATCCTTTGATCTGGTCAAGCATCCAGGCAAAGACAATGTTGGACATCTCTTCCATGTTCCCCTTGTTCTCCAGGGTTAGGGTTGACCCGCCACCAATGTTGATGTGGTTTCCAGGGAACCAGACCTGGAGCAGCTTTGAGGGTTCTTTTTGACTATCTTCCAAGTCGAGGAGTTTACGCGAGGCTTCATTTTTAGACTTGAGCACACGGTTGATCTCCTCATGGGAAGGGCGCTCTGTCAACAAAAGATCAAGCCAGGCTTTGGTGGCCTTCTTGTGGAGAATTTGCTGTTTTGAAATTTCCTCTGATGAGGCCTTTGTCACAGTGGGTACATAGAACAAAGTCGGGGTGAACGCAGAGCGGTGCTCGTCTAGGGCAAGTGCCTGAAAGGCGTGTTTGATATCTGTGTCCACGTCAGTTAGGGCAAAGGCATCAAAGACATTTTCTTCATACTTGGAGAAAGCCCAACATTGTGCCACTCTGGCTTATCAGTCCTGGTCAACCATTTGGGCACTTCATACCCAAAGACCTCTGGGAATCCCAAGGCCCCAACAGTATCAAAAACACCCACAACCTCAACCTCCCTGGATCCAGGCCTCGCCCACTCCCCCCTACCAACAGACTCCCAAACAATCTTCTCCCCCAGCCTCTCAACAGGCTGCGGATCCGCAGGCTTTCCATCCTGCCACTCGAAATAGGCATCACTGCCATAAAATCTGTCCCCAGTGACAGCCGGATGACCACTCTTGTACAACGTCCAAATTTCCGGAAAATCCTGAATATCGACCTTTGAGCAAATCCCCAAATCAGAAATCAAGCCGGCGATCGCGCGCGCCGTATATGCGCCCCGCGAAAATCCAAAGCACAGAATCTGGTCACCGTGGTTCCAGTTCAAGACGCAAAAGTTGTATGCTTCGATGATGTTGTCTTCCACGTCTTTGCTGGCGGGGACTTGACCGTTGGAGTTTGTTCCGACGCCGGAATCGTACCAGACTATCTGTTGCCATGTTTTATCTGTGGTTCCGAGACTGTTGATGGCGCGACAGAGTCTTGTTACGTTCGATGGGATGCTGCGTTTGCCTGAGACGGCGGATTGGCCACTGCCGTCGCAGCAGAGTATGATGCGTTTGCGAGACGGCTCGGGTTCCGACATGGTTGATTTTTTTTTTCCGCTGGGGAGATACAGGGGATTATGTTTTATAATGCTGAACTTGATTTTTGATTTACGGGGCTTAGCTGAGGGTTGCGCTTGCCAGTTTTTATTTTTAAAATTGTGGTCGCTTGAAATCACCGGGCATTTGAAGCGATCGGGAATTGTAGCCCTTTGGTGATTGTTAGCTGACTTGGCCAAATCCAATTATATTTGCTTTTTGATGCATTTCCAAGATTGCATTAGAATAAGTCTCTTAGGATGTTGCCAAAATAGATTCAAGGTAAGTCGTTCGCCAAGGTGCGTTTGTAGACTATTTAGTGACATATTGTAAACATCCCTGGGTGAGCTGCCCACTTCGGAGAAGCCCGTGTGGCGGCATAATGTGGCTGAGCTTTCTTTTCCTCGACAAAATGTACTTGATCCAGCTGCATCAGTTGTAAGTAATGGGACAAACTGGCACGAGACATTGTTGAACCTTTTATTTTCCAAGATTCGAGAATCCCTGTACAAAGTAGTTGCCAACAATATTGTACACTATGCAAAGCTAAATATGAGCCAAACACTATGGTCGCCTTCCAGGCTAGTTTGGTCTGCTGACAGCGATGTGAGTAGTTGATTCAGCACTTGAACTAGGAGTGATTTGGTCAATTTCATGGCCAATCTCCTTCCCTTCTTTGTCTTTAGGCAGAGCGGAGGTCACCTTGACCCCGGCCGCCTCAATGTCCCCCTCTTCTTCTAGATACCGCTCTTGACGACGATACATCCGATAGAAGACTATACTTCCATGAATCTGTGCTGCGGAAAACGCAATATGCAAAAGAGGAGTCACCACTCTAAATGCCAGGCGCCACCTATTCCACAAACTACCAAACAGCCACATTGTCATAACAGTTTCGCACAGAGTCCCTGTCGCCGTGGTAAAGCACGATAGCAGAAACACTCGGCTGAGGAAGCGATGCCGATCGGGGAAAACGCGGTAGAGGATGATGGCGACGTGGGGGAAAAACTCAGAAATTATATCAAAGGCGCCTAGCACGGTCAGTATCTCACTTATATTGGAGGTTCAAGGAAGAGGCAAAAATTACCCCAAGTAGTGCACAGGATGAACTCAATGCCAGCATCTGGCTCGCGCACTGCTCTCAGGCTGATCGCAATAGCCGACTGGCCAATCATGATTGTCCCGATGTGGTGCAAAACAGCAACTGGCGAGAGCTTGACACGATATATGAGCTCAAAAATATACATTCCCATCAACATCTGCGCGACAATGACCAGAATATCTCCCAAAGTGACCGGAGAGCCTGGCGCGAATGGGGTCTGAAACCGTCCTTTGCAGAATGTCACACTGATGAACGGGTATGCGGCGAGGATCAAGATAAGGATCTTTGTGAAGCCGGCGATGTGATGGTTGATAAAACCGCGACGATTCAGCTCACTCATGTTTGTGAAGGTAGTTCCATACGCCCGCTGAATGAGAAATCCTTCCAGGACATAGTAGCGGATCAGGAAGGAGACAACCAGTGTGATGGAGATGATGAGGGCTGAGAAGGGTGCTAGAATCGAGATGGGCCCCAATTCTTTGGACTTGAGAGATATCTCGTGAGAATGCCGTGTGAAGATGTCCATGACTGAGAAAAGAAGGAGCTCAGTGGCAATGTGGTGAAGTGGGAATGGAGATCAACAGGGGGGGAAGAAAATCAATGGCAAAGTTGGGCTTCCATGATGGTCGCGGAGGGATATTGACTCGAAATAATAGGAAAAGTGAAAAGGAAAGAAAGGATGAATTCCAGTGTGGCAGGGGGGTGACTGTATGACGGGAGAATCTTAGCATCCAAAATTTATTACTATACCGTTACGCTATGACAGTTCTATATTTGTGATTCTCCATAATCTGATCTGACTAACAATAACCGCGGAACTTGTTCTTGATGCCGACAGCCCTTTGGAGTGATATGAACCTCCGAGGCAGTGCTGGGGTAAAGCCTCCGCAGTGCCGGGAGAAAGACCTGGAAACATTGTCAGGGTACCAATCAAGTCCCAGGGCAGCGAGCATAGAACCTTGGAAGCTTGAAGAGTACCAGGGTACATTAAGCCAAGCTTTGTGTTTAAAGTGGATATGCGCGGGTAACCGAAGCTTAACCAACTTGTACTTCTCTGTCCCTGTTTCAGGCAACAGCGTAATTATTGCGCTGCCTACTATGGGGTTGAATTCTGTTTTCTGTCTTTTTGCGGAGGTGTGATCCATAAGAAACAATTGAGTTGCCTGGGCCGAAATTCATCATTTCGGCTAAAAAGAACTCAGATTGGGCGAAAAAGTCCCGTTGAAAGTAAACCAAGATCTTCCGTGTATATTTGACTTTACTCACTTGTACAACGAGGGCATCAAACATGGGATCATTCGTCCACTTTCCCTTGATCCAAACTTTGACTGCCCCGTCGATCAATCCGTCAATTAGTCGGCGGGTATTGAGATCGAGTCTCAAGGTTCACTTTCGCTTATTGTAGACGAAAAAAATAATTTGCCATTATTATATAAAGGTCTAGAGGAGCCTTACTCTGACCTCGGGGTGAGGTGAAATCTACGGGCCAACGGGGCTATCGGGGTGTGGTTATGATGACCATTCTACGCTTGTTTCCAAATTTAGACATGACTGAAAATTTCTTCAGAAGAAGTAATCATGTATTCTTCTCACTGAGCTTTGAAATTCGGTCAGTTGAGACTCAAGACCATCAATAGGGCAGATAGAGCCCTTCTGGAATATTTATTCTGCCGCACAGTTGAAGCTCTTAACCTTATCATTCCAACCGAGTGGAACGAGATTTTCATAGCCTGGGAAATGGACCTGAAGTTCTTGTCCATGACAATTCTCATCCCTAGTACCGATCTAATCAGCATTGTTTGAAGGTCACTACATATGGAGAGGGATTTTTGTAAACGTACGAATAGAGAGTACACCAACTACCACGGTCAGCACCGGCGGCAGAGACGCCTCGATCTCCAGAGGGGAAGCGGTCAGTTATCGTAGCTTGTAGTGTCAGTATGAGAATATGCCGTATACTTCAATTTTTTGGAGCGCTGCTTACTGCATCGGCCGAACGGCTCGGTGTAATGAACACAGTACCCTTTGAAGCCGACATTTTCGCACAGATACAACCCTCCATTTGCAGTTAAATTGATGAAGACATGCTCCGAGGTCTTTGTTTGGTTGGCATTGGGGTCGTTCATGAGAACAGTTTGGTCGCAGGGTAAAGCTGTTACTGAAAGTGCAAGTGAAAGAATAGCTGGGAGACTGGTATAGAAGTGCATATCTGCGAGGTTGGTTTCGATTCCAAGGTCGAAGCTTGATCGTTTCTTCTGTAAAATGGAACTACTTGAGTAGTTGCAAATATTCTGGATCTAAGAAACATAGATTGGAAGTTAAAGAAGCTTTATATACTCACTTTGGACTAAAAAATCTGGTCTATACTCGGGTTTGGCCGTCGGTGCCAAGAGTCTAGAGGTGGCCATCACCCCACGATTTCCTGTTAGTGGGATGCAATGCGAGAAGCAGTGAGATTAATACTCAATTATATGCCACGTAGTCTCTATACGAAGAAGGATCAAGCAGTATCTTTTAAACTTCCTAGTGATTGACCGTAAAAAATTGGCATTCTTATGCCAAGCACTGCTTCTCTGGTGGACTAGACTGCATGTGGAAATATTATTGACGATCGCTGCAGTCCGGAGTATTGCCCCGCATGTAATGACAACTCAAGATAATAAACCCGCTCTTGGCTTTGTGTCAACTGTTTTCATCGTTCGAAAGACTTCACCTTGGTCCTCAGCGCATCAGTTATTCCCATAGGTGCTCAGGTGCTTTTTAGCACAGTGGAAAGGTCCCGGATAAATGCCCCCATGGCAGTGGATAGATACTTCAGAGGCTCTATCTACATACATCGGTTAAATTGGACCCATCGTCCCACTGTCTCTTGGCAGAGCTGTAAGCCTTTCCAATATCTCTCACCTGCATCTTCAACTCCATGTATACCTACGCCCTCTGTTATCTCTAGTCATGACCCGTGGACTAACAGCCTCACCTGCTTGAAAGGCATCCGAAGCCAACAAATATACAAGCTTGCCATTGGTACTCGGGAATGAAGGCGCTCATTGAAAACGCAGTCATCCCGCCCAGTTTTAAAATCCAGCTTGTTCTTTGCCAAGGAAGTATACAGCTCTCAATATACCTATCGCTTATGGTCGACTCATGCAGGATGATTCCTACTACGAAACCAACAGGCTTGACACGAAAAGTTCAGTTGTGCCGGAAGATATTGAGTCATTGTATACGATCCAGCCTAGTTCAAGTGGCTGTGATTGTAATAATCTCCCTCGGACATTACAGATATTCTCATCGGGCCATTGTACGGATCTAGGCTCTCGTTGACATTAAGTTATAGCACAATTGTCTGACGATTACCATAGATTTTTTCTGTTGATCACACGAGCAGCTCTCCAGGAATCCCGTCGCAAATGGATCTAATCTGGTTGTTTCAAGTCCAGACTTTCCTATCCTGTTCGTTGTCAAGCTTTGTTTGAGTTCAAAAACAGATGCAAAATTTTCATTAATCAAATAACGTGGATAAAGATACGTGCGTAACGGGTCAATGGTACTTGACCATAATCAGTACCCTCTAGAATTATGGAGACCGTTTGGCCAGACTTTGCATCATCAGGGATCTTCACAGTTGCTCGGTGGTCACTTTCCTCGGTCACGGTCACGCTACCAGAGTATGTGCCTTCTTCAAAGAATTGCCACCAAGATGTGGTAACTTTGTCAGAATCAGGGTCGCTCACTGCAGCGGCTAGTGTCACCGTTGACCCAGAGTGTGCTTTGATGGTCCCATTCAGGATCTTCACGGAAGGTGCGTGGTTTCCTTCAGCGTAATCCGGTGTAAGTGTCCACTTCATGCGAGCAGCAAAGTCGTTTTGAACGGCGGCCATCCAGCGATCGGTTGTGTAGTTGTCAACATCGGAGCCGTTCTTGCTCATCTCGCTGTCAATCAATGTCCACAGATTCTCGGTGGTGCTGTTCTTGATGGACCTCCCACCCCACCCACCCAGGCTTGGGTTTGTTGGATCTTGGATTCCGGTCGTCAGTAACGGGTTGAATACCACATTGTCGCCTTCTGACAAGAAGCTATACTTCTCGAGTGGCTTGCAGAATGCGGATGATGAGTTTGCCTTCGCAGGATCGCCGAAGATGTCATTTTGATCACCTGGCATGGACTGACCATCAAGCCAAGAGCGGTAGAGTTGTCCGTACACCCCTGTTTGGATATGCTCTTTCATCCATGCACCTGTGAAGTAGTCGTTTTGAGAAGGCAGGCCCCGAGTATTGCCATGACCCTTCTCACAGTTGTATCCCCAGGTTTTGTATCCAGCCTCAAAGTTCTCCACCCGTACCTGCGGCCACTTCACAGCAACGTATTCACTGTACGCCTTGTCCTGGAACCCGCTAGCCAAGATCACAGATTTCTTAGAAACGGTTTTCTGGATTTGACTCCACTGTCGCGAGCCAGAGTACTTCTCGATAGATTTCAGAGCGCGAGCGATGGTGTTGACGCCACCCCACGCCTGCAAATAAAGCGGCCGCGGGTCCTTATCCAGTAACAAAGATCGGATCAGATTACTCCCGTCCGTGTCGTGGGAATAATCCCCCTCAAAGTCAATGTTGCCAATTTTGACTTTCGACAAGAGGTCGTCTGGTGTGGGGTAGAATGGATCGTGGCAGTGCAGGTTCGGGTAAACCTCGGCATACGCCTGAAGAACTTTATCCTGGATAAAGCGAGTTCCGGTCCAACACCAGGTCCACTGTGATGTGTTATATTCGCGGTCGGGCATAAAGAACTTTGTACCATTTCCGTCACCGGCCCAGTGGTACCGGCTAGAAGTGTAGATGAGGCCCTGAGTGTCGAGTTCATTGGTATAGAGAAGGTAGCGAATGAGCGAGGCCAGGTCATCTTGCTCCATATCAGTTGTCACAACTGTACGAAGCATGGAAGATCTCTTGGTTGTGGCTGCTTGGGTGAAGGGAAGTGCCAGAGCCAGGAGGCTAATCGATAAAGTGGCGGAAAGCTTCATGGCGCATGGATGTTGAATAACCAACTTGAATGTTCCCTTGTAGAAGATGCGATCGAGCAGAAAAAAGTTAACACAGGCATCCTCTTCATGTTTTTATGGTGTCGGTCCTGCGGTTAGGGTTGCTACTTTCAAACCGACTGGTTCGGATGTCGGATGCGGGGAATTTCCCCGTGGGGAATGGGTGAATGTTGAAGAACTTGCCTACCCGCTTTCCTCTGATAGGGGCGTTTAAGTTGCCATGTGCGGCAAAAGTCTTCAAGCCCCGGTTGAAGATACTCAATTCACTCTGTTGCTTTGGTTAGATTCTTGGAGGTACGGCCTATTCCCCTTCTGAACTTACATCCGTGATCAGCACTGAAATTTGCCTGAACACACCCCTTTATTTAGAACATATCTTCCTTGGTCTTCCGACGACAGATCCCGGAGCCTTGAGTAATTTTTGCAATCGCAGGCGCGATTGTGGACTCGGACCTAATGTGGGGGTTGGCATGACAGGGAAGGGATCCCACTTGTCAGCCCGCGCCCTTGCGCAGGTGACTTCTACACTCACTAGCACATCCACTTTTGTCTATATAAGTCCTTTGCATAGTTTAAACTGTACATACGACCACAGGGTGTGGAGAACAGGGCTTCCCGTCCGCTCAGCCGTACTTAAGCCACACGCCGGTGAGTTAGTAGTTGGGTGGGTGACCACCAGCGAATCCTCACTGTTGTATGTTTTCGTTTTTTGTCCCTCACACATATTCACAATATAGTAGCATAGACGTTAGAGTCTACAGGTATAAGCAAATGTGGACAGACAAGATTGACTAGCTCAGGAGAGAGAAGAAGGGAAGGTGAGCTGGATGACCTGCGGGAAGGTGAGTAGGGTAAGCAACAGTAGATTCCAAGGTTGAAGGGTCTATTTCAGTATGAAAGCGTATTGTTTTAATAGCTTCAGACGTTAATTAATGCCATATAGCTGGTTTCCCTTTGGGGCTCTCATTCTATGGTAAAAGCTTTGTCAATATTGGCTAGCGAAGAGAGTAAAGAGACCGTTCTCCGCAGACAAGTGGTGGGGCTCTTCTCACAACATGATAATTTAAAGTGATATACTAGTCATTGAAATAAATGAATTAAGAGTAAGGCATGTGTAAATTCGCATCTTCTTGTCACATGTTGAAAAGCCGCATTGCCAGCTGTTTCTCAAAGTCCATCTTCTACCGATATCTTGCATTTCCTTTTTCGTCTGAGACCCGACCACCCGCGCTTCATAATTCTTTGAGTCCAGAATGACCATGGAGCGCAGCTCCTGATATATCATGGATTTTCTGATTAAGTCACTGCTGGGAGAGGAGGCACTTCAGGTACGGTCCAACAGTGTCGCATTGTCGTTTTTCTCATATCGCGGGTTTTCGAATGGATCGTTGTGAAAGTCCATTTGGTAAGATTCAGGTTTGAAATAGTTGGTATTTTGCGAAATTTTTGGCAGAAGATGAGAAGGATGAATCAAGTTGTAGATCATCACGGCAGGAACCATCATTGCGCCATCGAGACCAATCAACAGCTTCTCATTTCGCATCGTTGAGCTTGTCCACCCATGCAGCAGCTCGATTGTACGGTAGACACTCCGAATGTAAATTAGCAGAAGGGAGAAGGTCGTCGCGGCCCCAAGGAGCAGCAAAGGTTTGTTTTGACGCACAGCCCTAGGGCTCTGCTTGTGAATCCGCCAGGCGAGATCGGCGGCACACCCAACAAAAAGGGTGATGGAAACAAGCTGAAAAATGATACCCGCAACCATAACGTGGGTACCTGTTGTCTGGCTGCTGCTGCTATTGGAACTCTCTGTAGCCCGTGCCAATAATGATCTTGCGACTGAAGAAGCGCTCGCCGCTGCCGAACTCGACGATGAGGTTGCTGTTGATGCCGATGATGAAGCTCCACCTCCACCTCCAGACGAAGCCATGGCACCTCCGGCACCCTGAGCTGCGAGTGAAATAACATCACAGATACAGAAGACCCATACGTATAACTTCGGCGACATAGAGGAAGAGCTTGGTCCGAAGACCCCAACGAGCCGCGCAAGTATAATGTATATACCAGCCGTGAAAAAGGTCGGAGCTATAAGTTCATATATCATAAGCTGTCTGTTTCCTGAAAGTGTCACTTGGAAGAGCACTTGCCGATGATTAGAGTCGTGATCTGCATCATGTAGGGGGTTTGGGCATAGGGACAGATTGACGACCAGGCCCGGGCTGCCCAGCCAAGAAGCTCAACTAGTATACATAATTAGGGAACGCGTGGTAGGAAAGATTTTGTAACGAGTGATTCACATACCCAGGCATCCGATTGAAAAGACTGCACACCACCAAGTGCGAAAAACGAACGTCTGGGCCATATGTGCTACCATCGACACACCGAAGAAGACAACAAATGCTATCGCGGCTGCCTTTGATGGTACATAACCATATGATGTGCTCATACTTGCAACATATGCATGACAAGTATCCTGGCTATAGCCTTCCATTATCAGTGAAGATATGGCAATGGCTCAAGTAAAGCTCTAAGCAAAGACCCTGATTTTTCTCAGGTGTGATTCAAGGAACACAATGTAGGAGGAACAAAGAGTTGACTAGATCAAGGGTGTTAAAAAAGAGTGAGATAAAAAAGGGGTATTAGCGAATGGTGAATACTTAAATAGCGATGTCGATAAAAAGCGTTCTTAATGTATTCGACACCAGGCTCCAGGATCGGTCAGTATTCTCAAATTAGAAGCCACGCGTATGTGCGTCAGCCTCACATCTTGCATCTTGATATTATGTAGGTGCATCTATAGATGGTCTCGGCTCGAGATCTTACTAGACTGAGGTTTCAACCGTGGAAGCGAGGAAAGGAAATGATCGCATCGGGTTTAGTCTACCGTACTCGGGTTCTCGAACAACGAAAATGTCAAAAGTAGTTAGTCGCTTCGGAAGCCCCACTAAAGCCTGCCGCATTGAAGAACCAAACGGATTGTAGAGTGTCGCGTTGTTTGACTGAAGTGAGATCCTTTTCCATTTTTGTCACTCCTCTTGCGTGTACTTTTTTTGAACTCTGATAAAAGCAACACAAAGGCCACCCTGACGCGTCAACATCTTTCCCATTACTTTGGACGCTCATTGGGTTTTGACGTTTTGCCTTCATTCGCCATGCTGGGAAACTATTTCCCATTGATTCTTGCGGCTTGGTTAGTGGTGTCCTGTGCTGCCCATCCTGCCGGATATGATGAGCTTGGCCATTTCCAAGCCTTGAATACGCGCCAGCATATTGGAAAGTCGAGACACAAATTATCTCAATGCAGTGACCACCTCAAAAAGCGCGGGATTCAAGCTATCGCTGAGACTCGTCGCGCCGCTGTGCTAGAGACTTATCGCCAAAAACTTCTCGGCGCAGGCTCAGTGAGTAGCGCTTACAATACCGACGCAAAGAATCCATTCATATCTCAAGCAATACCTGACGATTCCGTTTGCGTCCTAGCTCCTGAAGCAACCATCGGCCCATTTTGGGTTCGTGGAGAGTTCATCAGGTCAAACATTACGGATGGACAAGCCGGTATCCCCTTGGTAGTACATGCACAGTTTATCGATGTCAACACCTGTGAGCCTATTGAGAATTTGTATTGGGAGATTTGGAGCTGTAATGCTCTTGGAAAGTACTCTGGCGTTTTGGAGCACAGCAACAGCCCTCGTTCTAACCTCAACGAAACCTTCCTGAGGGGCTTGCAGAGGACTGATACAGACGGATCAGCACAATTCGAGACAATTTTCCCTGGTCACTATGGCGGACGAGCAACTCATATCCATCTGCTGGCTCACGTCGGGGCGTCCGTTTTACCCAACAAGACACTCACCGGTGGTCATATTCCCCACATTAGCCAGCTGTTCTTCGATCAAAGCTTAATCGAGGCAGTTGAGACACACCAGCCCTACCGGACAAACGAGGATCCGGTCACTCGCAATTCAGAGGATGGCATCTTTCATGAAGCCAGTGATGGAGGCAAATACGATCCCGTTGCCAAGTACACTATGATTGGCGACAGAATTTCAGACGGTATCCTCGTCTCTGTGACAATGGGAATCGACATATCGGCAAGCTACAGGGCAGACTACGCTGCGGAGCTTACGGATCATGGTGGCATAGTTCATCGTCATGGCTGGTACGACTCTATCTCCAGTGTTCATTGGTTGGTGGATCACTTGACGCATGTGACACAGCGTTTTATATCTTCTCTTTTTGTCTTTAAGCTCAGTTGGGTTGAGCATGCCAACGTCTACAGGTAGAGCCTTTTTATGTTCGTTTCTAGCAGTTACATAAATATCTAGTGTTGTTCTACTTTACCATTGCTTTTCGCTTTCTCCGTCATTTCTAAATTTCATCGCTTCCAGAAGCCAAAACCCTATGCCAGCATTCTCCATATGATGGCATTCCCATTTCTTCCCGAATCCCAATGATTCTGCGGCCCGTACCATAAATCCGTTATTAGAGGAGATAAGAAATAGCACATTGAAACTATGTAGTTCGTTTCACTCTTCAGTCATCGTATAAAGGTCATGAGACTGCTCAAGTGGATCATGTGTAAGCAATTAGATGATTTTTCACAAGATTGATATTTGAATTTGATCAAGCGGCCATTGAATCAATTCGCGGTCCTCCTTTGGAAGAAACATGCATATACCACGCAAGATATGTTCTGGCCACCTTTGTGAAAACCATGCGTTGCTCATATGATGCATGAGTACACCAAAATGAGCTAAAATAATCAAAGGTAACGCCTCTTTCCGCTGCAATGCATCCCAAAATCCCTGCTCGACTGTACTTACCCACATAAACAATACAAACCCGAATGGCTCTGGTCTGCGAGAAGACTCGTCATGCTTGGCGTAAGTGTCATCATAAAAAGCCGAATCGAATGCTTGCAGGAGGCCTTTGGCTGCGAGTCGATATGTATCGATAAGAGGATCCGCAGCTGCCTTTTTTTCAACCAAACGACGTATCCTGGACATCCCCTCTCGATATGCGAGAGTTTTTCGACGAGAAGCTGATGAACGGTCCTCATCTGGAGGTTCAGGGACATTTGTCCGCCCCCTTTGAATCATAGTCGAGATCACGTTGACCCCTTGTAGAAGGCGGATCCATTCTACCGGACTATCGCCTCCGAAAAACAAGAAATTCATTTCCTGTGGCCCTCTTGCCATGCTGATAAAGCATACAAGGACTGAACCGATCCAGATGGCTTCGGAATTTTGAGCGGTCATGTTCTGCAGACAAGTCGACAAATACCGCAACCCAGTGCCATAGTGATAATCAACCCGTGAAATGCAGTGGCTCTGATCATGTTCATCACTCCGGGACATATGGAAACATGTCAGTGCTAGCATTAGATGGTGCACCAAAGGATTTTTGTATCCTACGCGAGGTACCTGTGATTGCCAAAAACGGAGACTTTCTTTGTCTTCCATAAGAGTGAAACAAGTGTATGACAAGAAATAGTGCTGTAGTTCAAAGTCTTCAAGACAATATATCGGATCGATAGAAGGTGACCCGAGCGCTGCTACGGGCTTTTTCATTTTCCGTGTAAGCTCCGGTTTGACAGATGGGACAGAAAAAGCATTTTGATACTCTGATTCAACAAACTGCACTGTGGAGCCTCTGGCCGCTAGGTGATTTTGTCTTGCTGCTTCTCTGGATGCAGCATCTGCCTTTTTGGAATTGTTCGTTGGTAAAACATAGAAACACTTCACAGAGTGATTGGCACAGTTCAAGCACTGAGGCTTCATCTCATCACACTAGTTATCATTAGCCCTTTGAAACAAAGTTTTCCCAGAATTGGCATAAAAACCTTCAAGTGCCTCTTTTTGCAAACTTGACACCCATTTCGCGATTTTCGATGGGATCTGCGTGAGGCGACGGCACTGCTCGCCTTATTAAGAGAGCTATCTGACTCCACCATTTCTATGGATTCAGAGAGAGCCGCATGAAAGTCGCCTCTCAGTGAGCGCTAGGTTCCAAAAACCCTATGAGGTACTCTTAAATGGCACGAATGACTGAAAACCTTTGGCGTGGCATCAGTCGTGATTTCAGCCCGCCCAAAATTATTACGTATGCTGTTGATTACGTAACGTAGTAGGTAGGTGTGTCATTTCTCCAGGGCTTCTTCGTACCCTAATAGAAAACCAGCGCAACGCAGACACGTCCTCACCAAGAGGACAATGGAGTCAAAAAATCTATATCTGTTTCTTAAGAACTTTTGAAGCCGTTGAATGTTTATTTCATAAATTCAAGTTATTTATCAAGTGCTCATCACCCTGCGTTTGAACCCCCTACATAATTTATACTCTAGAAAGGGCTACGATATGCTCGGAATCTGCTCAGCTCAATAGCGCCGGCGAGGATTTTCTGCAAGAGGGTGCCGTAGTCCCAACCGATTGCGGTCGCTGCCATCGCAGTCAAGCTTGCTTGATCCTCTCGTCCCGGCCGCCCTGGACCGGTCATGTTCTAAAAATTGATCAGTCTCTCGTCGTTTGGTTCTTTCTGTTTCTGAAACAAAGGCATACCGGCTTCATGTTGATGTCAAAGAGGGCGAATTCAGAGCCTGGACTGAATCTTCGCATGTCAATCCGGATGGGCGCAGTGGCCCCAATCAACGCCGCCACCTTAACGCCCTCATCCATGATCTTGCTATAAGCAGGGTCTTCCATTTCCTCGTCGGTAACAACACGGGAGTTACCCACGACAGCTACTACGCCATTATATGGCGCGATGCCATCTTTGTGGTTGAACCTCGAGACTGGGGGCATACTCCAATGCTCGGGCCGCTCGGGTGACGGAGGCATGATAGTAAGGGTTGCCTCCTCACCTGCAAGATACTCTTCAACCATGACAACCGGTGACTCATCGATCAACTGACCAATGTGTTTTTTTAACTCCGCTGGGCTGTGGCAAAGTTTGACGCCATGGCTTCCACGTCCACGAATTGGCTTTCCGACAACAGGGAATCGGTTTATTGATCCAACCATCTCATCAATATTATCAGAGACTTTTACAAGCCATGAACGTGGGAGAGTATAGCCACCGATGTCTCTCAGCTTTCCGTTCAGGTAAGCTTTGTCATCGAAATTCTGAACCATTGCCGGAGGTTGACCAACAACATATAGGTCGGATGCATAGCGACCCAGCTTTTCGGATATCTGTAGCGGGTGGGAATCAAAGAGGATAGTGTTGGCCCAGAGATGTGTGGCCCCTTTTTCCACGGCGACGCAAATGTCGCTCTCGGTATCGGAGAAACACCAACCCTCATTTTTATAGACGTCTGGTGAAGCTATAGGGGTTACTATTTCCAACCCTTTTGATTGGAGGGTGAAGGCAATATCGGCGCCGGAGTCTTGATAGCCTTGTATCATCTAGTTAGCATTGATGTGTTCCACTCGCGGCATATGCACTCTCAATTCACTTACCACCTGGTTTTCTAGGTTTTCGAACGCCATTGATAATTGGTGGCTCGGTGTCTTGAAACAAAACAGACACTGCTGGGCTGCGGATAGAGTTGCTGTATAAACGGTGTCCTAGGATGCGCATGTGCCGACTGAGGCGCGCATACCCCAGGAGCAGAGGCGATGGCATGATAGATGGGGTGTGCTGGTATATAATGATTCCTATGAATACACGGCCGACGAAATTGACAGCCAAATTGACGCACTTGGTGATATATGGAGATATAAGTACAGTCCAACAACACCAGTCTCCCGAGAAGTTCGATTGTATCAATGCCAGGTCGCTCCTGGGCAGATGCAATCGGCCTTCACCGAGGCCCGAAGAGCCCCACCGCATTCGGCCCGCATCCGTGCCAAGAGATCATCCAACGGCAAACTCGGTTATAGCCCGAACCTTCGATGTTTTACCGCGCTCTTGTCTCGGCGCATCGCCACACGTGAAGTATTCAGAAACAGCTTCAAAGCCGACAGTAGTTAGATCTTCACAATCAACTCCGATTGAATATTTCTAGTCTATTCATTCAAAAATGGCCTCATCTGTTTTACGAGGCAGTGCCAACGAGAACGAGATCAATTTGGGTCCAGAAGACGAAGAAACTAAGCATGGAGAGAGAGAAGAAGAAGAAGAAAGAGAGAAAGAGAGAGGCAAGCGAAGACCTTTTGTGGGAGGCCCTCTCACCTTCCCAACTCTCTCTCCCCCATTTATCTAGCAAGCTTCGACGAACCAACCTCTCCTTCCTAGTTGATGGAAAAGGTATATTAAAGATTTACTGAGTCTCGGAACATTCCTGGGTGCGGTAATTATTAGAGAGTTTGAGAAATTAGCTAGTATCGCCCCGAAGATCCCAGGATGTCCATCATTCTCTCGACGGACTTGGCGTAAATTTCCACGCCTTGCATTTTAAGGACAGTCAACTCCAAAGATCCGGCATTTTTGGCCACAAACTCGGTATAGTCGTCTCGAACAGTGCGATTCAGGTTTACCTTCCGTACACCTAGGGGAATCGTCCTTTGGAAGAGATCATCGCTCACAGGATGGGTGCCATGAAGGGCCAATGGAGTCGATCCCGAGACCAACTCTCCGATGGCAGCAAGGCTAGATGTCAAGTAATTAGCGGTAATATTCTTCAATGATGCCACCCTGAAGAACATACCGAGGAAGATCCCATGACTTCTCTGCTCCTTCGGCCGGGTAACCACCGTGGATATTCCCGAAAGACGGAGCGAGGAAATGAACACCGGTCTTCCGAACAAAATTCTTCGCTTCTTCGGGTCGGGTAAGAACCGTGCCCATATCCACTGAGGGAAGACCGTCCTCGCCTCCTTCGATTCGGCCCATCTCCGCTTCAATGGTGATGTTGAGTTCTCGGGCCCGATCGACAACAGACTTAACTTGGAGAATATTTTCCTCCTCGTCAAGTGTCGAAGCATCAACCATGATTGAATCAAAAGGGAGTTTCAATGCTTTCTCCACGTCATCGGGCTTGATACAGTGGTCCAGGTGTACCGCAATCGGCACAGACGCCGCATGAGCGGCTTGAACCACGTAGCGGATAAACTCACTTCCCTGGAAATGCATAGTCCAAGGAAAGAGCTGGATAATGGCAGCGGAGCCTTTGCGTTCTGCAGCGCAGATGACCGCCATCACTCCGTCGTCATTGTAACTGATCGATTTTCTTTGAGTTATTATGCAAAATTGAGTGGAATGTAACAATGGGAATCAGCTCTTACCAATTGTAAGCACCCACAGCGTAGTTGTTCTCATTGGCGTGCTTCAGGATTTGCCATGTTTGGTTATTGGCAGGAAAAGCGCTCTGATTACAGGCCATTGTATAGTTATCGTCGTATGAGAGTAGAGGAGTAAGGCCCTGACGAATATTTGACAGCTCATGCTGAATTTCACTGGCATTTTATAGAGATTGACGGAACCCTCCGGGTCTCCGCATTCGCGGGTAAACTCCGTCTCGACGCATGACTGCAAGCGGTGGGCCGGTGTCGAATCAATCAGCGTGCGATTCCCAGGGCCCTCGGTGTAGCAGTACATTGTCGCCATAGGACCAAACTCATTTTGCTGTAATCGGATTTCAACAAATTTACCAGTCTTGCCAAAATGGCTTTTTTCGTTAATACAGAATTGTATAATAAAAACTATTAGGTCATCATAATTCTTACCAGCAGGTCCTACGAATATGAGAAGGAATAAGAGTGAAGGGGGGGTAGCTCTGGCTCGATTGGGTGACTGAAAGCTGAAGTGCTACTGCTAGGCCCTGGCCGCGGGAAGGCTCGCGGGCTCTGACCCTGGAACCCTGAAGGCCCCAGGTTAGGGCGGTTGGCCTAACAGAAAAGGTGGGCTCACAGATCCGACATATATGCTCCACTCATATAAACAGATTTCAAAATTTCGGGCGGCGGTGAAAGACAAATACGAGGGAAATATGTCAGTCCCTTAATAAATCAAGATTGACTTCAGGTCTCGGTAAGTATGTCTGTTAATCATGATATTGGAAATTTTTTTAATTGAAGTAGCTGTTAAAATTCCGAGATGCGATTTGTAATTCATTATTTCTTGAAATCAAAAGCCTTCAAGTACCAAAAGCTTTTCGAAACCTCTAGGGCCCAAGTTTTGTTAAATCAAACCTAATTTGACAAAGGAGTCTCCGAGAGAGCCAACTCAGCAACCCCAAATGACTTGGCTGAGTCAATGAACATTTGTCTCTCCGCATCAGCATATGGGATACCTTCCTTGCGGCGTTGAAGACCAAGACGATGCTCCGGTTCACCCGGGAAAAGCACCTCGTTAAATCCCGGAGCAGGAGTAATGCCATGAACACGCTGGACAAGGGTATCCATGCGAGCCTTGAAGTCGTCGGTAGAGAGAAAGACATCGGGTTTGAGAGCAATGAAGGAGTGACCGACATCCTGGGGCTTGGTGTCCTTGTATTGATCACCAACCTCGCCACCGAAGGCCGCACCGGCAAGGACGCCTGACATGATATCCATGAGGATAGCGATTCCGGAGCCTTTCGGGCCACCGATCGGGGCCATGCTGCCATCCAATGCAACATCCGCGTCGGTTGTTGGGTTTCCATCCTTATCCAAGGCCCATCCGAGCGGAATAGACTCGCCACGACGAGCAGCCTTGCGGATTTTACCCTTTGCCACGACAGATGGCGCCATATCCAGAATATAAGGGACTTCGTTCTTCGAGGGGGCACCGGCTGCGAAGGGCGAAATACCCAGTAATGTTTCCTTACCGCCGAATGGAGGCATCTGCTTGGCGGAGTTGGTGAAGACTAGCGAGATCATGTCCTTTTCTAGAGCTTGGAGAACATATGTAGCGGCCATGCCGAAGTGGTTGGAGTGGTTTGCGGTGACCATGCCAATGCCATAAATCTCAGCACGTTTTATGGCTTCTTCCATGGCGCGAGTGGCGACCACGAACCCGAAGCCGTTGTCACCGTCCAGGTGTGCGACCACAGGGGTCTTCTCGGTGAGCTTGAAGTTGGGCCTTGCATTGACGCGACCTTTGTGGACACGTTCAAGATACTGGGGTAGGCGAGCTAGGCCGTGTGTGTCCTAGAGGTCTGGGGTCAGGAGGGAGCTTCCTTCAGGTCAAGTGTGTTGAGCTTACAACGCCACGAACGTCAGCCAAAACTAGACAATCCGACATGGACTTGGCATCTTCCTGCGATAGTCCTGCCTTCTCAAGGAGCTCTGCGGCGAACTTGCCGGCTGCGGGCGGGTCGGCGTAGTAACGAGCCTGTATTCATTCTCAGCAAACATATTCGTTGACACCATTATTGCGCAGCAACTCACAGATGAGGCCATTGTGTTGTTGGAATAAATTAAGATATCAAGATTCACTCGATTGTGAATATCAAGTCTTTTGGCAGCCTTGAAACTGCTTCTTATTTGACTCAGAGGCTATCGGAGAACCGCCGAGGGCCGGTAGCAACGTTGGCCTAACCTACCGCCCTTCTCTCGGGGCGGGCACAGAGGCAGATAAGCGGCCCGATTCCGAAATATCGGACGCAGGCCGAGACCGAAGCTGCCTGTGAAGAAGCAACCTGGTACCCACCACTAATTTTCCACCGCGTCCTTCGGCCATCAACTTCATCAATCGCGTCTCCGTTGTCATCCGACTTACGTCACAGCTCATAATACCATTGCCTCTCCCCGCGTTACCTGCGCGCATCATTCCGCCAATACGCACTCCAGGATATCGTCTATACAGCTAGTCTAATAAAGCAATTCTATGCTGATTAAAATATTATTGCGGAGCGAAGCGGAGCAATTATTTCACAGTAACCCATGATCACGTGATCTGGATATGTACTGGGTCCCATTTCACAGGGCAAATAGCTTTTGAAAAGTAGCTCTGTAACTCGCGGCAGAATAATATTGTGGCCTCACTCGTCCCCATTCGGCCACAATCCACACTCTGGTCAATCATATGCCCCAAAACACTTAAGGAAAGAAAAGGAAGGTGCACTAAGCGCTACGCTCCGCAAAGTTCAAATGCTCCTCCCTAGGGCCCTGCTATCTGGGGACCAAAGGTCTCCAAGTCCCTAGTACCACTTCTAGGCATCTGAATGGTGTATTTTATGCCATATCCGTACGTTGAAAAGCAGTCAAATTAATGATACAACCTTTCTTTCAGCAGTTAGAACCTAGAGGGGTGGGAGGATATAACAAGGTGTAGTAGCAAGGATTCGGGGTATGGAAGGAGTAACCTTAAAAAAAGACTCATGTGGTGGCATATCCAGGGCGAAACAAAAACTTTTCTGGTTCTCGAGGCATGGCGTCGACCCTGAGCTCCCGAGGTCAACTGGTCCTTGTGACTAATGAGTTATTAATAACATGCAGGATCGATGCAGGGTTTACCTCAAACACCCGTTGACTGATACCCATCACGCACTGCTGCTGAACACCGCCAAACGGTGGGATTTGCCTGCTCTGTCGTGCAAATACGTTTTGGCAGTCAAGAATGGGCTCTTCTTCATCCAATTTGTGTCATGCAGCAAAGCCCAGACAACCGGCATGTATTATTACGGTCCAGGACGTGACGAGATCTAGCACGGAGAGAAGAAGAAGAAGAAATACAGATCTCACTTCATAAAGTGAGAGCCGTAATCCCAACCTCCGACCTGACCAACCTGTTCTATCTCAACCAACCTATCTAACAATATTTAGTGCTTACAACTCAAATTTACTGGGAAATTTTGACTTACCTAAGTCTCTATTACTCCATACATAGCAATACTATGTACAGACCTTGTGGGGTGAGGCTGATTTGCGGCTGAGCGATTGTACCCCCTTTTTGTGCTCCATACTCCATATAGAATCCCCCCTTGATTGTGAGCCAATCATATCATGCTCCAACTTAGCTCAAATCGGGCATGCAGCGTGCGTTTGTCTCCCCTCTTTCACCCGGGTGAAACCCAGCGATGAAGGGCACTTAAGCCATACCAGTTGTTGATAATTATGATAATCTGTACCGGAATACTCCGTATCTAGGAAATCAGGTCACTGATGATGAATACAAAGATTTTTTCTCGTTTATTAGAGCAAAGTGTGATGTTAGGGCAATTTATGCACTGCCCCTAATTGTGTACTACTATATATAGGGGTCCATTGCTACCACGCCCCTTACATACATTCACAGTACCTAAGTACATTCTGGCACCTTGCCTGGCATGTTCCGTTGGTGATCACCTTAGAACTTATATATTGTTGACGAGACCTGTTGGGAGACTGTCCTTCAAGGTTCACCTGGGCAAATCTGCGAGAAGACCCACCGATTCTGGTTTTGGTCATGGTCATTGTAGATCCTGATTCGAATTGGATGGGCGAATAATACATTCCTATGGAAGCAACTGGCAGATCCTCTTCTCCCTTCTTCTCAATCGTCCCAAGACTCTCTATTTAGAACAACATTCTCTTCGAAAATTCCAGCATAATTTGGATATCCAAGAGGTTCTAAAGTTGTATTAAGGCTGTCTTCAAACATGGACGGTCAATCGAATTTTCATGTCTACCGCTTGGCCGAAAGCGCTCGACCAGCTGTATATTCAATGGCACGAGGGTTGAGAACATCGAGTGTGATATTGATGGAGGTATTCCAATTCTTCTTTAGCTCATGGATGAGTCTTCTGTTGGTCTTTGTACCGGCTGGTTTCGCGGTGAACTACACTCATCAGAGCCCACCACTGGTTTTTGCAGTAAATTTTGCAGCTGTCACAGGTCCCTCGGCGGTCCTTGAACGTACAGTTTCAGAGATTCAAAAACGCTACCGACCTCTTATTGGCAGCTTAGTGGGCATGAGTTTTAGGTAAATCGGCCTCCACAATAACTCGAATGGGCTGCAATGCTGATAAACAGACAAGCAATGCCGTTCCGTTCATAACATCCACCTTACTTCTGAAACAGGGGCAGATCCTAGTGGTTCAAACTTCGCTGATCGGAAATACCCTTTCGAACATGCACCTCATGCTTGGAGTAAGCTTCCTTGTTGGGGGGTTTCGATTTCCTGAACAGTCTTTTAATGGCCAAGCTGCCAAGGAACTAGGCTCGTTGCTTCTCCTGGCATGTCTGAGCATAATCATTCCGACCGCATATCATCGATGGACAGATTCCACGCATTATGATGGAATAAGGCCACTCTCTCGAGGGACCGCTGTTGTTCTAATAACAACATACATAATATTCACCGTATTTCAACTCCACACCCACAAAAATCTATTTGCAGAGAATAATGGCACCGAGAGCGACATGGCGCTTGATGGAATGATGCATGCAGAGGGAACACAATCTGCTTGCTTTACAGAAACCTTAGCCAGCAGATGTTCTCCAACTCCTCGCACCGGAAAGGGCTCAGGCAATACGTCTAACTGCGAAGTTTCTAAGGCGCCCCATGATGCAACACTCTTTGTAGCTCTGGGCATCGCCAGTGCTCTGATCGGATTCCACACGACATTTGCAACCGATAATCTATCTAGCATTACCGGGGAGGGAAAGCTATCCCCAACGTTCCTCGGGGTGGTGATATTTCCTCTGCTCAGTAATGATATCGGTCCAATCAAGGCAGCCTGGGATAATCGAATGGACAGATGTCTGTCCTCCACTGTGGGGAAGTGTGTTCAAATGTCTCTCCTTGTCACCCCTTTGGTCATATTCATTGGGTGGGGAATGGGAGTAGACGACATGACTCTGAGTTTCGATGGATTTGAGGTAATATCCCTTTTTGGGAGTATCCTTTATGTCAACCTTCTGTTGATGAATGGCAAGTCGAACTAGTAAGCTCACCTAGCCCAGGGATTCCGTCTTAGTATATCTACTGACATGAAAGTTTACCTCGTCTCAGTTTTGAAGGGGTTTCTCTGGTTGCGCTTTTTGTTATTATCTCTATGGCAGCTTTTCACTTTGTGTAATCTCACATGTGCAGTTTTTGACCTTGATAGCTCCTAATGTGTCAAGGATGGTCAACCAGTTACCACCGCCAACCTGGATGATCCAGACCCCATGGGCTACATAATAATGCACACCTGCTAGGTTCCTCAATGATGTCTAGTACTAATATGACTCGGATCACCGTGGAACATGGATGAGGTCGAGATGCACAATGTGAATACATTATTATTATCTGCAATCTATATGAGCCTCAAGTCACACTAGTCGCAAATAGAGTATCCCCGCTCCAAGTCTGAATCCGAGTCCGTGTCTGGTGGAGATTGACCTAGTCCTCTGGAGTCTAAGCCTCTGATCTCCTTCAGATTCGCCACCAGCTCCTCATTAGTTCCCAGCCTTCTAGCTTCTCCCTTCTCTCTCTTTTTCTCTCCCCGCGGATAGTTCAGTCGGTTCCCTTCTTTTTCTCTTGCCAGCCAGTCTCAACAAATTTGCCTCCCAGCTGGAGGCAAAATGACCAGGATCAACCGGCAAATTAATAAAGCCAGCCTTTTGTTGAGGGGACAACGGTCAACAGTGCTCACTTGTACTTAGTGAGCACAAAGCGGCAAGGACTGACGGCAAAATGGAAACGGAAGTCCAAGAAGTAGCAGAAGAAATCCGGTAAATAGGCATCAATGACTATATTATTTGTCAGAGAGATCAGAGAACTACCAATGTAGCTCTGACTGATCGGCCATGAAATTCAGGGCATAATTGATCGCAAATTGGTTATCGAGGGTGATAGGAGCTTATAACTCCTTTGGGCTAGCGCGAACCATGAAGGACTCCATCTTGATGGAACTCAGGAGTGATATTACGCGTTCTCGCATACAGTCAAGTACCGTTGACCAGAGCCGGAGCGGAAACTTGTCTGTCAATTACCGAACAGCCTAAGAGTTACCTGCATGCTGACGACCATAGTTTGTGGAGCTATTGTGTGGAGGTCCGAATGTGGAGAATCATACCCAGCTCTAATGTATAAGAACACTTTGTTTTCCCACAAAAGTCATACTGAAGGCCAAATTCAGTTCAAAAGACGGCAATTCACAACATGGGCCGATCAGCAATTTTTTATCTCGCAAGTTTGCTGACCGGTTTGTCACACGCCGCTGTCAACATCACAGTCGCCCACCATGCGGATGCCGCGCCTTACACCGCCAACATCACCCAGTTGCCCATGAGAGTCTACGGAGATGATGCCTACCCAGTGTGGCACCGACGTCTGACGCCACCTGAGACGCCCAGATGCAGATACACTGGTTACAAACCCGGGGCTGAAGTACTCAAGAAGGGGTCAATCCGGCGCGAAGGGGCTAGACCCTTATTGACCGACATCCTGCATCTCCGCGATGTCCCATTGGAGCTGCGTGATAGTTTCATTATCTACGTTGATATTTTCAGACCAGTCGAAGATGGCCAATATCCAACTATCATGAACTGGAGCCCATACGGAAAGGAAATCGGCAACCAACACCTCGACGACTTTGAAGGACGATACAACGTTCCGCTTTCAACCGTTTCGGACATACAGAAGTGGGAGGCACCGGACCCTGACCCATGGGTGGCCTCAGGATACGCCCTTGTGCTCCCCGATAGTCGTGGTGCGTTCTCTTCGGCGGGCAACTTCCCCCACTGGGGCCGATAGCTAGCTGAAGATGGCTACGACGCTATCGAGTGGATAGCCGAGCAGACCTGGTCTAACGGCAAGGTCGGAATGGCCGGCAACAGCTGGCTGATAGTCTCTCAGTGGTTCATCGCCGCCGAGAAACCGCCGCACTTGACAGCCTTGGCCCCATGGGAAGGCTTTACGGATACAATGCGCGACCAGGACATGCGAGGCGGTATACCACAAACAGGCTTAAACGAAGATTTCATCGAGATTCAGTCGGGAAATCACTTCATCGACGATACCGTGCACATGGCGCTGCGTGAGCCAAACGATACGCTTTATTGGCAAGACAAGGCCGCCCATTTGACTAATATTGGTATCCCAGCCTACGTTGTGGCTTCTTACGAGAATATGCTCCATACTCGTGGAACTCTTGATGCGTTCAATGCTATTAGTTCGACCCAGAAATGGTTGCGAATTCACAACAGCCACGAATGGTACGACATGTACCAGAATTCGAGCCAAGCAGAGCTTCACCAATTCTTTGACCACTATTTGGAAGATGTCGACAATAATTGGAGCAAGACACCAAAAGTGCGCATCTCGCTGCTCGACCCCGGCCGCAACGAAGATATTGTCAATCGTGTCGTCGACGCCTGGCCACCATCTGGCTACGCTCCAACTAAGTTGTATCTACATTCCAACAAGACTATGTCACCCGAGAAGAGCGCCAAGCAGTCCAGTGTCACGTATGCTGCGGTCAATGGCTCTGTAGTGTTTCGCATGCCCGTACACACAGAGAGCGAGCTAGTGGGTCCCATCAAACTGCGCCTCTGGGTCGAAGCCTCCGGCTCCAATGACATGGAAATTGAGGCCATCGTCCAAAAGGTGGATAAGAACGGAGACCTTCTTTATCGCAACCTGCCGCAGGGCGGCAACAGTACCACGACTGCGACCAATTACCAGCGCGTATCCCGCCGTCAAATTGACCCAGAGCGTTCCACCGACGCCGAGCCCTTCCTTCTGCTCCAAGGCGAGGAGCTGCTTAATGAGGGTGAAATTGTGCCCATCGAAATAGGTGTCTGGCCAATTGGGCTACGTATCCATGCCGGTGAGGTTTTGCAGGTCACCGTGCAGCCGTTCGTTGACAACTCCACGACCCAAACTTTTGGTGTTGCTGAAATCCCTGTCGCAAGAGACTCTTTCACCTACATGCCAAATGAGACTGGCGTGGTGATTGAGAAATTTGGCGACCCAAGTCTGTATATGCCTGACTGGGTTGAGAAGCAGGCGCCTGCGTTTGAATCAATCAATGCAGGTACTCATATCATCCACCTTGGCGGCGAATACGATAGCCACCTGCTGGCACCTCTCAAGGAAGTCCGATAAGATATCTTTGGATTCAGGGGATGACTATGGGCCTGCATTGTAGATTTTTGAACCAGTCCCTCGAGCCAGCACACCTAGGCGGTTTCACTAGGCTCATCTATGATGCATATATTTTACAACTAGCCTAAAATGAACAGATGTCCAACCAAAATACTAAGTACCGAACATTTAACTCAAGTATCTAGAGTTCGGAACGCCTTCGCACGACCTAGTTACCTACTTTATTGTCATTGATAATCTCAAATTCGGGAGGTTCTGACGATGGCTCTGGATGACCGCCAATCCTTAAAGACCATGTAATCATGAGATCTCTTCGTTTCATTTCAAACTAAAGATGTGTAATATCGATCTTGATTGATAAAAGTGACGCTTCATCAGAACTTAATGCTCTTGTCCGTTGACACCATTCGTTGATGCCACTGGCGACTCCACACCATTGGCAGGGACACTGTTACCGGGGAACTTCCACATCCATTCGTCCTCCGGCGCAACTTCAAAGTCATACCGCACCAAGTCTTCCTTGTAGGGACACATGTAGGTGTTTGTTACCCTGTTTTCTCATTGGATTAGCAAGCTTGAACGAACAGAATCATGCGATAGAAATGGGGTTCAAACCAATGATGCTCTTTGCTGGCTTGGTATTTTTCCAGCTCTCCCATATTCTCATGAAGACTTAACAATGCGATTTCAAAGCCTTTGCTTCTTTCAATTGGATCTGTCAAGGAGGACCCGCCGACAACGAGTCGATGCCCTTTCACGCAGTCCAAGTTCTTGAGCTTCTTCAGTTCCCGCGTGAAAGTGTCCTTATGCTCCTGAGTGGTTTCAGGGCGAAATTTGAACATCACTATTTTACCACTAGGTTAGCTCGGTTTCTCTAGATGATTGAGACGGAGTTCCTCACCCATATGAACGATAGTCATCTTGTCAAGAGTTGGGATTAATTTAGGATATGATCGGAGACAGCGAGCCAATAGCCTAGTGTAAGCAAATAGTCCTTTCCTGGAGACTTTTTTGCGCTAATCTGCTTAACTAAAAAGAAAGATCAAGTAGCACTGGGGCTGTTAAGGCCGTCATATTTCAATTTCGGACTTCCCTATTTACTTTATGGTTCGAATGGCCGTCGGCCCGCAATCGGGGAATAGCCGAGCGCGGCCGGTAAATTTCACCGAATTCCCCTCCCCTCCGCCTTTCCTCCGCAGACTACATCACCACACATGCTGCATATAGCGACCTTGTGGAACTGTCGGAACCATTATCAGAAGATTGAATTGCCGATCAAGAAGATTATCGAATGGCTGATGAGTCGGGTATCAACTCCGCTGGGCTGCCTCGACGCCGTGTCTTTGCCTGTTTGCGATGCCGTCGGCGTAAAGTGCGTTGTGACGGAGCTTCCCCAGCCTGCTCCAACTGCGCCCGAGCGGGGATAGATTGTTTCGAGGGAAAATCGGATTCGGCGATATCGCGAAGGTAGGCCTTTTGCAATGGTTTCCACCTACCATCTGATTCAGCCCCATGGTTTCGACATTCCGATCGGTCGCTGACCCCCTGCTTGCGCATGCACGTCCAGTCGACTTCATTATCTTGAAAAGCGAGTCCGAGAACTAGAGGCTGGCCCGAATTCAGAAAAAAATAATCTCAATGAGCGGAGCCTGAATCCTCATGATTCTAGGTCCCAGCCAGTGATTTCTGTCGAGACTCATGGCCCGGAGTATCAATCCCAACAGCCACAGCAGTCGAGCAATGCCACTCCTGTCACACAACACCATGTGGGGCATCATCCGACGAGATCTATATCCCAGTATCCGGAGACGCAGTCACCATTAGATCGGCGCACCAGCGTCAGCCAAATGCAAGCTTCATTGGTTCCCGAAGGGCCGCGAAGCAGATTTTCCAACGATGCAACAGCACCATCCCCAGCGGAATCAAGTTCTAGCCGTATAACGCGTGACCAACCAATCGTTCATGAAGTGGGGCTTTTATCTCTGGGGAATGCGCTTGATCCCAAATACTTGGGACCTTCCTCCGGTATCTCCTTCGCCCGGATGATTTACGACAGCATACCTCAGTCCCAAGGATTACCTTTATCATATGCACGGTCTGGAGCTAATGACGGATCTTTCGACGCAAACCAGCAGAGTCGGCCCAATGAAATTCCGCATTTTGAACTTCCCTCAATGGCTGAGTATCAACAATACGCGGAAACCTATTTCAAAATGTCAACATTCTATCCTTTCATATCGCAGGAAGACTTTGAGATCCTATCAAGGCGAGTGTTTCAACTCCGCAAGACTTTGGTTTGGGATTGCCGCCTTCCTTTGACTGTTGCACTTGCACAAATTTACCTGGTACTGTCTCTAGGTGCCAGATTCTTGGAATACAAGCTCGGCAACAGTTTCCCATCTCAAGAGTTATTCGACAAGGGCATGAAATTCACCGCGAAATTGAGTCTGCACGAAAGCATCGAAGGTGTACAGATTCTTCTTTTGATGGCACAGCATAGTTTATTTTATCCAGAGGGGCTGAACGCGTGGTACCTAGTCCATGCTATCATTGCGAGCTGTTTAGATCTCGGACTTCAACGTCAAGACAATGGTTGGTCGTCCGTCTATTTGAGAACGTAGATAAATTTCCCTTACAATCGCTAACGGAACTTTAGTAAATCGGGAGAATGACTCGCCAGGCCAGTGCAAAACTCGACATCTTCGAAGTGCAATTTTCTGGTCTGCGTACTCTATGGACAGAACTCTGACTGTGATTCTCGGGCGCCCACTCACTCTTAGAGATGAGGCCATCGACCGCGAGTTTCCAGGATTTGATGGCAACTCGGAGGTCGAGCTTGGGGCGACAGAGTGGAGATCATCGAACACAGTCGGCCCAGGCTCGGAATCAGCCCTAGCGCCCTACACAGCATTCATCTACTCACTTCGTTTCGATCGCATCGTTGCAGAAATCAAGCTTATGCTATATCGAGTTTCGCGATCGCCGAAACGGTTTCCCTGGCCACAGGACTTGAGTGCATGGCTACAGGACACTCAGGATTCTTGCTCAGCGCTTCTAGAAGAAGCCCAGAGCCGTCAACATAATCACATGATTGGTTCCGCTGGTGCACTATCAGGGGTCGCGCTTCAACGACTTGAATTGAAATACCACCAATGTATTATGCTTCTCAATCGTCCAAGCCCACAAAATCCTCAACCAAGCTTTAAGGCTACTCAAACAAGCTTTGCAAGTGCCATGGGCATCATCACCACCTATACAGAGCTCCAGAGATTTTCGAACATGGATTTCTCTTGGCTTACTGCACATTCCATTTTTGTTGCCTCAATAACCGTGATCTACTACCTATGGTCTTGTCCATTCGTGAGAGGGAACGACCCACTAAATGCTTGTTTGCATCGTGTTGAGCAGGCCCACCAACTTTTGACAGTGTTGGGCAAGACCTGGTCGGTGGCACTGGAAGCAAGTGGCAAGTTGCAGAAATTGATCAAGTCCACGGTAGATCTCTATGCAGGCTTAGGGGACCCGCAGGCCACCAATGTAGGAGTGTGGGACGGAAACCCCGAAATCACTCCTCCGACAGATGCGAGGTTGAATAGACCTGCCACGAGCATGGTTCCAGCTGATGAAGGGAACGCTCTCATTGATGAGCTTGGGGTTCTTCGAGATCTTTTTGATCTTGGCTGGCTAGAAGACTTTACAACAGACACTATTAACCCATCGTCATTCGGGCCCCCCTAGGGATCCGAGATGAACAGTTGAACGGAAATAACGAAAGAACTTGTTTCAAATGAATTTCTCGTCTAAGCAGGTACCGGATAGTCATACAACGTGGCGGGATTCTCAATCCACAGTAGCCTCCATTCCTCTTCAGACAACCAACGGCTCATGGATTCAATCCATGCCTTATCATCAATGTTCAGGAAAGGCTCTTTACTCGTAGAGCTCTTTCCAATTCTATCTTTGTGACGCTGAGTATGAGGCCAATCACTTCCCCAGAGTACCCTTTTGGGGTTGGCATCGGTCAGGCGACGTACGAGCCACTTCAAATCGGCGTATTCGGGGGCCAGATTCGAGCATCGATAGGGAGCAGAGAGTTTGATCCACAGGTTACCCTCGGAAAGTGTTTGGCAGAGTGCTTCGAGTCCACGCCGTTCTACCTCGTCGAGGAAAGTGTCGTCTTGAATATTCGTGGTGTTGTCATCGAGTCGATAGCTGCTCGCTGCGATGAGGGCGAAGTGATCAACAACAACTGGAATAGGAATTCGCTGGATCACATCACGTAGGCGTGGCCAGAATTCAAGATGGGGCTGTTGGATTTGAATACTCCAGTTGGGCTTTCCCCACTGAGCAAGCCGTTGAGCCGTCTCTTCAATCAGATGAGATTGAGCATCAACGTCATCCATACAACTGTTACGGAAGAAGTCCAGACGAACAGACCGAATACCAGCTGCGTTATATTGGTCAAGTAGCTCGTCGGTGACTGTATTGAGATCTAAGACACAGATTCCACGTGCTTGGCCTGCGAAGCGTTCCAGATAGTAAAGCAGAGAGGTGCAGTCTAGACCATAAGAGAGACCATGAGCGATACAGACATGATCCACCCCGATCGATTTTTCAAACTCCTGGAGCTGTTCAAATGATGCCCGGGAAGGAGTGAAATGTCGGCCTTCAGCGAAGGGGAAGCGGTCTGGCTCAAAGATATGGTGATGAGTGTCCCATGCACCAGCTGGGACCGCTTTATGAGGAAACTCTTCGATGGATGTAGCCATATTGACTTAAAATTTAGCTGTTGCTAAGAAGATTTCAGTATATTGTTCATGTGTGAAGGAGTTTACCACTTACTCCTCTGTCTTTCCATGTGCCACGCGAGCAGATAACAATGAACACAGTGAATCAATACAGATTGAACGCGGTGACGGACACATGTTTATATGCCTACTAACCCGGTTTCATCTGCATCGGCTTATCACTGATCATTCCATTATCCCCGAGCCTTCCTCATGAATTTCCGTTTCGGCCAATACCCGAATTTCGGGCGGAACCCGCCCGACAGAGCCCCACAGCCCCGACGTTTCCTCGGGACTGACGATGTTCATAACGGCCACTTGCGTCAATATCGAATTTGAAACATATAGTCACCAGCAAATATTCCATTTTGTTTCTTCTTGCATCACACTGATCATCCAATATGTCTGCCGATTCTGAGAAAATTATCGAGCGCCTGCAACAGTGGGGCGCCTGCGACGTATGTCAGCTCAATGGATCTGCATTGAACAAGTCGTTCTTGGCTAATGATCAAACCATCTCCAATAGGTCGCAGATGGTCTCTCAAAGCTCAAGCATCCCAATGGAGGCTTCCTCGAAGGCTTGACCATGTACTCGCCGGAGTTCCAAGCTGGCGAAACCAAGATTGTGGGCCAAGCATTCACTGTCAAATTTGTCCCTAAATCAGACGATGTCTCGCCAAAGCTGCAAGGAAATTACGTGAGTTAAATGCTCGTTGATTGTGTTCTATCGCTAAAAACTGTTACAGATTGATCAAATTCCCAGCGGTGGTGTGGTCTTCATCTCCCAGCCTCTCCCCCAGGTAAACGCAGTTTATGGCGGACTGATGACCCTCCGAGCCCAAGTCCTTAATGCGGCTGGTGTGGTTATTGATGGCCGAGTGCGCGACATCAATGAGCATCGATCCCTCAACCTCCCTCTCTTTGCCAAGTCTGTTGGTACTACTGCAGGTGGTGAAGTCTGCCGACCATCAGAGGTTAATGTGCCCGTGCGTCTCCATTCCGACAACCAAGATGCATGGATCAACCCTGGAGACTACATCATTGCAGATGCCAATGGCGTTGTTTGTCTCCCCAAACATCTTGCTGAACAAGTCCTCGAGGCTATTCCTGCAATTGCTGAGGCCGATAAGAAGTGTGCAGAGGGCATCAAAGCAGGTCGTTCAGTGCAGGAGGTTTTCAAAGAATTCCGTGGTCGCTAGCTATAGCGTAATGTTCAATCTTTGAGACATTAACTCCGCGATTGGGCTGGGACACTTGTGTAGAGTAGATGGAGATACGAATGTCCGTCGTTGGAAAAAGATTCAACTCGGGTAGTGCTATGATCTGTCAATCATTTTATTGCTCAGATTTTACTAGATGCACTATGGCTTGTTATTAGATATCTTGGTCAGGAGTGAGTATTGCGTAATTTCCTCGAATTCAGTAAAAGTGTAATCGGATATTTGCATGTTGTATTTGACCTTGCTTTATTAGAAAAATTCACGAGAGAAACAAATCAAATCAAATTTTCAAGGGAGGGGTATTGCATTCTTTGCGCATGGTTCAGGAGTGGGTTTTTAGAGTTGCCGGCACTGGGATGCCCGAGAGCCCCAGAAGATGCGAGGTGACCAGCCCCACATCTCCTGTATCAGGACCACTTTTCTGCAGGTTACAGGGCGTAAACCACTTGCCCTGCTACCGAACAACACCATTTGTCCACCGTCAGTCCTTCCAAAACGTCATATTCGTCACACTAGATCCACCAGAAAATAGGCTGGAAGAACACAGGCCCTCCAGAGGGGGCGTCCGCTCCCTAGATCTAAGTCCGGACTGAGACCTGAAGACCTGGAAGCCAGATGAGGCTAGCAATATTCGGCGGTCGGTCCGAGTCCGAACGTTGCTGTTCAATACTTTCCGAAAAGGCCGCTTCGTCGGATAACACCGAACAATACAGACTTCCATTGGGGATTTTCTCGCGGAGATCAGGATAATGACAATATACATGACCCACTTGCTTGACGAATGGGGTTAACTGACCCCGGATTTTTGAGACTTAGCCAGCCTTAGCACTGACCAGATGCTAGTCTAATTCCAAACAATGTTCCCCATATAGCAATGCGGGGGAAAATGTCCGATACGGGCTGAGGCCGCAATGAAAGAGATAAATAGACACTCATTTGCTCTAATTCTCAGTGGAGTAGCTCAGAGCACTTTGATTTAGCTGCAAGATCGATCTTCCTCAGATTCTACCTCACAAACCCTATTCCCTCGTTCGTTCACATCGAGCCTTGCCTGTTCAACATGGCTGCCATTCGCAAGGGCGAAAATCCCGCTTCTGCTGATACATCAAGCGACAAGATGGAATCAGTTCAAGAATTTCATTCTGAGGTAACTAACATGGACAAGGTAGACCGGGACCCAGCAACCAACCGGTTGGCCTATGCCCAGAATATGAGCCAAGAGGAGTATCTTGCAGCAGAGAAGTCATTGAAACGGAAGCTTGACTACCGTTTGCTGTCTATGCTGTGGCTTATCTTCATACTCAACTACTTGGATCGCGTTCGTACAAACAGTTTTCTCGGACAGGACAGTATATTGACTCAAATTCATTAGAAAAATATCGCTGCAGCCAAAGTCGCAGGCATGCAAGAGGATCTCGGCCTCAGCTCGACCCAATATGCAACCTCCATTGCTTTGCTTTTCGTGGGCTATATTCTCATGCAACTTCCCTCAAACATCTACCTTGCGCAGGTCAGGCCGAGTTTGTATTTACCAACAGTGATGATGGTTTGGGGCGTCATTTCTGCTCTCACTGGTATTTGCAACAATGCAGGCGGTCTTTACGCTACCCGCTTCCTCTTGGGTATCGTTGAAGCAGCATACTATCGTGAGTAATTCCGCTTATCATTATATCCTAGATTCTTAGGCTCATCAAAGTCTAATAGCTGGCGCACTATTCCTGCTGTCTTCATGGTACCGCCGGTCTGAATTGGGGTTTCGTGGCGCTCTGCTTTTCTCCGGCTCCCAGATAGGATCCGCCTTTTCAGGTCTCATCGGAGCTGGCATTCAGAGAGGCATGGACGGAGTACGAGGTCTAGAATCCTGGCGCTGGATTTTCATTATTGAGTATGCTTGAGCCTTTTTTCGTAATTGGCAGAGGCCTTGCTGACTAGCGTTGTTAACTCAGAGGCGCGATAACTGTCTTCGTCGCTTTCTGCGCATACTTCGTTCTGCCCGACTGGCCATCGACCACTAAATGGCTCTCCCCCAGTGAACGAGCCGTTGCCGAATGGCGACTCATTCAAGATGCTGGTCAGGTCGATGAAGATGACGAGTCCTGGTCGTACGGCTTCGGGCTCTGTTTTAAAGATTGGCGCGTCTATATCTTTGCTCTTATGCTTCTTTGCGTGCAAGTATCTTCTGCTACATCAAACTTTTTTCCCTCTGTGGTGGAAACACTTGGCTTTGGCAAGGTTCAAACTTTGTTGCTCACTGTACCCCCTTACATGGTAACGCTGGCGGTTTCAGTGGCAAATAACTATTCAGCAGACCGTCTTCAGAACTCAAGCTTCCACATTGTATGGCCCATGACTATGGCCATCCTGGGATATATCATCGCTGCTACAACTACGGGCGTTGGGCCCAGATATTTCGCCATGATCATCATGGTATGTTCTTCTTACCAATTTTGTCCATTCAGCTTTTGCTCCCGGTCATTGATCTGCTCAAGTGTTAAATCAAATACTCATTGGAATTCTTGTTTAGCTTGCTGGTGCATATGGCTCCAATGCAGTTCTTGTTGCATGGACGCAGAAGACCATGCTTCGTCCACGCATCAAGCGCGCCTCCGCCGTCGCATTCGTCAACGGTTTCGGCAACATCGCTCAAGTGTTTAGCTCTTATCTTTATCCCGATGAAAGTGCACCACGATACGTTCTTGCAATGGCCACAAACAGCGGCTTCGCTCTGGTGGCCATTGTGCTTGCCCTTTTCATGCGATTTGTGTTGTTGCGAGCAAATAAAAAATTGTCAGCCGGTGATTCAGCCGTTGGTGAGGTCATGGTAGGAGAGGCGCGTGCAGAGATTCAAGGTATTAGTGAAGAAGAGCGTCGCACTAGGAAGGAAGGGTTTCGCTATATTGCGTAGGCAAACGAAAGACAAACGACTGTCACGGTTTTTTGTTTCTCTTTCTATTGTCACATTATCTATATTCTCCTATTATCAACTCTGAGAAGTCAGTTCTACGAAATAGCGCCCCTAGAGCGTTCTTGAACTTATTAGTGGCGCTTTACCAGTCATTTTATGGCCCACAATTTTCTGTTCTCGATTTTTTTGCAATGTACCGTTCTTTGGAAGTATTCATATCAAGATTGATCGTTATAGCCAAACTATATACATTTCCTGTTTCCTTTTGACTATGTGAGATGATAAATAAAGCACCACATAGAAAGACAGATTTGGTAGAGATGCCCATGCCCAGCGAGGGTGTCCGCCTTGAATATCGCCACATCCGAGATCCGGTGGAACAAAATACTTTCTTGGGCAAACGCGCCCGTCCGTTTGCAACATAAATATAATATGTGAGCATTGCCCAAAAACGAAGAAGTTTTGTTTGCTTGTACTTTTCTGACGAGTCAGCTGTCAGCTGGGGACCTGGAGAAATCATCATAATGCAGGTTCAATTCCCCCTTCCTGAAACCTGCAAGGCCGGGGTGGTCACTAACCATGGCCCTGCTTTCGAGCTTAAAATTGAGGATGTTCAAGTGCCTCACCCCGGTATGAGAGCTTCCAGTTCAAATCCCCCGCCCATAAAGAGGCGAGATTTCTAACTTTTTAACATAGGCCCAGACCAGATTTTGATTAAACTCAATGTCACTGGACTGTGCTATAGCGATATTCACTATATGTTAGAGGATCTGCCATTGCCTCGAATGGGCCATCTCAGCGTATCTTCTCCTGGACACGAAGGTGCAGGGGTTGTTGTTGCAATTGGCAAAGACGTCAAGGGTTAGGCACTCGGAGATAGGGCAGGAGTGACCCCAACGTGGGATACTTGCATGAGCTGTGAACTTTGTGCAACTGACATGGAATGTCACTGTGCGCAAGCCATTCCCACAGGCCTCAAAGTATCTGGTGTGTCTTGATTGAGCCTTCTCTGTTCCCCTTGTTTACTCTCCGTGATGAAGAGACCAACCCAGCTGACATATTTCTATCTATCGAAGGTACTTATCAGCAATACATAACCTCTCCGGCCCGATACACTTCGCGAATCCCTGACTCTGTGGATGACTGCGCCGCGGGGCCTATCATGTGTAGTGGGTCGACGATGTTCCGCGCAGTAAGACCGACCCTTGATGCCTCAAGACCTCCCCTTCACCGTTCAAGTATAACTGATTGTTCTTCAGATCCGGGAATCAAATTTGCGCGCTGGTAATTGGGCGGTATTTATTGGAGCCGGGGGAGGAGTTGGACACATGGGAATCTAGATTGCAAGAGCAATGGGAATGCGGGTAATCGGAATTGACGCCGGTCCGGAGAAAGAAAAGATTTGTCTTGAACTCGGCTGCGAGGCGTTTATCGACTTAAAAAAATCGTCGAACCTGAGCGGTGAAGTCCGAAAGATTGCTGAGGGAAAGGGGGCCCACGGGGTATTTGTTACAGCCTCTTCCTCTGCCGGCTACAAAGTGGCGCCACGCATGGTAAGAGTTGGGGGTGTTGTAGTCTGTGTCGGAATGCCCCCTTCAGGTACTGTGGTAGCTGGTGACGACCCGATGTACCTGATTTTGAATAATATCAAGGTCGTCGGCTCTTTGACTGGGTCGAGACAGGACACCGCCAATGCTTTGTCAATGGCAGCCCGAGGACTACTGAAGCCTATCTATGAACTTTATGATATTGTGGAACTGCCCGGAGCGGTTCAGAGGCTGATGCAAGGCAAGGTCAATGGGCGACGTGTTGTTCGGTTTTAATTATGTACGTCTGCACGGGCCGAGGCCCGGGCCTCAGTATGAGTACAACCCGTTACTCGCACGAACTGAAGTTTTTTGTTCCGATCTTATCAAGAATGGTTTCGAAGCAGCTGGCCTAGTGCTTGTTTTATTTGATCGAGTGATCTCTGAATTGAATACCCAACTTCGAGCATTATTCTCTCTTCGAGCCGGGGTAGTGAATCAAGTCAAAATTCTACACCAAAAACCCCTTTTACTGAAAAACACCTTTATCGACAAGCTTCGTCAATCAAAGCTTTTTTTCGTACAGGCTCAAGAGATCCATATATTATAAGGCAGATATTTACACATATCCATGCTTGCATATCATTGGTCGAGGATTTCTGGATTTGACAACTAGTTATAGAGCCTTTTACTTAGTAGATTTCAAAAAATGGCTTAATAGCCTCCAGTTCTCTCACCTTCAATAGGCTTGAAGGTGACTTCTGTTGGTTGATCAGTGATGCCGCGCTTCTTTGCAGCTTCCATGATGGCAACAGTAGCAGTGGCACCGATGCGAGTGACACCCAGAGACATGACATGAAGAAGATCATCGAGTGTTCTCACGCCTCCAGCTGCTTTGACCTGAACCTCCGGCTTGGAGTGTTCCCTCATAAGCTTCAAATGAGGGACAGTAGCACCCTTGTAATTGTACATTCCGTTGGGTTGCTTGACAAATCCATATCCCGAAGAGGTTTTGACGAACGCAACTCCGATTTCAGAGCAGATCTGACACAGGCGAATGATGTGGCTTTCCTGCAAATAGTCGTTCTCGAAGATGACCTTCAAGATAGATCCGTGATTGATGACGGCGGAGTTGATCTGGCGGATCTCGTTGGCGACATACTCCCAATCACCGCCGAGGGCTTTGCCGATGTTGATGAGCATATCGACTTCGCGTCCACCTGCAGCAGCAGCGGCATTCGCTTCAAATACTTTCACATCGGTGGTGCTGTTGCCATGAGGGAAGCCGATCACAGGGCAGACGAGAACATCTGTGCCTTCGAGTGCTTTCTTGGCGAGGGGAATGGGGTATGGCTTGACACATGCGGTGGCGACGCCGTTCTCCTTGGAAATACGAAGGCCTTCCAGGATGTCTGCATCTGTCATTGTTGGGTGCAACAGGGAGTGATCAATCATTTTGGCGATTTGTCGCAAGGTGACGGTGATGGTGTTGCTCTGAGCCATTTTGGTTGTAGTTGGTAGTAACAAAAATGTTTTTTTTATCAAAGTCAGATAAATTGATTTCTGTGATATTTCTAGAGTCAACTGTTCCACGGGGTCTTTATGTATGATCTTCTCTTCATATGTTGACGTTGACACAAGAAAGCCGGTGGAAGAGTATCTTTAGATGGATATTTGCTCCGGTGGATCTTCTTTCGGAAGAGGCTCCGCCGGAAATATTTCCCAAAGAAGAAAGGTTTCGGCCACTCAGGCATCTGCGCATCCAACATATGCAACCTTTTCCTTTCAGCAACTCTATGTTTTACTTTCGATGTCAGATCTAGACAAAATCAGAAAAAAACATTACAACAGTGAGGATTCGCTGATGGTCACCCACCCAACCCCAACTACTAACTCACCGTCGGAGCGGACGGGAAGACCTGTTCTCCACACTCTGTGGTCGTATGTGGTCGCAAGTACAAGACCTTGACTAAATCTTGCTAACAATAGGTTGAACGCCAAGGCTCACACGAACTCAATAAGGATCTGTATTCGGAATGATATACTCTGTACTCCACCTACATCACTTTTACCTCTACCATCACGGTGCTAGGGAAATACTCATCATGCGTGGTGGAATCCATAGCCCGATCAGCTTGTTGTTGAAGATCCAAGCAGCATGCGTAGGTAGAAGTACCCTCGGTAAGACCAGCAGGGGTGGACGAAGTGCGGACCGGACTCTGAGCGATGAGGGGAAATTTAAGCCGGTGGAATTTCAGCCATAGGAATCTGCCAGATTGACATAGTAGACCGAAGATATCTGAGGAGATCAAATAAGATCAAGGCAATTTTTTCGGGCGTATTGACTGATTGACAAGACAATGGAAGCTCTTTTAATCTTTCTTGAATTTCTTCAATGAAGATATTCTTATGGTGGGGAACAGAGAACTGTTTTTCCCAGGCGCCACCTGATTTGATCCAAGCGAATATTAGAGGATCGTACACGGATCGAATCAGATCAAGGACAGTCTGACGTTTGACGGGACATCCGGGCTCGAAGGGGTTTCCAAGGCCCAATGGATCCCACATACGATTTTCGCTTCTATCGCTCCCCTTCATATTGGGTCTAAGTAGCACAGTAGATCGAGGCATATTGAATCATCGGTTGTTGTATATTTTAATAGGACGTTGTGATTGTCTTCGGTTGAGAGTCTTTTTTGGTATGGAGGACTCGAAGATTTTGTACTCGAGGACTTCTAAACATGCTTTGGGGTGTTGAACTGTACCGGGTCTTTCATCTATTGACTTGGGTCTATGTCTCCTCTGTTTGTGTGTTTTCTGTGTTTTTTCTCCTTGGTGCCGACAATGCCATTTGCTTTGGCAACGCTTTCTTGTTGTCTCAAATGGCCATTTAGTTCCTTTGCTCTCTGAATATTGGCAGGAAGAAGACGCACAAAGATATCGCAATTGAGTATTAATTCGTAGCGAGCTTTGTAACCTGAGAATTCTCATTTCCAAAGATGATCCTGCCATTCTTATGCTGTAATTACTAGGTAAAGCACAGTGCAACTTATTTATGCTCACCCAGCGTGGAGGTCAAAGCAACCCATCGGGGTAAGTGGGGGTTCGGTATGATGCCGAATCTCCCCTCCACAACCCAACAGCTCGGAACTCGTCCGCTTCGGGAACATCCCAGTGAAGAAATTATCTGACTCCAGGCTTTCGTCTCTGTGAATAGTTTCTTCTACTTTACCCAAAATTAAACCCATCTGATCATGACTATCAGTATGACCAGTGTGCATCTTGGCCCCAAAGATGGGTATCATACAGCCAAAGCGAATGCGCACGCGAATATGACGGCATACATGACACGTCCCCGATTTGATGACCTGCCCTTACACCCAAGTCATCCAAAGGGGTCAGCATGGGGTCTTTGGGGTGCTGATGATGAGCGTGGAACTCTGAATCTTTTAACAGAAGATGTAGTTCGGGCTGCTAGTTCGGAAGTCTCGCTTGGTAAAGTTGTGAGTTTGAAGTAAGTATTTTCTCAAAATTCAGTCCTGTTCCTGGCTAATGTATTAGCTTGCCTTTGAATGTTCCTCTCAGACCAATGAACCCGCGGAGAAAGAAGTGCTCTCATACAATAGTTGCGAAGGGTCATGCCAACGATGATGAGGTATTTATTCCCTCTTCCTGGGGTCCTCTTTCTTCTTCGTCCAATTTTGTACTGACATTCTCTCAGATCGACATTAACACACAAAGCTCAAGTCACTGGGACGGTCTCCGACATTTCCCATATTCGAAATCAAAGCTCTTTTATAATGGAACTACCCAGGATGAGATTTCCGGGCCTCAAGCTTCCGCCAAAATAGGCGTGCAGAGTATGTCACTTCCTGTGATTTTTTGATTACTCTAATAAATCCCAGATCTTGCAAGAAATCCAATTGTCTCAAGGGGAGTTTTGATCGATTGGTACAGCTATGCAAAGCGCGAAAATTTACCACTCAGCCCGTTCACCAATTCGGAAATTCCACTATCACATCTGCAGAGGATTGCAGTTGAACAGGATGTGACATTCCGACGTGGTGATATTTTACTCATTCGCACCGGGTGGACAGCAGCGTACCACCTTCTCACGGACGAAGAGAAAGAACGTCTCGGTGGAAGAGAAGATCGTGCTTCTGTTGGCGTGGAGACAACAGAGGAAAGTCTACGCTGGCATTGGGAACAGGGATTTGCGGCCGTGGCCAGTGATACGGTGGCGTATGAGGCGTGGCCTTCGCCCAAGGCTTGGGGTGTCAGTATGCATGAGGTGAGTGTCTTCGCCTCGCTATTGTGATATTTTGCTTATCGACTTCAGGTCTTTTTGAGCGGATGGGGCATGCCAATCGGCGAATGCTGGGATCTGGAAACACTGAGTCAATTGTGTCAGGAACTCGGGCGATGGACATTTATGTTAACGAGCCAACCTTTGGATTTACCCGGTGGTGTGGCGAGTCCAGCCAACGCTACGGCTATCTTCTGAGTAATATTTTTTGTGCATTTGCAGCGTGCATTCTGATGAGCGTTATTGTGCAAACCGAGTGTGCGATTCCAAGATTCCAGGAAATTGGAAAATATTCCGTCCAAACTAGATGATATATCTTAAGTTCGCCTCCTGGCTTTCTGCAGAAGTCATATCAACTTGAGTCCCCTCCCTGACAGGTCCATAAATCCGATCCCGTCGCTTATTCTCCCGCCAAAGCAAGAAACTCAAGGTAGAAGCCGTGGCAGCCGATAAGAGTGCGAAAGCACAGCATATCCACGATCCCTTCCGGTAATACGGCTTGTCCGCATCAGGGAAGACATTCGTACCGAGCAACGGCCCACACTGTCCAACGGTCATCATGATCCACAATCCGCCGGCCTTCTTTGAGCCCGTAGAATTCGTATTCGAGTTCCATATTAACACCAATGAGGTTGTCACGAATATCATGACTGCAAAGAATGTTCCCAGATATCGTGGCCCGACGGTATCGGTTGTGCCAAGTAATATGAAGCCGATTACCGAGAGGACGGCGAATAATGCGGCGAAGGGGCCGCGCATTCGGAGCTTATCGGATATTATTGAGACCACGATTATTAGGATGAAACATAGGAGATAAGGTGGTGCGGTGATTCCGTTTGATTCGACTTCGGTGAAGGTTCCCATTTCCGATACGATGGTTGGTAGGAATAATGGGAGAGAGGCGAAGCTGACGTTATTGCAGAAATTCTGCAGTGCAAATAAATAGTCTGATACATCAGTGAGCAAGGTTCGTGGTTGAAGAAGGAGAGAAGCATACTCCGATAGTCCTTGAAAGCATCCCCTAGCTGGCTCCATTGCAAGCCCTCATGTTTGTAATCCCCAGGCTGGTTATTCGCATATGCCTGAGCAATCTCTCGCTCTCTGGGAGTCAAAAACCGGGCCTGGGATGGTGAATCCGGGAAATAAAACCAGGCAACAACGGCAAGTAAAACAGTCGGGACACCCTCGATAATGAACAAAAACCGCCAGCTGGAGATGGTTGAATGTACATGACCAAGCCCGTAGGCCAAAGCGCCTCCATATGCATTTGCCAGCGCAGAGCCAGCGAGGAAGATCCCGAATCTCCTCCCCACCTTGTCGCGGGGATAAAAGAAAGAGAAGTATAGCGGAATTCCCGGGCCGAACATGGTCTCGGCCCATCCGAGGAAGAATCGACAGGCCATCAATCCACTCCAGTTAAACGCTGCTGCTTGTAGAGTACTGGCAATACCCCAGTACATCACGACGAATGCGACCCATTTGTGTGGTTTGAATAGTTTCCATCCTAGGGTGTTGAATTGGAAGATGATGTAGGCGATGTAGAAGATGTTGCCGAGCCATTCGTACCGGTCGCCGGATAGATCGATATCGTCTTTCAGTCCGACTAGTTTTGCGTTTCCTAGATTGGACCTCTGTGAGGGTTAGCCTGTGTGTGATTTCAGAATTTGATGCCTGAACTCACATCCAGCACAGAAAACGTGTATAGGAGGAAACATAGTGGCATGAGGTTGAAATCCAGTTTTCTGACGACTTTTCTCAGTTCCTCGGGCGAATAGTCAACTATCTCACCAGCTTTCTCGTTTGACTCGATGTTCTCCAGCGTGAGGACATCTTTCTTGTGAAGGTCGCTTTCTTGCGGTGAAGAGGTCATACTCGTACAGTTGGGAACACACCACAGACTCTTCCAAAATACACCGGGCGGAAGCGTGTGTCATATCTTCAAGTGAATTCCTGTCACATTCGAAGAGACCTAAAAAATAGGACGCTCAGTTCCCTAGGGAAGCTCGGGGTTTCTAAATGTCCAGACCGCGGTATCTCGGGGCTCAAGGTTGGTGATTGGCGAGTAGAATTAGCCACAGTGGGAACAGCCGGGCGATCATTGCTTGATATTCGCCAAGTCACATCGACCCGGTGTGCCGATCCGCTGATTTGCGATCTGTGCGGGGGAAACCAGATTCCGTTCACTTAATTTACAGTCATTAGGATCTAATTCTATATCTGGTACTGCGGGTTGAAATGGTAGGGATCGAACGGGGCCCAGCCACCATTATCCGGCACAAATCCTCCCCCTGCGTTGAAGAAATCCCAGTCAGGCAATCTCATGTCTACGTCCATTGCTTCGGTCATCAACGTGCCGATGTTCTCGTCGGGAACTGTCTCATAGGTTGGCTGACTCTGACTGACATCAGGTCCGAGTGGTCGATTCGCCGGGAAGCGGCCATGGTGCGCTGCGAGGTTCGGACCTGGGGTATTCACTGGTCTCTCTATTTGCTGCGGCGGACTGTAAACTGTAGGCTCACTGTATGATGACGAGTGGTCAGAGAAAGATCCTGGGATTGAGCGTTGTCGAATTTCTGGCTTCGGTCGCACTTCCTCGATGGGATACGCTGGTGGCTGGTCCGACAGTTTCTCTGTCAGCTGGGTCAAATGGGACTTGATTATTTCGGTACTGCGTTTGATTCCAGGAGTCTGGCGGGCCTCAGACTCGAGCATTTTTAGAGTCGTGGAAAGTCGATGAGCGGCCGCACTCGCGAGACTGGGATCTTCATGCTGAATCTGTTGGATGTCTATGGTGGCAGCGGTGTAGACACAGTAAGACACGAGATAAGTCTGGTTTTGGAAGTTGAAGGTCCGTCCATATTGGCGGAAGAACTCATTGACTTTGCTTGCTTCTTCTGTGCAGACCTTCTGCGCTCGAAGGGCGAGAGTATGGCCCTGAAGTTTGGTGTGTCGTGACCAGCCGAAAAATGGTCTGAAAATTAAAATCAACATAGTATGGAAAAGGATACTTGGGAAAGTTAGTGCGTTCACAGTGCGTTTGGGTAAGGAATACCTACTTAAGACAGAATATATGGGGAGGGAGACAATGCGATGAAGAAGCAGCTTGCTCGGGCCTCAGCGGGCCAGGGAGGGTTGAATGAAATGCACGAAGTTTCATCTCTAGCTTGAATATGGTCTGGAGTTTGAGGTCTTGGATGTTTTTGCCATAGACCATTTCGTAACTTTCGTTGATCAACTAGCCATCAGGTTAGAAAGAGATTCCGACAAAGGATATACACCAACTCACACTGGCTAGTTTACAGAAATGAATGAAGTAGAGGGTGTTGTATGATTTCGTGAAAGGGTATGGATTTTTCATCCCTTTCAAGTAGAACGGTTTCCATTCGACGTCATTGTCCGACACGTCGACTGTCAAATATTAGCTCGGCACAAACAGTGTAGATGTAGCACGTACATAGGCTTTCGGGAGAAAATGGAAGATCTGGTAGGGATGGAGGACGCCCCAGACTTAGACTAATTGATCTTGAACGAAGTCAGTAAATTTCTTCTCGTTGACAATTCACACGCTTACTTGTCCCACGCAAACGCGGATAGATAGAGGCGCTTTCGAACCTCCAGGTCATCCGGCTCAAGTCCATCCAATCCGTCCAAGTTCCCCTTGTATAGATTGAGCCCAAGATCAATAATCATGCGATTTGCCTGGCGCAATTAGCCCATGATCTTCTCTCTCAAAAGTCAATGTCACAAACCATGCCGGTGTAGAGCCATCCTTCACTGCTCTTTCCGATCGCGCATTGCCGGCCGCCTAGAATCAAGAGTCCCTGGATAGTACAGATTTTGGGCTTTTCTTGTTCCATTTCAGTCAACAAAAGCTGTCTCGCTTTTTGCATGAAGAACCGGCCGCGCTCCAGACTAGCAAACTTGGGATCATCGTCTTTTGTATGACGAGATGCGTGGGCTAATATCACATTCAACAAGAATGGTGAGAAATAAGGGCCTCCCAAGGCCAAGTCCCGGTAGAAGCCTGACCATTTTGTCAGAAAATCAGTTGCCCAATTGTCGAAATCCCCATACTTACATCGACGGTAGACATAATTGTGTAGTGGAGCCTGCCACGTCCAATAGATCTCCAAAAGCGTAGTGCACGCATCGATATCAAGATCAGTATACCGGTGGAGATTCCCCAGAGCCACTTTTTCTATAGATTCTTGAAATCTCGCATTCGAAGCAAGCCATTTGCGATGATACTCCTCCGTGGCAGTGTGTTCCTTGCCCTCGGGACCGGGCAGTTTCGGCAAGGGATCAGCACCCGATTCAAGGGGGTGAAAGCGCGAAGTAGCACCGAAATACTAAAATCATGAATATTCGACATCCAGATTTAAATCAAAAAACGTGAAAACATACCGTGCCATCTTCACCAACACTAAAATCCACAGACTGTCTAAACGGTAACTCCTCTTCTTTCTCGTCATCCCACGATGCCTCGGTCATGCGGTCGGGTGACGTATCCAGCTGAAGTGTATCGAAATCGCGGACGATCCCCGCAAGTCGACGATCGCGCTCCTCGTGGTCCAGCCGTGCCAAGTCCCGAAGCTGGCCCTCTAGGTCCTCGACCCGTCGCTTGGACTGTTGTAGCTGTTGGACTATATGGGCATTGTAGCTGGGGCTCTCTTTGTAGCTGCAGATCTCTTTGGCTTTGACGCAGTTGGCGCAATTGGGTTTCTTGCCGTCGCAGCGGATTTTCCGACGTCGGCACATCAAACAGGCGAACCCGTACCGGCGTGGCGTTCCCTTTGTGCTCATGATGCTTCCATTGCTGTCTCGGAGGGAAAAGGGAAGAAAGTCCTGCGGGGTCGAAGGTTAATCTGGGGTTTTTGGGGTCTATTAGTCAGGAGTTAGGCGAATGGACTTTTCTATGGTACGAAGTACAGAGTAGTCAATGGTAGTCAATTATGGTATACTTTTTCAACAGCCCTACACATATGCTTGTGTTTTTCCATTTAGTCATACTTTTAGCGTCGTGGTCGATCCTAGCCATCTCGGTATAACCCGATATTGGGCTTTTTCTATTCTGGGCCCGGTGTACGCGGCTTTCATGTGATGTGGCAAGACGTTTCCGGCAATTGAGGACTTGATTATGGATTATCGTAGAACTACACTACACAACGGTAGAATCCTCGGGTCCTGCCCTTTCCTAAACAGATAGGCGATATCCAAAGAATCTGGCCAAAAGCAACAAAAAAAAAGGGGGCGATGTACACAGCGCTGGACAAATGGAAATGATCAATGCAAAGGAACCCGCTCGTGTGGTCGATGACCAGAAGGGGTCCGCGGGTCTCACGGAAGGAAAGGCATGGGGTCAAAAATCAGAGTATGTAAGAGATATGTGCAGTGAAAGAAAGAGGGTCATAATCAAGCCTTCGAAGTCAGATGGTCCACAGCCTATTCGTTGGTTAGTAATATTCAATGTAAGCTTTGAGGTGGAAAATTATTTACCTTGTCGAGGTTGTAATCAAACTTCTCCAAAGCGTCCAAGGACTCGTTTCGGTCAAAGCCCATACCGGTCAAGCGCTGTAGGATCAAGTCATCTTCCCCATTGTCGGTATTCAGGGCCCATCCAGGCTGCTTAGACTTGTCTTCGTGTGACTCCTCGCCGGTGCTAGGCTGGGTGTTATTAAGGGGAGCGAAGAGGGCATCCCACTCATGGGCAGCTGGCTTTGATCCGCCTTCACTGGAAGATCCAACGGGCTGGGCCGTCCCTGCGTGGGGGTTGCTGTCGAAAGAGAAGAACTCAGATGAGCTTCCTTGACCGGTGTTAGTGGACGAAAGAGGCTGCTGTTTCTGAGCCGGAGAGTCAAAAGAGAAGTCAAAGTCATTCGTGTTCTTGACTGCGTGGCTCTCGGGCTCATCGTCGTCGTCATCTGCTTCAGCAGCTGGTGCAAGGTTCATTCCGGCGAAAGCTGCTTCGAAGTCTGGTCCTCCCACCTTAGCCCCACCTGCGGGGAGACCAGCTTCCGAGACTGAGTCCCGCTGGGTTTCGTTGGTAATCACTGGCGCACCAGTAACATGCTCCACTGAGTGGGGCGCATCCGGAGCGGTAGTTGGATCAGTGCGCTCAGGCAGAAGACCATTAAATTGGGGTGGAAGATGAGTGTTGTCCTCCTTGGGTGCTTCATAACCTGGAGGGCTCTGCTGCGCCTCCGGAGAAGGAGGCTGAGGGGTGTGTCCAGGGACAGGGAAAGCAGCCAGTTGGGCAGCATCAATCGAGTCCGGCTGGACTTCTTTGGTGGCAGCAGGTGTAGTGACAGCAGGTGTGGGAGGCGCAAAGTTATCGTCAAATCCCAGGACACGCTCATCGTCTGAGCTGTCATCATCGTCGTCATCATGGTGGAGCTCCTGGATAGGTGGGAATTCAGAAGGACCAGCAGAACCAAAGCCAGTGGCTTGGTCACTTCCAGAGGGTTGCTTCATAGATGCAAATGCCTCCTCAAAGTCGTTGCCTTGCTGTGATTCAGATCGCTTGTGAGCCTTGCTTCCAAACAGCTCATCAAAGCTGAGATCCTGGTTGCCACCCGGGGGACCAGTGGGGGACGTGGCAGACTCAGGCTGCTGGGATCCTACTGCAGGTACCTCGGGGAACTTGGTGGAAGTGTCCAGTCCCTCCTCTTCAAATGGAGATCGCGCGGGTGTGATCTCAACTGCTGAAGTAGGTGCACGGCTGTAATCACTAGATTCGGCGACTGAGGGCGCGCCGTTCTCACTAGCTCCGCCCTGGGATGGTGTGCCAAATCCAGAAGCTTCGCCGCCGCCAAATCGACTACCAGGGGGCGAGACCATTGTAGACGAGGTCACTGACTGGCTGTCATTGAATTGGAGGAAATTGGGGGTCAATTGGCGGGACACACTAGGGGCTGGAGGCTCAGCTAGAGGGCCGGCAGGAAATGCGCCAGGCAGATTTCCTGGGGGCGGAGACACAGATGGAGTCGGCACGGAAGAGGTAGGAGGAGAGCTGACTGCAACTTGAGGTGACTCAGAGCGGAACGAAGTGGGCGGGGGTCCAGCAGCAGAACCTGCGAAAGACTGTCCGAAAAGGCTGTCGAATGCCTTCTGTTGGTCACTTTGGACATCGGGCGATCGTGCCTGTTCACTTGCGCTCCCGGTCCGTCGGAAGAATGGGTTGGTGTTTTGGCTCGCAGTTGAGATTGCAGGGCTTGAAACGTCGGGTACACTGCCAGCCGGAGTCGCAGACCTTTGGGAGTCCTGCGGGGTCTCAGTTGCAAAGCCATCGATCTCGCCTTGGATCTTATCGCGTTCGCCTTCAACTGTGGCCAACTGCTTCTTGTTAATAGCAACCAGTCCCTTCTGCTGACGCGCGCCAGAGCGAGCTTTCTCTAGGGCTGGCTTAAGCTGAGCCACCTCGGCATTTGCTTGCCGAATCTTGTCCTTCAAACTCAGATTTTCCTGCTCATCAGCGGCAAGGGCAGTTGAGACCTGTGTGTATTGATTGTGCAGATCCTGCCGGCTGCCCTCGAGCAAAGCAAACTGTTGAGACAACTTAGTAGTCTCGGCCCTAGATGATTTGAGGCGCTCTTCGAGTGCCTTGAAGTTGGTAACCTCTTGTTCATACATAGAGCGCGCCTGAGCAAGACGAGCTTCAAAGTCACGTTTTTGCTGAGTGCTTTGTGTGAGGTTCTGTTCGGCAGAAGTCCGCTTTTCTTGAACATTGTGCATCTCCTTGGCCAATGAGCCAACTTGGTTTGACAAGTTCGCCAGTTCGGTGGTCTCTTGTGTCAGTTTGTTCGACTCTTCGGGGTCATTGTCACCAAGAAGATCATCCGAAGGAGGCGGGGGAGAGCGGACTGCCGGAGTTCCAGCAGATGCGCCAGTGCCCTGGGGTTGAAGAGTCTGGCCAAAAGTGGATGTTGGAACAAAAGGCTTGAAAGTGTTGGAGGCAGTCTGGGGGGATGCTCTGGATGGAGAGGCAGGGGTTTGGAATGCACTGTTGGATCCGCCGGTTGACTGGGGCATTTGAGGCTGGGCAAATGGCAGTGCGGGGGTATCCAAGCCAAACAGATCATCGGCAGCAGTTCTAGCTGGTGGAGCTGGTGCCGGGGGAGGAGTGGGAGCTGCCATCGGGGCGGGCGCCTGACGGCGCATGCTAGGCGGAATGAGAGCAGGTGGCACCACCTGTGGGAGCTGCTCCTTTCCACTGCGCTGCAGTCTAACGAGATACATGGCCACTGCGAACTCATCCCGGCTGAGCTGACCGTCTGCATCAATATCGGCAAGATCCCAAATTTGCGCGAGAGTTTCTTCGGGGAGCTGAGCCTTCATGAAGAAAGCGACAGCTTGGTCTCCGGTGATTAGGCCCAACTTGGCTGTGTCGACAGTTTCAAAAATCGCGTCGTACTGAGCCTTCTCTGGCGGGGTGACTAGCCAATCACCGCCGGTGACCTGGGCAGAGAGAGACCCTCCAAAAGGTTGACGGCTGGCTGGGTTCAAGGGACTCGTGGTTCGCTGAGGTCCGGTGAACTGCCTGGGAATGGCAGGGACAGGAGGCACATCGGGCCGTGCTCCGAAGGACCCACGTGCAGCCCCGGAACCCCGTCGAGCTGCAGCATCATATAGCCCAGGTGGTAGTGTTGCGGGTATTCCGCGCAATGTACCATATTTGTACGATGTCAGGAGGTGCATGGCAATCGTAAATTCCGTGGCATCCAAGGCACCTCGTTGCTTGGTATCGGAGAGTGACCAGATACGGCCCAGGACTTCATTTGGAAGTCCAGCGCCTTCGAAAATCTGCTTCGCGCTCTCGCCTGTACAGAACAATGATTATGTTAGAGACTTACTCGGTTCGACAAAAACTAGAATCACATACCCTTGATCAGACCATCCTGCGCACCAGACTTCATAAACAGGGCGACAAATTTACTAGCATCATCGGGCTGAAGGGGTGGAACCCTGATGGGACCTCCAGCACCGGAGGAAGGGCTTGCGGCTCCTGATTCTGAGGCGCCTGCCGACGCATCAACCACAATACCATCGAAGCGAGGAATAGGGCCACCTGTAACGCAAATGGATGATTAGTACTTATTAATATAAGAAACACCGGATAGCTTACTCTGCAAAGCCAATTCGTCAGAGGGTACGCGACCAGCTTGGGCATGTCCAATCAGGCGCAGGACAATGCTGAAGCCTGACGGGGTCAAGAGACCCCTGTTCTCTTTATCCGCAATCTGCCATATCTGCACCAATACCCATTAGCTATACCCCTCTTTCGGAATCAAGTATTTGCTATATCCACATACCAGGCCGAGTGTATCGGGAGAAAGGTGAGTCTTTTCGAAGAATGGAACGGCGATTTCGCCAGTAATAACGCCCAGATTGGTAGTGTCCGCAGCCTGGAAGAGCTGGTAGAAAACGCGCTTTTCCTCTGCCGAGAGGTTAAGGTTCGGGTGTCGTTGTGCTGAGTAGGTATGCCCGGTCAGCTCTGTTATGTTGCGCAAGGTAGACGCGGGTACTGGAAGGGGAGGGGGTAATGACGGAGGCCGGCGGGTCTTCTCCTGAAGTGCGCCGAAGCTCCTTTTTCATTGTTCGGGGGCTCCTGGCATGGTTTTGGTGGTAATACGTACTGGTATCAGCCATTGCTGTGTCCTAGGAGGAGCTTCACTCCCCTCCTTCCAATGTGTTCACGATTGTTGGGCGTCTGGGGTACAAATGGGGGGATTCGGGATGCCGTCAACTTAACGAGAAGATGCGACGGGCATGGGTGAAGCACAGATCTCGAAAATAGTTGAGTGGGAAGAACAGAAAACCAAGATCAAGCTTCAAGCAGGAAAATAATGTTGAAGAATGGAGATACCCAGTGGCTGGAATCGATGTCGTAAGGAACGGAGGTTCCTGGGAAAGGCAAGGCGGTCAGTTCCTCTAGCGTCCATTCCAGCCTGAAATACTCCGTTTACGAACTACTATGTTCACCTTTGTTACATGGCGATTATTAATTTACAAACTACTTAAATGTTATGTATTGCAGGCTGGTTGAAACTGAGATCGTCCTTCAGTGCTTATGTAGATCATTCAAAAGCAATCTTACCAGTAACCTGCGTTCTTGGACAATTGTATATATGCAACCGCTACACAAGCCTCGGCATATTTTGACAAAACGATGATCATGATCCCTAATGAAAGTTGAATCTGGCCTTGCAATTTGGGCCTTGCAGACAACACGTGGAAAGACGCAAATGAGTACCAATCCGTACACTCAATATCAAGTACACAGTGTGGCTGACATGTGAGCTCTCTGCACAGTACTCAAGTACATGCTAGCATAGTCTGCGTCCATGATCTCTAACTATTCACCTGAGCATGTCGGTGTATATTTTGAGTAGCAATCGACTTCAAAGCTCAAAGACCTTAATCTTACTGAAGATCTCGAACATTGTTCCGCCTCAAGCTCATCCAATGGCGTTATATTTGATGCACCCGTGGCCCTGTGTCGGAGGTTTATATAGTCCCACAAAGCCCTGGAAGCCGACCCCGAGAGTATTTCTAAGTTCAACACCAACCTTCAAAGACATACAGGGAATCCTTCTCTAAACATACAGCGATTTCAAAAGTCGTGGATCTATCCAAGCCATCTATAGATGTACTTGTATAACAACAGTGGGCACTTGCCACTGACACCTACTTAGTATATCGACTGGCTATGGTAGCGGAAAGAATCAAACTACTTAAGTACCTCCAGGCCCGGGGGCTAGGAACGAACTACTCCATACATGGATACAAACTAAGGAAGAGCCATGGAGAGATTGAGAGTAATTACAATAACATACGGATGTAGCATCCCGAAAGATAGATGGAACGAGGGGAAATTTCATCGCTGCTTCAGGGATATTAAAGATATATCGAACAACAAAGCCAGAAAATCATTGGCAGCAAAACTTATGATCCCTTCTATTTGCAAGAAGCCCGATAGTGGCATGAGAGCCGAGCTCCCAGACTCGGCGCTGGTACCCTAACCAACCCGTAGAAGAGAAACAACCAAGAGTCTCGAAGCCGGTCACAAAACATGGTTAACCTAGTACTCGGGCTCCAACTCCTCGTCACCCTCGATGGAGTCGGAGGCGACTTCCTCGTAATCACGCTCGAGAGCAGCGAGATCCTCACGAGCCTCGGAGAACTCACCCTCCTCCATACCCTCACCAACGTACCAGTGAACGAAGGCACGCTTGGAGTACATGAGGTCGAACTTGTGGTCGAGAGCGGACCAAGCCTCGGCGATAGCGGTGGTGTTGGACAGCATGCAGCTAGGTGATTGTTAGAAATTGGAATCAGAGTGGATGGCATACAATCGCCATTGAATGAGGAGAAAACTTACACAGCGCGGTTGAGGTTGGCGAGGTCGCCGTTGGGGACCTGCTGGGGAGGCTGGTAGCAGATACCGAGCTTGAATCCAGTAGGGCACCAGTCGACGAACTGGATGGTGCGCTTGGTCTTGAGGGTGGCGACGGCACCGTGAGCGTCCTTGGGGACGACATCACCACGGTACAGCAGACAGGTGGCCATGTACTTGCCGTTGCGGGGGTCACACTTGACCATCTGGTTGTTGGGCTCGAAGCAGTTGGAGGTGATCTCAGTGACAGAGTGGGCCTCGTGGGCGGCCTTGTCGGCAGAGATGATGGGAGAGTAGGCGACCAGAGGGAAGTGGATACGGGGGTAGGGCACCAAGTTAGTCTGGAACTCGTTGAGGTCGACGTTAAGGGAACCGTCGAAACGCAGGGAAGCAGTGATAGAAGAAACGACCTGAGCGATCAGGCGGTTCAGGTTCTCGTAGCTGGGGCGCTCAATGCCGAGGTTGCGACGGCAGATGTCGTAGATAGCCTCGTTGTCGACCATGAAGGAGCAGTCGGAGTGCTCCAGGGTGGTGTGGGTGGTCAGGATGGAGTTGTAGGGCTCAACAACGGCGGTGGCGTTCTGGGGAGCAGGGTAGACACAGAACTCAAGCTTGGACTTCTTGCCGTAGTCGACGGACAGACGCTCCATCAGGAGAGCACCGAAACCGGAACCGGTACCACCACCGAAGGAGTGGAAGACCAGGAATCCCTGGAGACCGGCACAAGAGTCGGCAACACGACGGACACGGTCAAGGACCTCATCGATCATCTCCTTACCCACGGTGTAGTGACCACGGGCGTAGTTGTTGGAAGCATCCTCCTTACCGGTGATCATCTGCTCGGGGTGGAAAAGGGAACGGTAGGTACCGGTGCGGACCTCATCGACGACATTGGGCTCGAGATCGGCGTAGATGGTACGGGGAACGTACTTGCCCTGGCCTGTCAAGTGGGGGAGGAATGTTAGTAACGGGCCGATGGAATTTTGCACCCAAAAGCGGGGGAGAATATCAAAAGGGAAAGAAAAATCATTTCCATACCAGTCTCGGAGAAGAAAGTGCTGAAACCGTGGTCGGGGTCGGCCTTCTTGCGCTCCTCAGTGAGGTATCCATCGGGCTGTTCAGCGTGTTAGTCGCGGGTGTTTACATCGCGGGAAGAAAATAGGGGTACGGGTGCCCGAGTCACGATCGGGCGCCACGAGGCTGGGTTGGAATTCCACATACCTGAATACCGTGCTCCAGACAGTACAACTATACACGAGACCATTGTCAGTTTACTGGCAACCTGGTGAGTTTTCGTAAATGGGGAAGTGGGTGTTTACCTCCCAGCAGGAGTTGGCGATCTGGCAACCGGCCTGACCGACTGTAGAAAGAACCGTTAGCGCGTCAATTCATCGAAAACTCATCAATTCAGACGGAGAGAATTGATGGATGATGCTGGACTTACCGTTCAAACTGATAATTTCTCTCATTGTGGTGGGTGTTTTGAGGCTAAAAAATCAGGAGAGGGGGAATCAAAACCCAAACAACAAACACGGCGGCCTGAGACTCAGGGGTCAGTTTCACGCACGACGGAAGGGGGCGGGGGTGGTAAGCAAGTACCTGAAGAATGGGAGGAATGGACGAGAAGATGTCGAAGGGAAAACAAAGTCGACCAGAAATGTTGTGGAGGAGGAGCGTCTGTGCTGGTACAGGGGGGGAACTTCATTGTTGATCCGTTCGTTGGGTCGCGTCGAGGCTGCTGATTGGCTGATTCCCGGCGACAAGCTGCAGTCCTCACCGCCTCGTCCGGAGTCCCGTGATGGCACGTGATTGACCCCTAAACTGGTGGTGATTATCATGGTTAGTGGTTAAAATGAGAGGATCAGAGGAGAAGAAGTTAGAATCAAACTAGAGCAGATATTTTTGTTTTTTTTGTTTCTATTTTAACAGTGTGTAAAAGACAACGGGGGATGGTAAACGAGCTATCTTAGCTCAGATGCCGAATACTCGGTCAAGCTCGGATCCACCCGCAAATCTAACCATTTGGCCATCAACAAGGTACGAGTATTCTACTCCGTATGTCTCAAAAATACCAAGCTAATTGGGATCAGATCATCAAAATACTTCCATTCTAAAAAGTCTGGAGCCCAATGATGAGCTGTGATTAAGACATCACCTAAAACCTGGGAACATAACGTCACCGTGCAATTACATCTATCATGCATATCAGACCCCTATCGATTCTAGGGCTACTGCTCCCAATTCTCCCAGCTGTGCAAGCAAATGTGGAAAAGACCATCTTCCTGGCCCCGGAAACAGCCATTATTCCCTCCGAGGAGCCATCCCTCGATGACCTTGGCGTCGAAAGACTATCACCACAAAACCCAGTAGTACGCACTAGACTCAATGCCTCATTCCCAACGACCACGACTCCCCAAGGCTCAGAGTCATGGTTCTTCCTCGAAAACCTGAACCCAGGACAGCGGTACGAAGTGCGTGTCTGCTGGCTATCAACCGTGAGTCCCACCCTGCCACACTACCATTCCCATGAAACCTCCCCATATGCTATTCTCATATTCATGCTCTCGACTAACCCGAATAGCAACCAACATCCTTTACTCTCACTACATACCCCCTTTCCCAGACAATTGAGGATACATCCCTGTTGTCGTCACTGAGTATCTACACGGCCGCTCGTCTAGCCACGCTAGATAGCCAGCGTCAAGCCGATTCGATCTCACGTCGGGCTGGCTCGCCCAAGGGTACTAAATCGCTTGATACAGCGCCGTCTAGTGACTCTGTGCTTTTCCTGCGCGTTCATGCCGTAGCGGATTATTTCAGCACTAACCAGACATTGATGCAGAATGTGCCCCCCGTGGCAGTGGATTTGATTCTGGACCCGTTCTTGTTTAATGTTTTCCCGCGCTCGCTGGTGCCGACTGCGGGCTGGATTCTTGTTGTTACTGTTCTTGCTGTGGTGCTTGGAAGGTGGATTGTGGGCGAGGTTGGGAGGGTCATTGATGATGCTAGGCGGCAAAGGAGCTTGGAGGAGATGAAGAACAAATAATTTGGAATTGAAGGCCTGATGTTAGGCTGAATAGAAAGGCTATTGCGGAGTACACAGTATTTATGGAGTGTAACAGCAAACGACGTATTATAAGATCCACTGATATCGAAGCCAGTTTGTCTGGCGCAATGAAGCTAGTGACTATTCCTACGATCACGCAATTAAAGATTCTACGGGACGTGCTTCAACGTTCTGAGCAGATGGGTATGCTAATGACGAGGAATACGAAGAACTGCAGGGTGCAGAGTACATACTGTGTAATCCGCAGTGCGAAGAGAGAGGTAAAACGTAAGAAAAGGATTATTTGTCAAAACCGCCAAATCAACGTACATACATAAGGGGGCTGACAGGAGCGATAAGGGGGAATAAACGAAAAAAAGGGGGAGTGAGGTAGAAAAGCCAACCCACACCAAAAGCAACGCCTCATCTTTCATCTTTCATCTGTCTAGTCTATGCATTTTCCAAAACTCAACAAGAGTCTAGGATGCCACACACATAGCCAAGTATAATTCAAACAACGTGAGTCGTAGCACATGACCAGAGAATCATTTAATCTTCAAAGAAGTTCAGGATAGCACGAATACCCTTGGACCCAAGGCCGTGCGATGGGTACGAGATGTACAGCGGGTCCTCGGTGGCACCGAGCTTAGCGCGGAATTCACTCTTGCGGACAAGGTGGAATTGCTTCGCCAGGGCCTCGTAAGTGTGCTCCAGCATCTTGACCTTGGTGCCATGCATGTTGTGACCAGGGATGAGCTGGGAGGTGGCACCGGCACCGAAGGTGAGACCACTGACACCGCTCTTGGCGGCTGTCTGGATAGCGTGGGTGACGATGTATTCGATGACACCGTTGGGGGCGCCGGGGAAGTCAAGACTGTACTTGACTTGCATGCCGTGGGCAGGGGAGAGTTGAGCCAAGGCAACGAAAGCGCATACAGTGCCATCTTTGTCCAGAGCATAGAAGTACCAGCGGTGCTCAGAGTCGCACCATGGGCGAATCTGGGACAGATGGACTTGTGTACCCTTGCGGTTGGAGAGCCAATCGCTGACGCGGGCATCAATCTTCTGGCGGATGTCGTCAGGGACCATCTCGCCCTGGTTCATGGATACCAGCTTGATACCCTCGTTTTCGGCACGGCGGAGCTTGCGTGCAATTTCGCCGTCGGATGCAGCTTGGTTGCGTGACGGGTCGACGCGCTCTTCGGCGATACAAGACAAGCTGCGCCAGCCGAGTCTCTCACCCAGGATGGTTTCAACAGCAGGTGAGCAGAGGATCCACACAGGCTTAAGCTTGGTCTCGCGGCGGAGCCATTGCAGGAACTGTGTGATGGTGCGGGTGAATTGCTTGGGATCACAGGCCGGGTCACCAGGAATAATGGCGTAGTTGTTGGAGCTGGGAACGTAGGCCACAGCGGCACCAGTAACCATGTCACGCCAGATCTTGAAGCGTTCATCGAACCATGAGGTCGATGTGGCATCACCATAGTTGGCAACGAGGTGCTCTAGCGGCTGAAGCTCGCCAATGTCCGCTGCCATCCTGGCCTTACGCTCGTGTTGCCAGACAGGCTCAAGAGTGGAAGACTCGGGGTGTCGAAGCTTTTGCGTGACGGGCTTCGCAGGCAGACTCTTAGGGTCGCGGTGGAAGAGCGAGGTCAATCGAATGTTGCCCAGCTGGAGAATAAGCATCACGATACGTTCAAGACCAACACCTGCACCGGCGTGCGGCGGGGCACCCCAGCGGAAGCCTTCAAGGTACTCTTCCATATCATCTGGGTTGATACCCACGCGGCGCATGTTTTCCTCAAGCATGTGAGGTTCATGGATACGCTGACCACCGGACACAATTTCTTGACCGCGAATGAACATGTCGAAGGAGTTGGTGAACTTATCATCTTCAGCGTCGGGCATTGTATAGAACGGACGCGCACTGCGGGGGAATTTATCCAGGACGTAGTAATCAGTGCCGAATTTCTCCTTGACAAGCTCACCGAGGCGAATCTCGTCACGAGTACCCAGGTCTTCGTCGAGGGGGAGTTGTTGACCCTCGTCATTCAGCCAGCCGGACTCATTCAGCATCTTGATACCATCCGTAAAGCGGATGATGGGAGTGGTCTCCAACCAAACAAGATCCTCTGAGGGGAACTGGTGCTTGACAAGCTCTACCTCGCGGCGGTGCTTGGTGTAAATTCCCTGAAGGATGTTCTTGATCACAGCATCAAGGGTCTCGAGCATCTCGTGGTAGTGCTCTTCAATAGCCATCTCAAGATCCAATCCAGTGTATTCAGTAAGATGGCGGTGGGTGTTGGAGTTCTCCGCACGGAAAACAGCACCAATTTCGTACACGCGGTTGAAGTCAGCAGCAATGGCCATTTGCTTGGCCAATTGAGGAGACTGGGCGAGGAATGCAGGGCGACCAAAGTAGTTGACCTGGAACACACTCGATCCAGACTCGGTGGCAGCGCCTTGGAGCTTGGGTGTGTGGATCTCAATGAATTCCCGGTCATCAAGGGCGCCACGGAACAGGTTGCAGGTAGCGGCCTGAATACGGAAGATAGATTGCGAGGTCGCTGTGCGCAGATCAAGGATTCGATTGGCCAGACGAGTCCGGTCAGGAATATGGTTGCGACGACCCTCGGCCTTCTCTTCCTCGTTGGTTCGAATCTCAGCCTCATACACACTGAAGGGAACAGGCTCCTCGCGGTGGACTTGGAGATGAACGGAATCAATAGCCAACTCAACATCATGGATGGTGCAGCCAAGAACGGGAACCTCGGGCTTCTGCAGAGTACCGCGGACCTTAACAAATGACCCCACTCGGAGGTGCTCCACCCACTGGATCATGGCAATGGAGGCGACCCCCGATTTCTCGTGCAGCACACCCTGGAAAGTACCTAGTTGCTGACGGAAGACCAAGAAGACTAGCTTGGCGCTCATCCGGCGAATCACATGGAGTCGCGCAGTAAAGACAACCTCCTGGCCCTCCATGGAAGGGGTGATGTCGTCGATCCGAGTGCGCAGTTCCCGCGGCCGCACCGAGGACTGCATCAAGGGCAGCTGGCCGTAACGAGCTTTCATCTCTGCAGTTTCCTCAGCTGCAGCTTTGGTAATCTCCTCTTCCTTGCGGCGGTGGTCGGTTTCGGAGAACATCTCCTCGCTGAGCCGGCTCCGCTCGCTTCGACGGTGCTGGCGCACCAACCGTTTTTGTTGGTTCTTGCTCAAGGCACCGGTGGAAGAGTCATCGGAGACATCATCTGAAGAGGATACATAGTCGTTTCTATCGCGTAGGAAGTTTCCCAAAATGCTGCGGCGGGGGGATGCAGTCGGGGAGCCCGAACGGGAGGTAGAGGTCCGGACTTTGGGGGATAGGGCTGAACGAATGTTGGAGCCTGAGGAATCATCCTCACCTCCCATATGCCCTTTAATTGCTTTTGAAAGAGCGCGTTTGATCGACATGGTGAAGTAGGTCTATTCGCACACGGAGAGAGAAAAAGAAGAGGGAGGAGGGTTGTATACGAGAATGGTGGGGGGGCCCGGACCCGGCGGCGATCTCTGGATCGTAAGCAAGGAACCGCCCTTGTTTTGGGAAGTGGATGATGAATTCTAAACAATTCGAATACGAAGAGACGTAGAAGGAGCCGGAGAAGAGAATTAATATAAGATCATATAAAAAATTACGAGGAAAAGAAGGGGGGAAAACAACGAAAACAACTTCCATGACATCACCCCCCGAAACCAAGAAATCGACCTCGGATCCCTGATTTCTTGGTATGGAGTCGCGCATTGTGCTTGATGTTCACTCTCTCTGCTGACCTTAATTCAACCTCCTCGTTAGAACATCTTATTCCAAACCTTCCTTGTTACTCTTTTACTCTTTTGCATACTCTGTGTACTGCCTGCACGTGTGCTGCACGTCTCGTACTTTCGTCTCCGGTTTCTTATCTGTCACCGGCCACCGGCCTCCGGGTCATCCGGGTCCCCGAAACCAAACGCATGCCAATAACGACATTGAATATCACATCCGAAGATCCGTGATGGCTTCCTCTCGCTGGTGGCTCTACGTACAGGCCCTCGTATGGCGGTTCCTGATGCGCATCGGCATGTTCATTCATGACATCGGCCCACCCCGACCCCCGCGACCGTTATTTACCCGCTCCGTCCAAGTCGACAAACAACACTCCATCGTCTTACATTTCTACGTCCCACCAAACTACCACGAACAACGACGCCTGGGCCACCGATTCCCAGTATGTGTCAACTTCCATGGAGGTGGCTTCACACTCGGGGCCGCCACGGATGACTCTCGCTGGGCGAGATCCGTATTAGAGCACGTTGGCGCGGTCATCGTCAGTGTCAGCTATCGGCGAGCCCCAGAGCATCCTTACCCGGCTGCTGTGGACGACGGCGTCGAAGCACTCTTATATCTGGCCATGCACGCCGGTGAACTAGGTCTGGATGCTAGCAGGGTGGCGCTGAGCGGGTTCTCGGCGGGTGGCAATTTGGCCGTGACTGTGCCCTTGCGGTTACGGGGCCGTATCTCGTCGGAAATCAAAGAGAACCTGGGCCGAGCGGACTCAACACAGAACCTTCTGAGCCAGGTCGCGGATTTGAATATCGTCGCTCTGTTCTGTTGGTACCCCATTCTGGATTTCCAGGAATCTCGTGACCATCGCCGGGCCATGAGTCTCATGCCGGACAAGACTCTCCCCGCTTTCTTCACCACTTTGTTCGACAACTCTTACCTACCTGATCTGGACGAGCGTACTTCACCATATGCCTCTCCCATCCATGCATCCGATCGTCTCTTGTCCGAAGGTCTTCCCCGTGATGTTTTCCTGTTCATCTGTGAGTGGGACATGTTGATGAAGGAGGGTCAGGCTTTCGTGCGTCGTTTAGAAACGCTCGGTAAGCGTCCTCGTGCCATGTTGATCGAGAAAGCTTGCCACGCCTGGGACAAGTCAGCCAATCCTTGGCGAGACCAAGATAGCGTGGACGTATTGTATCGGGATGCATGTGCGTCCATGAAGGGAATCTTCGATCGGTGATCCATCTTCTTCAATTCTTGTATTTTCTTGTGATTTCGGCTTGTTTGTTTCTTCAGCAACACTGGATTTTGATAATGGCGCGGGGACTCTTGGCATTCACGGTGTTAGCTGTACATAGATAGCGTTGCTTCATCAATACTCGTATACGAATATGAAATCCTGTTATTTTTTCGAGTTTGGATCCTTGTAGCAATCTCCAGGGCTGCCATCATAGAACATGGGGTTGTAGCACGTATCTAGGCTACATCATTATACTCAAGGTCCGAGCCCCAGGGTTCCCTATATGCAGGCCGATATCAAGACCTGCAGCTCGTGCCATAACCCCTTCTCATTGGTGGTCTGGGTTTCCGACAATAACAGCCTTACCCCCGTCTAGATCTTCAGGATCGACACACCCCAGCCTCTGCCCTGGCGGCCGTGAAATGATGTCATTCTTAAGCCCAGCCAGGCCTTCAAGGTCTTAAATTCTGTCTCAATGAATATCTTTAGTAGATCATAGCCATTGTGTCATATTACAAGGCATTCGCAGGTTTGGTGCTTGAAAAAGATGCTCATTTGACTTCAGTGCCTTGTTTTGATGTCTTGGCGATCTCTTAGTGGCATTCTTGACTTCATATGGACGTTTGAGTTTCTGCCACTCAAGCAGGTTTGCAAATGTTGGAGTGCGTTTGTGCCAGGTGGGCCATGCTCAAGTGTGTGCCCCACTTTATGCTCGAGGGCTTTGATCATTGCACTGCTAAAGTTATCCGAGGTCTATCCGTAGACAACACTGTATATAGTGGAAAATAAGCATTAGAGATATATGAATGTATTATACATAGGTGACATCGCCGTCAGAGCTAGTCCCTAGCAGATATAGATGGACGTGAGTGGCTTTTACCCCAGTAACTTTAGAATCATATGTCCATCTCGAGTTGTGCTCAAGTGGACGAGAAGGGGGTTTAACAATCAGAAATTGTAACGAGCGTACGGATGCAGGTGTACGGCCTGTCAACCCGGCAGGAGATTCGGAAGATATTCCCTATAGATTCTTATTCGATTCGAATGTTTTTCGTACGTGTTCCGGATTCCAGATCTATGAGTTTTGGAATAGAAGATCATGGGAATACACAAGTAGATTGTAAGACTGATTCTTCCTTCTGCAGGAATGACAGTAGGATGATCAGCTAACTAGCTAGTCCTATGCGGCTCATAGTGAGATAACCTTCCCAGAATGTAGTTGGAGGAGTATGGACAGAGTGCCTTAGGCGGATCGTATACTTTAGGAACCCCCTGCGAATACCTGCGAATCCCGTAAGATTCGTATTACCCTTGTATGAAGTCGGCACTTCTTACAATTATCCTCCCCTCCAAGACAGACGTCCCCGTCTGTAGTTCCTGCACCGTGTCTCGATCGTCGTCTTATCGTCGCAGTGGAGATCGAAACCCTGGCGTAAGTAGATAGTGGGGGTGGTGAATAGACCTCGTTCAACCCTTCAAAAAACCCAGCGTGGGAGGAAAATGCTGAAGGGAAGAGTATCAATTCTTCTTTGTCCACCAAAAGGAGGCTGAATTCTCTTGACCTCGGACTTGAAAAATTTGGCGCGTTTCAAATGCTGATCCGGTGACCTCCCTTTGTCTTCGACATCTCGTTGAAGATCTATTTTGATAGCTGCGATACTCCTTTGTGTTGTGTGGTATATACATCGGATAGCCAACGGTCATTCTGTAGCATCATCAACATACCTAGAACCAAACATTCACAATGGCTGCTCCAGAGTCTTACTCTCCCCACGAATCCTGTGCCTTTGATCCGTTAATGATGTATATTCTGCCTCTGGCGTACTTAAGTAGTTCCCGCTCCAACGCCAACGATCTTCGATATTGGTTGTCGATTTATCATCGCAGGAGCAGGCGCTTTGGAACTACGCCGGAGACAGGGCATATATTATTGATAGGTCAAAGGCGCAGGATTCGTGGGGAGAGTAGGATCTAGAGCAGTCATTGTGAATGCTTGGATCTAAGTATGTTGATGAATGCTACGAAATCACCGTCTACCACCCCATATATATACTGTATGACACAAAGGAGTATCGCAGCCGAAAATAGATCTCCAAGCAGGTGTCGAAGACAAAGAGAGGTCACCGAGTCAACATTTGAAACGCGCCAATTCTTCAAGACCGAGGTCAAAAAAAGAAAGAAAAAAAAAACAGACTCTGTTTGATGGACAAAGAAGAATTGATACTCTTCCCTTCAGCATTTCTTCCCTCACGCTGGGTTTTTTGAAGGGTTGAACGAGGTCTATTCACCACTGATGACACCCTACTTCACCAGGGTTCCGCGACGATCTCCACAATCTTCTTGGGCCACTGGTCCAAATGCCTATGATTGCTCATAGCGTGATAACGCTAGCACGGCCTCCAAACTACTCCCAAACTGCCGTGAATCTGTACAGAATTGTAGACTAGATTAGATTTTGTAGCATGATCTCTGGGTTACTCGGGCTCGACTGTGCCAATGTAACGGACAGGGGCTCCAAAAAAGGTGCGATGCTCAGTGACTTGACGAAACCTCGGAATCTTGGAATACACAGTTTGAGCAGGCTCTTATTTGGTGTCCAGCACATGTCGCCAACCTGGAACCTGTGTTTGGTGCATATGCAAACTGGTGGACTGACATGCCTGGCACTACGCCGTCCATGGATCTACAGATCCTGCTGCCCACTTGCAGATTGATGAATATTTCTCTTATGCAAGAGCAACACATATATTTGCATAAATGACAGTGAACTCACATTTTTGATCTTGAATATACAGCATTGAGTTCCCTAAGTCCCTAACTCAAGTGGGGAACGAATATAGGCGGCGGAGTTGAGGCCATGATTGATGCAAACTCACAAAGATGAGATGGTCTTGAGTATAACCAAGGGTGCTTAAGCAACGAGTGGGCCTTCTTCCCTCTTCCCTCTTCACCTGCCGGCACATTGATGCATATCTGCATTCAAACCGCCCTACCAATAGCCCCCAGGTTAACGCACGCATCTTTTATATCGGCTTTCCCGTAATCTACCCGATTACTATCCATGCTTCGTCTGTCTTCGACTTCATTCGTGGAAAAGGGTTGAACCGCCAACCGGGGGAAATCTCAATGTCAGCCACTGGGGGCGCACTTGATAAGATCGACCGCCACGATGGACTCATCTAGGTCACGGGTTACTGATGCCACAGTCTGTTGTCTTTTACCTGAGTATTCAACTAACTCTAAATCCAGGATGTTCCACGTTTCTCCGGTTTTCGACCTCCTCTCGCTTCTCTGACCGCCGAAACAGACTCGGAAGATGGAGAACACAGTCCGTGGACTGTTACTTCCACTCTGACACTGGCGGCCAAGTATTCCTGCATTTCGACCACTACGGATTCCGAGCAGAGCTTTGAAGAACTGGTGCAGTGGTTGCATTAAACATGTCTTCAAATCTCGAAATCGCAAACTCAGCGACGAGAAAAACAACCTTCACCGAGCTGGCGCGTCTCGCCGATGTATGCGAGATGGACCTCTTTACTACTCCATCCACCAGAGACATTTCTCCGTCGGCCAAGCACAGCATAATATTCCCAACGAGAAGATGTATCAATCTATTCACACTCAAACACTAGTTTCACAATCAAATAGTGCTGTGGGCCCGCCGGAGTTGGTGGCTTAGATTTGGCTTAATCCAGTTTAGCCAACCAATAGAAGCAACCAATTCCATTTTTCCAAGAGCTCTCTACTCGTCGAAATATTCTTCAGGGGTCTCAGGGTCTTAGATGTACTTAAAAATAGGTTAATCGGTTAACAAGGGCAAGGGGACAAAATCTACGAAATCCCACTTCAGGGTCTACACATACTCAATCCTATACCTATACTCTGTACGGAATCCCTGGATATTGAAATCGAAATCGCAATTCCCCGAACGCATGTTCGCCCGTCAAAATGCCCACATTCACCAAATGCTCCACAACATCGATGGTAATCCTCACGACGATCCTGTTCATGCTATACAACTACACACGGGAGATCCCAAGAATCGCACCCATTCCCCCGAAACTGTGGTACAAGACCGGCCCGAAAGGACTAAGCGACCAATCCGAAAGCTGGTTGCGCGAATGTCTCCACAAAAACCCGATGCACGACACGCAGATCTTGACCGATGAGACGGGCGACGAGTACGTCTCTCTTCACTATGCTCATCGTCCAGATGTTGTGTACACATACCTGGGGCTGCAGATCCCTATTCTGAAAGCGGATTTCCTGCGCTATCTGCTTTTGTTTGCTGAGGGTGGTGTGTGGTCTGATTTGGATGTTTCGTGTGAAGTGCCTATCGCGGAGTATGTTGCGAGGGAGTATAGACATGCTGATGTGGGGTTGGTGGTGGGGTGGGAGTTTGATGTTGGTTGGGGGGATAATTTTATCAGGCAGTTTGCTAGCTGGACGATTATGGCTAGGGCTGGTTGTGTGCATCTTGGTGTTGTGATTGATGAGATTGTGGCGGCTGTCAGGTCCAAGGCACTTGTGTGGGGGGTTGGAGTGGAAGGGTTGACGATTGATATGGTTGGGGATATTATTGATCTCACGGGGCCGAGAAGGTTGACGGGAGGTGTGTTGCGGAGCCTGGAGAAGATCAGGAATGAAGCTGTGGATATACAGTCGATATCGAGTTTGATGGAGCCAGTGCTTGTTGAGGATGTGTTGATTTTGCCTGGGTTTGCCTTTGCCGCCTCGAGTAATAACTATGTGAATGGCAGTGGAGTGGCCCTGGTGACGCATCACTATGCAGGAAGTTGGAAGAATCATCATGGGGGTGAGATGTGAGCATGTTTCAATGCATATCATGAAAAGTTTCCTTGAAGACAGGCGTTTAGTTGAATATATTCCCATTTTTTTGAAGCTAGGCACTGTGGTAGTACATGGGCAGGTATGGATGCCACGCTCAATCACGATATCATCAATCATAAGGTATCAGGGAACTTTTAGGGAAATTGAAAAAAGATCAAATGGAAATCCCAACGCCACGCTGAAATAACAAAAATTCAATCACAGTAGATTGGTAAAAAAAAGACAGTTCACTCCTCGTCCGTTTCCGTGACATCCTCGCCATCCTCGTCATCAGATTCGTCGGCTCCGCTGTCGGAATCATCTGCATCATCCAGGCCAGGAATACCACGCCATTCGACGTAGTCACCTTCCAGCCAGCGTCTGCTGCGAGGAAGCTGGTATGGATCGAAGGGGAAGTATGCGTCCAGTTGGTAACCGCTGTTGTCACCGGCACGGATTTCACGACCGACGTGGCTGAAGCGGGGGTCTGCGAGGGTGGAGATGCTTCGGAATGCGGTGATACGCATGCGCTTGTTCGTTTCGAGGAGGGGGTAGACATAGAGGAATTGGAAGTGGTGGGCAATGCGGGCGAACTCGGAAACAATGGCCGGCGAGCACACTTTGAGTGGGTTGAGTCGTGAGTAGATGCACTTGTGGAGGAACTCTTTGATATTGGGTGGGAACGCGACTTGAGTGGGCTCAAGCTCGTCCACCTGGTCGTAGCTGTCACCATCGGCGGCGGCGGTGGTCAGGTCGCGCCAGCGGAAACAGAAGATATATAACAAGGCCTGGGCAGTGGAGTAGAATGGACCGTAGCGACGGAGGTCGGGGCCACGACAAGCGCCTTCGTAGTCCATGCGCAAACTGTTCAAGTGGGTGAGGAGTAGATCAAAGACATCACGGACGACCTCGCCGGAAATGTGAGCACCGCGAGCCACGAAGCTGGCCAAGTATGCGGCTGCGGACTGGCGCATGATACCGGGCTGCAGCTTGTTAAATATAAGCTGCACAAACGTCGAAGCGAAACGATCGATAAGCGCCGGAGATGCTTGGGAGAAGTGGAACAGGAGGAATTGGGTGTGACGAGATCGGTAGGTAGGGAGGATGATGGTCTGGAAATGGCTGAGGAGAAGATCCAAGGCGTTCTCTTTGTCGTTCAGACTGCCGGAGGCAAATGGAGGAGCAAAGTACTCAAACAAAAGATCAATCATGCCATCGACTTTGCTGATGTTTTCTTTGATCTTTTTGCCAGATTTTCCATCGTCGTCATCCTCTGATTCATCGCTTGCGACTGAGGCATCGTCGTCTTCCTCTTCCTCTTCTTCGGCCGCGTGCACGAGATTGTCACCAATCTCGTCCTCGTAGTCTTCCATGTCAACTTGAATTTGCACATCAATTTTAACAAGCTTCTCTGTAACAAGAGCCAGGATATCGGACTGAAGCTCAGGGGCGTAGCCAATCATTTGAATCAGGTTGCGAGTGTAGGCGATGTTCATACTGGCAGGGTCCGAGTCGAAGGGGAATTGAGAAGTCAGAATCGGAGACAATGCACCGCTACCAGCAGGGATGAGCCGTAGAATATGGCGCAGAGCCATATGAGTACGAGTATGAATTGTAGAAGCCGGCACAACGGCATAACCTGGAAGTCGACCGAGGCCCCGGGGCACAGTGGTCAAGTTGGACGCCAGCATTTTCAGCACCGGGGAGAGATAGGAGCCCTGCGCAGCGGCTAGGTTGCCCAGGAAGCGGATGAAAAGCTTGACATAGGATTCGTCACGACCGAGCCATTCACTGTTGATGACAGCACTGACCAGCCCACTGCAGGACCGGTCTAGGGAGGCGACATGGGATAGGAGACCAAGCAGATGGTTTTTCAAACATGTGTGTGTTGGCATATCATATGCTAGCAAGCCATCATCATCCTGGTTCTTGGGGTCGGCGGTGAACATCCCCTTGATGCGGTCATAGCCTTCACTCTCGGACATGGTGACATGTCGATGAATGGCACCGCGGACCTCCTCTCGAACAACAGCCAAGCTCTTCTCCGACGCTTCGGACGAGGCATCTTCGTGTGTCTTCACGTCGTTGTCGAACTGCACGCGGGGCTTCTTCTTCGTGCGAGTCTCCTCGTCATCTTGGGATGCGGATGGAGAGAGGTCCAGGTCCAGGTCACTCATCTTTCGCTTCGAGCCGATGGATGGACCTGGCTTGGAGGTTTTCGAGGACTTGAGGATCGGAACGGGGGACGATGTCGGAATCATTTTGGCTCGCTGTGAAGGAGTGGCCGGTAGCGCCGAGGTTCGTGAAGTCGTGGCAAGGGATACCATGGCAAAGTGAGGGAGAGACCGAATGCGTTCTAGGTAAACAGCAGGCTTGACATTTGCTTCTGTATATGCAATGAAATCGTTTCAATGTCGATGGACAGCTTATCGAAGCGTGGTCCAAGCACACGACACCTCACGTCAAGCAATTTGTGACTTATGCTACAGGTTGGAATAGGAGTAAAGGGGCAACATCTGTCTGCATCCGTTTGAGAGTAGTTCAGTCCGATGATAATAGGTAAATTCGGATGCAGACAGCGTAGTCGAGACGTTGAAGCACAGTAGAGTGAAATTTTTCCTCCATTTTGGTGTGGAGTCTGCGGAGCACCCGTGACCGTGTCGGTGAGCCCTAGCGTCTGATTGGTGGAATGGGGATTATGTCATCGATGACCGAATACTGATTCGGACTTAAGCAATTCGCCTTACTTCGTACATTGGGGGTTTTTTTCATGTTTCTTAGTGTTAAGCAATGTTTTTGTATTTGAAGGAGGGGTTTCAGTGGACAATGTTCTATTGAGATTGCAGCCGAAATGTGGTCGCATGAAAGAGAACAAAAAAAACCGGAACAAACAACGGAGATAGCAATCTTTACAGAGAATTAGAGAATCAAATAACCGTGAATTTCAAAGGAATGAACGCGGGATTGGTAGGGCCTCCCATGGTATCAAAAAGCAGTCGTAAAGAGAGAGAATAAGAGTTGGTCGTCATGGCGGAGGAAGATCCAGTCCTGGTGTCCGCAAAGTCGTGAGCCCGGATCAACCGGTGGCTTGTGGCTTGTGGTCTTAGAACCAAGATGTATACAAAGATCCACGGTTATCGTCATCAAAAATGCTGCCGTAGAGCTCCTCCACTTCCACAAGATAATCTTCCACAGAGAACTTCTTCAAACCCTTATCGTGAAGTACACGCTCCTCTTCGTCCAAAAGGTTCAACCCACCAAACTCCTCGGCAACCTCATTGACCTGCTCCAATTCCTTGCTGAAAGGATGGGGCTCCGGCTGGAAGAATTCCTGGGAGGCACGGATGGTCGGGGTGCTGCGGGGGGCATTCAATGGTGGTGGCGACATCCGGGACACCGATCGCTTGCGAGCGAGTTCCTGGTGGGAGCGCTTGGTGTGGGACAGCGCACGCTGAGGCACGATGGGAGCCTCGTTGGACGAGGTCGAGGAGCGCGGGTGGCTAGTCACGGTGGCCGAGCGCTTGGGGAAATATGAGGTCAAAGGGTTGGCCTCGATGGGGAAACTCTCATGGGGAGAGGCATCGGGAGAGGTCATTGAGGAAGCGTAGCTTTGAGGAGACATGGCGTCGTCTGAGCGGAGCGACGAGGCAGAAGATGAAGCAGAGTTAATATCGGGCGCGTTATAGGCCAGCATATTGGTGGTCGACAGCAGCTGGACTGGGCCTGATATATTGCCCCGCTTGATGCTTGCCGAATTCAGTCGTGTATGTCCCTCGCCGCGGTATGGCATGGGTGCGGACACCTCTGGGCGCTTGTTGCGCCGAGTAAAGGCGCGTGAGAGGTTAGACATGGTGAGGTCAGATGTTTTTGAGTCGTCGCTGTCTGCGAACGATATGATCGGCCTCAATAATTTTGCTTAGAATAGAAATTGGGATTTTGAAGTCCGGATGCGATCGCGAATGCGCAACTGAAGCGTTGACGATTGCGGGAAGGAATGTCAGATACCAGATCTCGAGTTGGATGAGATAGTAGAATAATAAGATATTGCAAAATAGCAATATACAAATTGGTCCAGAGAAATGTCTTGCACTTCAAATAAAAATGAATGTCGAGTCGGGGGTTTTGCACAGCAAAACGGGATCGGGCAGAAGGAATGCAGTGCGCGACCGAAAGAATAGGAGTCCAGGATCACAGATCAACCACTGGAGAACTAAACAAAAGGAGAGAATGAAGGACCTAAAAATGTAGAGGTTGGAAGAAGAAGAAGAAGAGCAGGGGGGCGAGGTCCCTTACGCGCTTAGCCGTTCACTGGAAGTGCGAACCTTGTGTTCCGTCCCAAAGGATGGCCCTGCAAGCCTAACGGGAACCGATTCTTACTCGTTCACTTTGTTCTCCTCTTGTCCACTCAAAAGCCTCGCCAGTTTCGCGAGTCTAGAAGCCCCATATTCTCCGAATGCCCCAGTGTTCTTTTTAACGGGAGTGGTTCATCCAGACTTTGTCTTTTTCGCCTCTTTGCCTTCGAGTATTCCTACGAGTACAATCGCTCGACCCTTGGCAGGGGTCCCGGTATCCTATGTTTGCCCTGTAAGGTACTAAAGGTAGTGATGTGTACCTGATTCCACGGGTATGGAGGGGTATGTGTTGTGATTCTAACGTGTCTCCTGCATCCATGCCATCTGGCACATCTACTCTCATCCCCATCACCCCTTTTCAACTGTGAATAACATGCCATGATATGATGATGGCATCGAAGAATTTGAATGAAACACTCGAATGCAGGGCCGGGCTTTTACTTCGACGGGCGTTTCACCACCCATCTGGAGTCCGTTCCACGCTTAAAGTAGTCGGTGCTCCGTGTGCCGCAGATCCACCAATCAGCCGCAGATAGTTCAGCCATGTTGTACCTGATAGACACTCTCAGCGTATGGCTGAAGCTTTGACGGAGATTGGTTTATTCCGAATTCTATAGTAAGTGACTACGAGTATGGTGTAGCGCTCACTCACTAGTGATCTCGTATCCTGTGGAGATGTGTGCAACCCTCTGGCTCCACCGTTTCCGCCAATCTGTGTGGGACTTCGGCCTTATCCCGACTGTGTACTTATTCTTGCATGCGTCACAGGGCTTATTTCTCAATTTCTAGGATCTTGCGACAAATAAAATAAAATAAGTACAGACCATTCGGAGTTCCCCCAAATGCAAAATAGCAAAAGGGGAAACAAATTGACCCGGCAGTTACCCGGAGGATTTTAGCCGGCGTTACAGATAAAATAGCCCGCTCCCGTGGACTAGTACTTGTAGTTATACTCGTACGGAGGTGTCAACTACGAAAAATTTCCGCAATTGTGTGACTCAAAAATAAAGACTCGGATTTCGATGTGATAGCTCTTCAGCTCGAGTCGATCCCGACTCCGAAACACCGACCGTATCGTCGACAGCCCCGATTCCCTGGCGGGAACTGCTACCCGGCGACGACATGACCTCATCCATCGCTGGAAAATAAGGCGAAGCCATCACCGGGTCATGTGGCTCATAATTACCACTAATCCGACCGTCAATTCGACTATCTCCTTGCCATGCATATGGAGCAGGATGTGAATCTCGCGCGTCAAGAGTCCCCGGGATCGCATAATTCTCGGATGTCGCTCTTGTTTGACCAGAGAACTGGTCTGACATGACTGTCATCCAGTGTTCCAGGTCGCTCCACTCGCGAATGGGTAGCTGAGACCATTCTTCCATCCGAGTTGCCTTCTGCTTGGGTACTTCGGGTCTGGGAACTGGTGTTGCGCTTTGACCTATTGATCGGAGCGTCGTGAGGGCCCCGTATAGTGCAGACTCGGTCTCTGCGAGTCTCTGCTCCAGTTGGTTAAGGTAGCCTAGGGGCAAGCCTCTGGATGTGTGAGTGGATTGTGATCGGGTATCTGCATTGCAAGGTGTCTTACCGCTTGCCGCTCTCTGGGTATATGCATTTGGAGGGTTCACCTGCGCATTGAGAGCAGAATGGGCTTGGGTATGTCAGCTATTAAACTGATGTTTTGAAATGATTGACATAGATCTCGATCTTACAGTCTGCGATCGCACTATGCTTAATTAGTTCCGCCACTTTGCTTTGTCGGTATAGAACTTACTTTGCACTTCCGTTGTCTGCAAACTTCACACGAAATTGGATTCAAATTTTCCTCTGATAGTGGGTATCCCAAGTCAGTCAGTCTATGCTTTTATGTGGGGTATTTAAGCCTCACCTGGCATGGTAGCAGTGGCAGTAGCATTGGCATTGGCATTGGCAGGTGCTTTGCGCTTTGATCGCAATTGTCCCATCTGACAGCAGATTTTGCTCTTTGCGGGGACTGAGGATTTCTCCAAAGCCCAAGATTCCAATCTAGAGCTTTTGAATCGACCTTCAAATGTATGATGCTGGGCGGGTGAAAGTTTCGGACAAAGAAACCTCCGACGAGCATTCGCCCACACGTGACACTCAAACGGGCTTAGTGTATGGGGAAGTACTTCTTGCTGAGCCATTTGTTTTTTGTGCATTGACTTCGAAGTACCACGGTGATTTCATATCAAGAAATTCTACAGGCGAATTTTAGTATTCCTTTTAGGGACAATCTCAAGGATACACCTTGTCCGGACATCTGGAGCCACGGAATCGATGATTCAGACTGGGTTGGGCATCTGTGCAGCCGAAAACTCATTAGATGGCAATCACCAAGGTCTCTTAGCAATCTGATAAGTGAGTTTTCTCATACGAAGGGACAAAAACTGCAAATCTCCAGATAGGTGGGGTAAGAAGTACTACGAGTAGAAGATCGGCATATCGATTTCTACATTTATGGCCCCCTGTTTATAGTCTTGGCAATGCTGGTCCGGTCACTAATCAACGACACTTGCACTAAGAGCCTATTTTGTTGTGCGGGGAGTGAGGCTAAGCTGCGACCATAGTGTTGTTGTTGTAGAGCTAGTCGATTTCCGCCGTCTCCCCTCCCTCCTCTTGTCCAATATCAATCAATCAAGTGTTCGATTTTGTCTCTGTCCCCTGGAAACACAATCCGAATATGAAAGCCGCCTGGGTGCTAATTGAATATGCTCTTGTGCTCTCAACTGGCCTCTCGGGTGTTTGGAGCCAACGGGTTCTGGAGAACCCCGAGAAAAACGTCGGTGCCTCTGTGCAAACTAGCAGTGGCTTGATTGCGGGCCATCCCGCACCTCGCAGATCTGAAGTCTCTGAGTATTTGGGTATCCCGTATGCTTTACCACCAATCGGAGACCTTCGTTTCGCGGCCCCTAAGGCTTATCATTCCGAGGGAAGCATTGAAGCAAATGCGTATGTAAGTCAAACTATAAGGAACCCTGCTCGCAGATATCCGAGACTGATTGGTTAATCTGTATGGTGTGTAGAGCCCGTAGGTTTCTTTGGACGCATAGGCTTCACTTCAGTAACGTATCAAAATCAGTGGTTGTCCCGCAAATGCAGGCTCAGTTCCAGATTACCCCGGCTTCACTCCTCAGGCCCCGAAGATCTACAAATCATTCACTCAGCAGCTGGCCACTTCTCAGAGCGAGGACTGCTTGTATCTGAATGTGTGGACCCGGCCTGCAGTGTCTGAATTAAAGCCAGTCCTTCTTTGGATTCACGGCGGTCGTATGTCTCAATATGCCGTGTGCGCTCCAAGCGACTAACACATCAAAGGTTTCACAGGTGGCGGCGCAAACAACCCATATTATGATGGTCAGGCATTGGCGGCTGATCATGATGTGGTTGTGATCACCATCAAGTCAGTGTTCCATCCAGGGAATTTCACTCGTCCTTGCTAATCAAGTCCAGTTATCGTCTGAACATTTTCGGGTTCTCGGGCGCCCCCAATCTTCCCCAAAACGTTGGACTTTTAGACCAACGTATGGCAGTTGAATGGGCCTATCAAAACGTTGCCGGATTTGGTGGTGACCCTGATCGCATCACTCTTTTCGGCCAGTCTGCTGGTGGATCTTCTGTTGATTACTATTCGCATGCCTATACCGACAACACCCTCGTTGCGGGTCTGATTTCACATTCCGGAACATCGCTCAGCTTTGTGCCCAACACTGCCGAGGAGTCGGCTAGTTATTTCTTCGGGGCTTCTGACATCCTTGGTTGTGGTGACACAAATGACGATCACGAGCAGGTCGTTCAATGCGTTCGCCAAAAGCCATATCGGGAAGTCGTTAAAGCGAGCGCCAAGGTTCCAGCAGCAGCCTCTCCAGCTCTCCCACAATCGGTCTTCCATCCAACAGTTGATGGAATCACTGTGTTTGGTGACTATGCAGAGAGATCTGCAGCAGGCAAATTTGCACCCGTAGTAGGTCCCCCACCCTATTTAAGTCCTACCCCCGATCAAATACTGATATGTCCCAGCCATACCTCATAACAAGCAATAACTATGAAGCTGGCTATTACCGTCTAAGCGCATGCAATGCAAACATTTCACTTAGCGATGAAGCATGGCACAACTTCAATGACGCAGCATTCACCTGTCCGAGTGGTGCATCAGCAAGATACCGATTCGCGAACAATGTCCCTGTCTGGCAATCGCACTATTTCGGCGACTGGGATAACCTGCGGCTGTACCCTGCCAGCGGAGCCTACCACGGAGCTGATCTACCAATGGTATTTGGAACTGCCGAACAAGTCAGTGGATTACCGAACAGTGACAGAGAGGACGAGTTCTCTGAGTACATAAGATCTGCTTGGGCTGCTTTCGCAACTGATCCCACGGATGGGTTAACTCAATTTGGATGGCCCAAATATGACCCACAGGGTGAGTTTATTTTGACCCTGGAAGATTTGGCGGCTCTAACACCTCAATAGAGAAAACTCTTGTTGCGTTGGCGTATGCAAATGATCAAAATAGCCAAATCATTCATCCGATGGAAGTTGAGCAGCGCTGCGCTGTTCTGAAAGGGAACAGCAGTCTTGGCAAAGGGGCCTTCTGAATACGAATTCGTGGGAAACACAGCGTGTGAATATGTCTGTTGTGTAGAGATTGAATGGCGTCAACGGGGTGGATACCATGTAGCATCAGCGATTGTGACTTTGTCCGAGCAAATTGCTACCCATCTCATGATTGAAAAAATTATCCTTGCATCATTTAAGCGAGTACAACACTCAAGTCGCATCCATTTGAAAGGCATGAGGCGGCATCATGAAATGTCTCGAATCCTGGACAGAACAATGGCTTCGAAGTGACCAAACGCCACAGAGTGGAGTTTCTCTCCACTCTAGGAAGGTTTGTCAAGTATTTGCCGACAAACCAAAGATCATGGCGGATTTGGGATTTCCAGTTCGGTCTATTTAGGAAAGCACGTTGGTCTGTACCTTCCGAAATAGGGTTGTCAACATGAACCCCCCTCAGGTGGAGCTCTCCTTCTCACTTCTCACTTCTCAATTCTCCCTTCTCACTTTTGACCTTGCGTCTATCCCAAAATGGCGGGAGGAGCCACAGCCCCTGTTATCATGGAGAGTTACGCGAACTATTTGAAGCAGAATGAGAACGCACCGAGTGACCCACTTGTCACCGTGGACGACAAAATAGCGCAGGTTTCAACAGCCTCAGGAGATGAGCGAGATGTCCCGTTATCGTCAGAAAACGAAGACACAAAGTTCTTGAAAGGTCATCCCGTCCTTGAAACAGGTGATTGGACCTGTGCCGGGAATTGCAGTGTTACTCACTGACTGATTTTCTTAGGACTTGAGGTTTCAAAGTACCTGATTTCAACCAGAGACGATGGCGACCCAGCATTCACCTTTCGTTGTATTGTTCTGGGAACAGCCTTTACTGCCCTTTCTAGCGTTATCACGATGCTTTACACCTTCAAGCCAGTTCAGATGCAAGTTTCAGCCACATTCCTGCAGTGTATGTCCCCCCCCCCCCCCCCCCCCCCCCCCCCCCCCCCCCACTCCCCTCTCTCCCCCACACCATTTCATAAAACACAAAAAATCATCTCTC